CCAATCGATGACGCTCGGATGTCTCTGGAATGGGGGCGTCGTTGATAATGCTGTCAGCACTGTCTGCAGCTATTGTCACGGCTGTTCCGTCTTCCACTGGTGGTGGTGGTGGCTGCTCAATATCAGCGTGTCTTGGTGAACGAAAGGGTATTGTGACGCTCATGATATGAATAATGTGGGATCACTGGTATATACGCCTGCAGTGTAACACTGTGTATGTCGTCTTCTCTCTTTATATTTCTGCAGAAACATGCGATTTGAGAAATGAATGAGACCTTCGATCGAATGAATCAATTCGAATCATCAGAATCATCCGTCCGCAGGCGGCACGCGCAGCTAGCTGCCGACGTCGCATCCTCGTTTTCATACAGTACAGAAACAGTCTCACAATCATGATTCCATCAAGCTGGTGACGACCATCTCTTGAAATTCAAAATCCCGCGGGGTTTGGGCCGACGTTTTATACTGTACATCACCACTACCACGTGCGGTGCATTTCCTTCACCTAAAGTTGAAAACGGCCAATGATTGATGATTGATTGATTGATTGATTCCTTCGAGGAGCCGATGACGACCACGTGAAATCCCGCGGGTTTTGGGTGGGAAATAATAATGATGCTGAACTGTTTTTTTTTTCCACCGCACTCATCGTCTTATTATTCAGCTTGAACGAGATATATTTTTTCTTCGCAGCATCGCATCATATTTATCATAATCATTTCGCAGACTACTCATTCTTGTCCTCTTCTACTACTTGAAGCGAACACAATGCAAGGCTCATCCGTTGAGAAAATCTTACGGGAAGGTCATGATGCCTATCTCGAGCAAGGAAACCACAAAAAGGCAAAGGAGATTTTTGAGAGAGTGTTGAAGACACAAATTAAAGAGTTAGGGGAAGATGATCTTTCTGTGGCCAAGACACTCAGTTACATTGGAGATATGCTGTCATCCGAAGAAATTTATAGTGAAGCCTTTGAAAAATTCGAAAAAGCTCTTGAGATACAGCTAGAGAAATTGGGAGAAAAACATCCCGATACAGTATTCACCTACGAAAACATCGGCAGGGCCTTTCTGGGAAGAGGTAACTACGAAAACGGGGTCTTTCTGAAACAAAAATACTGCCAAAAAGCCGAGGAAATGTACCGCAAAGTCCTGGGCATCAAGCTGGAAATTCTGCCAAATGATCATTTTCAAATCATACATCTGTACCAACAGTTAACACTATCACTGCAAATGCAAAACATAAGTTTGCAGAAGCAACCAAGGTACAAAGACACGTGCTTACGACACTTCTTCACGTGCATGGGGAGGACCACCCTGGCGTTGTAAAGTCATACAATCTCATTGCGTTGCTGTTGCAAAACCAAAAAAGATCTGACGATGCTCTTCAGATGCTTGACAAAAGCATCGAAATATGTTCTCGACTGCAAGGACTGTGTGAAATCAGCAAAATGGATTTATTGGGAAGGGCGTTTCTCACTAAAGCAAGCTGCTTTCAAGCATTGGGAAACTTGGAAGGTGCCACGGAGATGTTCACCAATTTGCTACAAGTGCAAAAGGAAGCGCTGGGTGAAATGCACCCCGCGACAGCACTGGGCCATACATGTCTTGCAAACGCATATGGCCAGCGGGGGATGCTGCAAGATGGCATCAAAGCTAACATGAAAGCCAATGCTATTTACCGAACATCTTTCGGCGATGGTCATCCTTGCACAGAGAAGCTTGTGACTACCATCCAATCGTTAAAACGAGACGAGAAGGCGAAAACACTGGTCGAACAGGGAGTAGCAATGAAGGCGCAAGGCCATTCGGAAAAGGCAGAACAATTCTTCCATCAGGCGCTGGATATATGCGTCGAAGCTTTTAGTGATCCTCAGCATGTTCCCCATATCGCAGCATCCTACGAGAATCTTTCACATATCAAAGTGGAACAGGGTTTGCTGGAAGATGGCATTGCTGCAAGTGTCAAGGCCCTCAAAATTCGTCGAAGAACACTTGGGGACGATCATATTGACACAAGGAAGCGTATGGATGTCCATAGGTCTTTGCTGAAACGTCTCTTGGAGGATCGGAGCTAAGATAAACAAACGAGATTTAAAAAACGAGATCATCGATCGATCGAATGAATGAATGAATGCATCATCATCATCATCAGAATCCCAAGTCTTATCTGACAATGACGCGGAAAAGCAAATGCGTCTTTTTACTAGTCTAGCTATTTCGATTTCATTCTTTTCAGTGTAACTTATACAGCGCTAAAACATGGTTTTGATAAAATGTATAAAATATGATATCTTCAGACCAAATCTGAGTCAATCCCGCTCGCTCGTGATTGAAAGATGCTGTAGGCTACTCACTCGCCGCGAAGCTGATGTTGTAACGTGCTGTCGAAAAGGGTAATACACGAATTGTTTGCTTCTACGAATCATAGCTAGAAGGATAATACGGCAATGCGTATTCACCTTTTACATTCTCAAACAACGTCGTCATCAGTTGGGCTCTTATTTTCCGAGAGACTTCTTAGACGTTTTGAAAGGGAACTAAGAAAGTCCTGTGGGTGCAATGCTGTCAAAAAAAACGCATCGCTTCATGCCAAATTTTTTTAAATGAAAATGAATGACACACAATGAAGTTTCAAGGCGAGGTTATATTAATATTGATTTGTGCCGTCGTCGTATTTTTCAATTCCATTTTCCTCTTCAGATCAAATGATTACCCCTGTAAAGAACCCGAGAAGTACACGGCTCTTGGCAACCCTCATCAGTTATTAAACAATAAGAGAGGACCACGAATACTTGTTGGCATTTCAGCAGCAAACTTTCAGAAGGATACACAGACGTTCCACGATGCTGTTCGTAAATTTCATCAACGATTTTCATCTGAGCCTTCCGCTAGGAATAGCAACAAGGAGTGGTGTTCGTTGTATGATGTGATGATAGCAGGCGAAACATTCGATTCCGATTCCCATTGCCATTGTACCCTGGTTTACACCTTCTTGGTTCCCACTCATTCCGGAGCATCCAAGCCAACAAATCAAATCAGCATCAACCAAATCGAAGTCGCAAACACATTATACTTGGAAACTACAGATGTCAGTCTGATGGAAAAATGGATGGAATGGGCGTCTGGGATACAAGTAGGGAAATTCGACTATGTTGGGTTTTCTTCATTGGAATCGCTTGACGAAGAAAGCATTGTTTGGTTGAAAGAAGAGGTTTTGAAGAAAAATCAGGATTCCACGATTGCTGCAACGAAAGCAAGTAATCAACAAGATTGCATATCCAATCACTGCATGGAATTCGGCTTTCTTTGCTTCTCAATGGATTTAGTTGAAATCTTGAAGGTACGATCCTTTAGCCCAGCAACAAGAAATGCTGAACTGTCGGGAATTTCAAGGCTGTTCAGGTCGCTTACTGAGGGTCGGAGTCAATTGATGTCAACACAGGACTTCAAGATCAAGTCACCGTCAAAGGAAACTGAAATGTCGCTGTCAAAACTCTTCAAAATCCAGGAAGTGAGTGACACGCAGCTGGATCTTCCAGTCAAGACTTCGAGGCTTGCTCCTGGTTTGTCACCTGTTACAGCGATCTTTATGAATGGTTACCTTCATGACCCATCCTATCTCTGGGCATTCTCATTTCCGCGAGTCCTCTTGAAGCACATGTCAATACACAGCAGCAATACCTCACGTCTCAGGATTTTGGGACACGAAGCTCGCACAGAAAAGCTTTGGAGAATAAACCCTCTTTTGAATGATGATTCAACCGACAACACTACAGATCTTGTCGAGGTTTTGGAGGGGGGGAAAGAAGTACAAAACCAGATGGATATTATTTTTGCTCGTAACATTGCAATCCCAGGACTGGTCCTCAACCATCCTGATTTATTTGAATTCTGCGAGTATCATCGGAAGCCAAGAAAGCACCGAAATCGCAAATTGCCCAAGACGACAAACCATAGCACCTGTCCAGTGATAGTTTCGTTTCCGATCGGAACCAAGCCTTGTGACCACTGTAGCCCTGAGTGGCATCTGGAAATTCCCGACGACCAGCATGTGAAAACGCTGTCAAATTCACATTGGGAAAGCATCTCTCTCATTCAAAAGCATCTTCCAGCAACAGGTGTCGTCCCGGTCGAGCTGCCAAATGAGCTTCTTTCACTCTTTGACCCCTCCAGATGGAAGTTCATCACATCGAAGGGCTGTACAGTTGCATATGTTTCCCGGTGGAACGAGCGCAAGGGGCAGAATCGCATGACAAAGGAGTTTCTTGAGTATTCAAAAGCGGGGCTCTTGAATAACATATCATCAACAACGATTTGTTTTGCAGGAACTGCTGAAGGATATGAAAAACAGAAGGAAGGAATAATTCGTCAGCTGAATGCAAAATTCGAAACAATAAGGGCAGTTGACTTGGGATTTTTGTCCTTTGCGGAACAGATTCTAGTCTTTCGGCTTGCGGGGAAAAGCATGCTTTGGACTGACTACGACCAATCGCCAAGAATAGCTTCGCTGTCATTGGCTTCTGGGGCACGCGTGTTGACTACTGAACTTGCGCAAGTACCAAGCCCGATCGTCGATGATGATTGCATGGTAACAGTATTGCATCTGTTTGATAACCACACCAATTCACTGGAAGGGCGAGCGTCGATTGTGACGGATTTTCTGTCCAAAGAAGAGAGATGCGTGAAGGAAAACGAGACATTGACGAGAGCGTATCCTATTCTACAAGAAGACTCGTTTTATGGCCCGATCATAGAACGGGCGATGTCCATGTGGACTCAACTAAACGCGAATAAGGAGCGTCACTGTATCAAGTTATTCTCACATGTGTGCGAACTTTTTGGGATGCTTCGGAAAGTGAAGAAAGAGGGAAATTGTAGCGCGAGTTGAATGGATCCTGTGCCTACATACATCACGCTATGAATCATGTAATGGTGACTTTAGTTAAGAGTATATACTCTTGTTCCGATGATAAAGCTTACAGTACAACGCTAGAGTAGAAACCATGTATCTAGGCATATTTTTTAAACATGATTTGAAAGATGGTGTTTGTACGACGCCCGCGCCGTCCATCATCGCATTTCTCAATTTCAATAACATCAACATGTGGAACATATTACAGTTTTCATGAGCACTCCTTTTCAAAATGAATACATTATTACTAATAGGGGCATAACGCACAAAGCATCTCGCTTCGCCAGCATCACCATGAAGAAGAAGAAAGCAGACCAACCAAAGCGACGTCCATTCTAGCTAGAAACGACAACCATGAACGGCAACAACAAGCTTGCCTCGGTTGAGAACCTGATGGAAAAGTTCCATGTCTATTCTGATCAAGGAAACAATCAAAAGGCAAAGGAAACTTTGCAGACAGCGTTGGAGATACAGACGACAAAGCTAGGTGACGATCATCTTGCTGTGGCCATGATACTCCATCACCTTGGAATTGTTCTGAAAAGGGAAGGAAATTCCGATGAAGCATTGGAGAGTCTCAACAGAGCACTCGCGATACGTGTGAAGAACTTGGGGGAAAAGCATTTTGATACAGCAAAAACTTACGAGTCCATTGGCAGACTGTTTGTGGAACAAGGCAACCACGAAAAAGCCGAAGAAATGTTCCAGAAAGCGGTGGATATCAGTCTCGAAATTTTGCCACACGATGATTCTGATTTGATGAATCTATACCAACTTCTAGCGCTATCATTGCAAATGCAAGACAAGTATTCAGAAGCAACCAAGATACAAAAATCAATACTTGGGACACTACTAGAAACGCATGGAGAAGACCATTTTGCTGTTGTGAAATCATACGTTGGCATTGCACGGTTGTTGGTAAAGGAGAATAGGTTTGATGATGCTCATCAGATGCTTGATAAAAGCATCGAAATTTGTTCTCGACTACAAGCACTGGGAGACTTCGATGCAACTATATTGGCAGGGGCGCTAGGCTACAAAGCACCGCTGCTGGAAGTACAAGGCGACTGGGAAGGTGCTATGGAGTTGTTTAACAAAGTTATAGTGATACAACAGGAAGAGGTTGGTGAAAAGCACCGCTTAACAGCACAGGCCTACGAAGCTCTTGCACTGGCATATGTCCGAAGAGGCATGCTAGAAGATGCGATCAAGGTATACGTGAAATCCATTACTATTTGGAAAACAGTGCTTGTCAATGGTCATTCTAAAATTAAGGAGGTAACGAATGCCATCAAAGTGTTTAAGCACACGAAAGCACTGAACGAGCAGGGACTAGCAATGAAAGCACAAGGCGATTTTGAAAAGGCAATACAACTCTTTCAAGAGGCGCTGAATGTTTGCAACAAAGCCATGGGTGATCTTCATCCCCACATGGCAATTGTCAACGAAAATATTTCGTCTGTCAAAGTGGAACAGGGTTTGCTGGAAGACGCCATTGCTGCAAGTGCAGAAGCCCTCAAGATTCGTCGAAGAACACTTGGAGACGATCATATTGACACGAAGAAGCGTATGGAAGCTCACAGATCTTTGCTGAAGCGTCTCTTGGAAAGTCCGAGTTACAACATTTTATTGCCGATCGAATGAATGAATGAATGAATGAATCAATCATCATCAGAATCACACATCGTCTCCTGTCCTAGCTATCCTATTCTATCCGACGATGGCACAGCCAGAAAGCAATGCATCTCTTGACTATCAGCATTGTGATTGATTCAGAATAAATTGTTTCAATATATAGCTTGCAACGGTCTATAACATGCTTTTGATAGAGTACCGGCATGTATCACATCGTTTGAACACAATCCTCGGTACCAGGTACGAGATACAGTACTGGTACAACCTTTACATATGTTATTGCTCCAGCTCGTAATTGAAAGGTTTTGTACCGGTATGTACGTCACCCGTTTCAAGAATTAAAACCACTGGTTTATACGAGATGATGTGCGTCATTATTACTAAAGTTCTTCCGGCAAAGTACAGTACAGTATTCCAAGAAGTTAATAATATACCGTATAATATTTATTGCGCACAATATATATACAGTATGTGGTCATCCTCTCACCAACGCATCCTCTTCCTTATTCTTTCGTTCCTTGTCATCCTTTCCTCGACCTTGGTGGGTGCGCAAGACAAACCCTCCTGCTTGGATTACAGCAAGGGTGCCTATGCAGGCAATGTGACCTCTCAACAAGAGTGCCGCACGGCCTGTGAGACTGCTGAAGGCTTGCCCGAACCAGATTTTAAGACTTCGACCTGTGATGATGGTAGTGATGTGAATGGTACCAACTACAAGTGCGACTGCAAGCGGTGTGACTCGAGCAATGCCAATTGCGAACGCCGTCAACTTTGCATCGATGAAATTTGCTCCAGTGGAACTTCGAAGGGTGTCATGATGGTCGGATTGATGGCAATGGTGGTGGCCTACATGATGGCTTAGATTGATTGCGAAATAATAACGGATTGATTGAAATTGTGATGGTCACGATGAACTGGAGTGACTGTTGTATGATTCTCTCTCTGTTGTGACTTCAATCCTCTCATTGTTATGGCGAACGGGTATTTTAAAAAATAATAGTCAGAGTCACTACAACCACACAGCCATGATAATCGAAGAGTATTTCAGCTGGGCTTATTATTATGGATATAGCTTTTTTATGTCGGGCTTCCGATAACTAACTCATTTTCATCTACTTGTCGCCATGCTACTTGGCTCAACCGACCCAGCAGGCCACGGTTGAATACCTACCATAGTCTTTCATAAGAGGAGCGAAACCAATCCCTAGAGAGAACCCGAGTCGTCAAGCAACATATGATCATGAATCGAAGTGGAAGATTGCCGGCATTCGCTTCCAAGTTGGACCAACAACAAAGACTCCGTTCGGAGCATCGCTCACATCGCAACTTTCATCTGACATCCGACATCATACGGCAGATTACAGTATTTATTCCATTGCAGTATGTTCCGGTAAACACTACTAGACTCACGCAGCCAAATGCTTTCCTATCATTCAGCAGTGCCTAAACTGAGAGAAAACAATCGCACCAACTTTACCTTCGTCCACTTTCAATCGATGAGACAGTAGCATTTTATTCCTTTGTATCGAAATGATCAATTCAGAAGAGTACTAGTGTTGTATTACTCTCCTTCTCAGCTGAAGATGGATGATTGTTGTTGAATTATGATACTCCAACCGCCAACATCGTCAGAGTCATAACCGTCGTATACATCATTCCCTACTCACTTCTTGTGTCGCTCTGTAACCAGCGTTTTTGTTCGTCTTCACCTATTGGAAATGTAGTAACAACTTTGATGGTATCAGTCACATCGAAGGACTGATTGCTTGCTTGATTGGTTTGTTTTGACAACGGATGTTCTGAAGATGGGCATGGGCAAGGACGCATTGGCCACTGGCAGCTGTTGCATGAGATCAAACTTGTTTCTTCGTCTGGCGTTCTCGTTCTTCATTGTCGTTTCTGTGGATGCTTGATTGGTTGATTGATTCATTCATTCAATCACTTAGGGGTATCTACTATGATTATTTGACCATAGTAATTGTATAGTGTTGGCTAACTGGCACTCTTTATCTTTCCGTTCCTCATCCTACTATAGATATCGTGCCAAGTGAATCGAAGCGCACTCGGAAGATGATTCCAATCCAGCCTAATCGTTGATCCGATCTTGAAATCGGCAGGCGCTGGACAGAAATTCAAATTTATTTGAATATTTACGGCGACCGAGATGGCTTCCTTCAAATACACACGATCGACAATAAGTACATACCGCAACCCGTTAATTTGTACGACCAGTGAGACATGCGTTTTACGTAGTCGAAGTACCAGCGAAGCATGCTCATTATATATAGACTGGGATGACTTGTGTGCGTTCCATGCAAGGGCATGAATAAAATTTTCAGGGAAACATCTTTTTGAATGCAGGAGAAAAACTTGCCAGCTCTTGCGTTGGAAGTTTCGCCTCAAGGTCGTGCAGCTCAACTGACACACTCCATCTCAATCCAAACACTACGGTTATAAGACTGTCTATCAATACCATCTGTAATCTGTATCAACCAGACGTTATTGTAGCTGCACCAAGATAAGACTCCCAAGACTTGACAACTGATTAATTGATTGATTGATTCGATAAGAACCCAAACTTCAACTCGCAACATCAAGCAAGCTTAAGAATGCCATCTAATCCTTCCACTCCCAATCGACACGGCTATCCAGAAGTAGCATCTGGTGATTATGATGCAGCAGCTATGGTCAGTGATGATGAAGAAGCCTATCTGAGAGACATTATCGGTGGAGGAACCGAGAGACAGGACAGTCAGGATGCCCTGAACAATTCTATGGCAGAGGTTTCTGTCACGAGCAACTTTACTGAAAAGTTCTTTCCTCCTTCACCATCTTCAAAGAATGAAAGGAAAAGCGCCGACCCCCCCATGGTACAAACGCCAGCTACACCTACTCCAGCATCTCCTGGCCATCCTGCACCTCCCACACAATACGTAGTGAACGATCCGTACAATGCTTACGATGATGACATTAGCACGATTGCCAACGATACCTATGTTGCGAAATACATGGCGGGGGATAACAATCCCAATCAACTGCCTCCCACTCCAAAGACACCTCATCAGCAGACTGCTTATCACAGTGGCGTACAAGGTCCTGCGTCTCCGGATCAAACGGATGGAGCCTCGCAACCCACTCATGTGTATACTTACAACAAGCTGCCCAAGCAGAAGACCCGCTTTCAAACCGATCAAGCGGAATCTTCTACTTCGGAAGAATCCGGCGGCAATACAACTGGCGGAAAAATGGGTAAGGGCGATGACGACAAGTCAGTCTTTTCCTTTGCGTCTTACAAACGATTCCGTGGTGGGTCTGGCTGGAGCCGAAGAAACTACATGTTGGCCGTTTGCATGAGTCTCTTTTTGTTGGCGGTCATTGGCGGTTTGGGATATACCTTTCTGCGATTGCGAGCCCAAGGAGACGAAGATGTATTGGACCAACGAAGCCAACAGGCAGGACAACCAAATGCCAATGGCGGTTTGAACAATCCCTTGCCGGGCGATGGTATTGGTGGCGGTTGGACCTTGAGACCCACTGGAAACCCAGAACCCACGCCCGCACCCACCATTACCAGGTCCAATGCCCCCAGTCCCATTGGACCATCTCCCAGACCTACCCCAGCTCCAACTCCTCGTCCCACCAAGCTTCCAACCTCCAACCCTAGTATGACTCCTACAACATCGCCGACCACGCCCTTTCCAACCACTAGTGCCACTTCATCCCCTACCGGAAGTCCAGCGGAAGTCTTGCGCCAATTGTTGCTTCGAATTTCCACTGGCGAGACCATGCTGTTGATCAATATCCCAGGAACTCCCCAAAATCGAGCCTATGAATGGTTGCACCAAGACCCCAATTTCACGAACTATTTGGAGCGACGACTTGTCCAACGTTTTGCCTTGGCCGTCATGTATTATTCGACTACGCAACCAGAAGATGCCCAAGAGTCTATGCAAACTTGGATGAGCTATGACAGCAACGAATGTACTTGGTTCAATTCGTGGTTTGAAAATCGACTTGCCTGTGGATCGGACGATATTTACAAATTCTTGACCCTTCGCAACCTCAACTTGGTGGGCACGATTCCTTCGGAATTGGCCTTTTTGTCCAAGTTGAATTCCTTGACGTTGAGTAACAATGGATTGTCGGGAAGTATTCCCAAGGAATTTGGTGAATGGGACTCGCTTGGTAAGTGAAGTGTTTGAGAAATGCCACGGATCTATTTTCTAGTATTTTGGAATGCCATGTCTCTCATTCAATTTTCCTCTCTTTCTTTCTTTCTTTCCCTCTTTGACTCTTGCAGAAAACTTGGATCTCCGTGGCAACTACTTGACTGGACGCATTCCAGAATTCAAGAACATTCCAAACATTAAGAATATTACCATGAACTGGAACTGGCTTGAAGGAAATGTCCCACCCAGCGTAACCAAATTGGACCAGCTTTTACATTTGGATCTGACGGAAAACTCACTCTTTGGCTTTATGCCGGACCAAATGTGTACCAAGGGACTGGAGACCTTGGCAGTCGACTGTGACCAGGTGACATGCAACTGCTGTACCAAATGCGGCTCGGAAGAGACTCGAGCTCCTGTTGTACTGCCTCCTTCCCTTCCGACACCACCACCCACTAGGCCACCCACTCCTCCGCCAACACCGCTACCAACACTGCCGCCTACTCCTCCTCCTACCTTTTTTGGTCAATGCGTCGATGCCATTCAACCCACCAAGAATTGTTATACCTTTGGAGAACCTCTGATTATCAATTTCCGCAACTGCGTTCCAAACGGCAATGACTGGGTTGGAATCTATCCCGATAACGTTTTGAGTGGCCAGCATTTTAATCCATCTTTGTGGAAGTGGTCATGTAACTCTCAAGCCTGCGCCGACTTGATTTCCCGAGGTACGGTCATCATGGATGCCACTGCCACGGGAGGGAGTCAATGGCCATTGGCGCCCGGTGAATACAAGGCGTGGCTCTTTCGGCGCGGAGGCGATGGAGGTGCTTATCCAGCCATTGTGGGGACAACTAAGTTTATCATTCGAAATGGTCAATGCTGATACTACCTACCTACTAGAATGAATGAATGAAAGAATTAATGTTGGATATATTTATATTATCTCATCTTACAAAAGCACGCTACGTCATCCTCACAAACATGCATGGTATAATACTAATAATAACAACAGTTTAAAATTTATATATATAAGATACGCAGAATACCTAGCAGGAAGGGATAGTCTATGATCGATATGGAACCAAATAACCGCAGTCTGGTCTTGGAAATTTTGGTAAGATTGACAGCAGGGCGATACACAGATTATCTCTTCAAACAAGTTAAAAAATGTCGATACTATGTATATATATATATCACATGTACCGTAGGAAGAGATATTCCGGTAGTCAACCGCGCCGCCGCTATGCTGTTTCAGCAGGTGGCTGGTGGACTACTACATACTGTACTGTACAGTAAAAAGTAGAACTACAGTAATCAGCAGTCCACCAGAGTCAGTCTTGGATTTTTTTGATAAGATTGATATAGGTACACACACAGCTTACCCATTCAAATAATGACGATCTTATATATAAACTGTATATACCGTATACCGTCTATTAGATGTAGGAAGAAACCTACTGTAGTCTACCGGTGTAGGTAGTGTACCGGTGATGGGGCAGGGTAGAAAGTCGATCCAACCGCAGTCCGCGCGGTCTTAATTTGATTTATTTTGGTAAGATCGACCGGCGGCGGAAGTACCACAACGTGCGGACTTCCACGTCATTGGCGGGATGAGATTTTTTTCAGTACCGAAATTCCAATAGCAGTTACGTCGTCCCCCCAATGGTCCGTTGCCGCTCAGAAACTCCTGAAATTGGCGGTTATGGTTTCTCATCTCTTTTATTTTCGTATTTTCCTACGTCTGATACTCCTAACAACTATTAATACTAGCACTATCATCAGGCAAATCAACGGACTGTAGTATCATTGTTCCCAAGAGTAAATAACGTATATTTATCTCTATCTCCTGCAATTGATTTACAGCCAGCCATGTCCGAAGATTTGGAAGCAGCCAAGGCTACCGCCGCACCTCCGGTTGAATCATCTGAATCTCCTGCTGAAGATTCAGCGGAACCCCCTGTGGAATCATCATCATCAGCTCCAGCAGAAGCAGCAACCGCAGATGCAGAAACAGTAGCTTCCGCACCTCCTCCAACTCCCAATCAACACAACCTTCCGAGTGTTGCGGATTATGAAAAGGTTCTAGAGAGCGACGATGAAGAAGTGTATTTGGAGGAATCTACTCATGGAGGAACGGAAGTTGGAACCGTGGCTGCGACTGAAGCAGGAGATGCGGAATCTTCCGCAGGAGAATCGCAATCCAAAGATGACAACGAAACCATTCTTAGCAATTTCACGGCCAAGTTCTTTCCTCCATCACCAGCGAAAAAGTCGAGGGATGACGTCGAAACCGGAGCTTTGCTCAAGAGTGCGGCCAGCACACCGACTCGTCTCAAATCTGCCCAGTCATCACCAGAGGGTACACCCATGCGACTTCCCGCACAATACATTGTCAATGATTCTTCCAATCAGTTCGATGATGACATTAGCACCATTGCCAATGATGCAAATACGATTGCCAAATCCACCACTTCTGACAAGCACAACGGTCCAGATGGTCCTGGTTCTCCGGATATGACGGACGGGGCGTCTCAGCCAAGCATCCATCACAATGCCATGATTCCAAAGCCAGACGCGAAAAACATTAGCTTCCAGTCCAAGGGAGCTTCGTCCACTTCCGAGGAATCGAAACCGAGTCAAGGTCCAGTAGGCGACACCCGATCGGTCTTTTCCTTTGCGTCGTCCTACAGGAGGTTCCGGGGTGGTTCAGGATGGACTCGCAAACACTACATCATGGCGTGTTGTCTCACCTTTTTCCTATTGGCCACCATTGCGGGTTTGGCCTATACCTTTCATTCCTTGAAGGACAAGGAAGGGCAAATGGCGAGACAACAACAACTAGACATTCTAAAAAAGAATCAGGAACAAAGCAACCAGCAGCAACCGCAACTAGATGGGGTAGCAGACGATATGAGTCTCAGACCCACAATGCTTCCCAGCAGTGTCCCCACGATCTTTCGCCCGACTCCCAAACCCACCCGGGCTCCCACGGGAGTACCGAGTCGCACACCCTCCGGAATGCCCAGTATTCCACCGACGGATTTTCCTACCATTAATCCTTCCAGGAGGCCCACCATGGCACCGAGTGGAACACCCAGTGATTCTCCCGCATACATTTTGCGAACGGCCCTTGCCGATGTTACCAATGGCAAAACTCTGGAAGCGATCGAGGTCAATGGAACCCCTCAGCAAAAAGCCTTTGATTGGTTGCTCGACGACCCCAACTTTTTGAATTACCTGACCCGACGCAAAGTCCAACGCTTTGCCTTGGCCGTCTTGTACTACTCCACTACTCAGCCCAGCGATGCCCGAGAATCCTTGCAGACTTGGATGCAGTACGAGTCGAACGAATGCACCTGGTTCACCTCGTGGTTTGAAAATCGACTGGCCTGTGGATCGGACCACATTTACAAATTCTTGACGCTCCGCAACATCAACTTGGTGGGACAAATTCCATCGGAAATAGCCTTGCTGGATAAATTGAATTCCCTAGTATTGAGCAACAATGGATTGTCCGGAACAATCCCCAAGGAATTTGGAGAATGGACTTCGCTTGGTAAGTAGCTAGTAAGAACAGACGAAACATATCATTGATCGATTGATTGATTGATTGATTGATTGATTGATGAACAAAACGGACTCACGCTTTCCCTTCTTTCTTTTGCAGAGAACTTGGATCTCCGTGGCAACTACTTGAAGGGCAAGATTCCCAAATTCACGAATACGGCCAACATCAGAAACATCTACCTGAATTGGAACCAACTGACAGGAACTGTCCCAGAAAGTTTGAGTGAATTGAATCAGCTCCGGACCCTGGATCTGACGGAAAACTTCCTCATCGGCTCTGTTCCCAACAGAATGTGTTCGAGGGGACTACAAACCTTGGGAGTTGATTGTGACGAGGTTGGTTGCACTTGCTGTGACAAGTGCAGCTCGGACGAGACCCGATCGCCCGTGGTCGTGCCTCCGACACCTCCCACACGGCCACCCACATTTCCGCCGACTCGTTCGCCAACGCCTCCACCAACAGGACGGCCCACTCCTGCTCCCACACCAGGACCGACTCGTCCACCCACGCGTCCCCCTACCGGACGGCCCACTCCTGCTCCCACGCCAGGACCGACTCGCCCACCTACCCCTGGACCCACGTTTCCACCGACTCCTGCTCCCACATGTCTCAATGACATTCAAACCAGCAAGTCGTGTTATACCTTGGGTGAAAGTATCATTGTCAATTTCCGCACTTGCAATCCTTTGGGCAACGATTGGGTGGGAGTCTACCCCGATAGCGTTCTGGCGGGCCAGCACTTTGAACCCCGTTTGTGGAAGTGGGCTTGCAACTCTCAAAATTGCTTTACTCCGATTGAACGAGGAACCGTCGTGATGGATGCGACCTCCACAGGAATCAGTCCATGGCCACTGGCAGCTGGCGAATACAAGGCTTGGAGCTTTCGTCAGGGAGCCTCTGGAGCTCCTCAGCCAGTGATCAAGGGTACCGGCAAGTTTCGGGTATCAAGTGGCTTCTGCTGAGCAAGGAGGAGTATTGATTATTATTATCATCATCATCATCATCATCATCATCATCATCATCATCATCACTGTTATTGGACAAGATGAGATGGGAATGACACAATGACACCCTATTTGCATTCACATTTGCACGCTAGGACTACCAAAAGGCATCGCAACATGAAATATTAGATCAGGTAGTTTATAACAACGGAATTGGCAGTAGCGGTAAACGGTATCGTACACCGTTAATTTTTCTACTCAAGTAGCTCTAGAGAATTCAAATGCAAATTGTTTGCGACGACCCATCGACTAAAACGAGTACCTGGTACTGAAGACGTGTGGATCGACTACAACGAGTACTGACGCATGTCAAACGTTGGACTGAAGCACGTCGACAATAAGAAATGCGACGATGATAATTGATATTCCCTCAAAAGAAGGCAACAATGCTGATCTGAAGCAAAGTCAGTAAACAGCTTGAACTTCAGACATCATAATAGCAAACAAGACGACACTACAATGTCACCTAAAAGCGAGAGCGAAACCCTACTATCAGGATCATCCAATAGTGAGGATGAAGACACACAAGTCTTTGAACACGACGACCAAGCCACGTACATCATTTGCAAATCCAAGAAACCCTACGTGAATCCAACTGTACCTGCAGGTACAAAGCCAGAAGATGTCATCAAGACGCTAAACTTAGATCTTGGTCAAAATTTTGTCAATGCGGAGAGCAAGATTGTACTCTGGATCATTCGATTCTTGAGCAGCGTTTGTGTGGAATGGTGGGAGTTCCTCTTTTTTCGATTCTGGAAATTAGTTCCACTGTCCATTCGACGAGGTCTGACCATGTATGGATGGAAGATTTATTTCAAATTGCACAAGGCCATTCTAGGAAGACGCACCGGTGTGCACCCATCCCAAAGTCCCGAATATCATGCGCTGACCTCCATCATGTGGTGGAGCAGACTCCTTCCAATTTCTCCCGCACGCATGCGGTTTGCCTTGTCACAGCTCTATGTCTGTACCCCCAATGTGGTGGAAGCCTACAATGCGGAGATGATTGAACAAGAAATGCCATTGCATAACGCAACGAATAGCAACGATAAGAAGAGCATCGACGACATTCTTACAATTCCAATTTGTCAACAAGATCACAAGACAGTCCGAGGCCTGTTTCTGCATCAAGGCAAAGAACCTACAGAGCACCTCATCTTATGGCTATACGGTGGTGCCTATTTATCAGGAGATGTTGTGGGAAATTCGAGTCCTGCCGACTGGGTGGCGAAGCAGACCAAGATGGACGTCTTTGTCCCCGAATTTCGATTGGCCCCCGACGGTGATTTGAACGATGTATTATGGGACGTTGCCTTGGCGTACAGGTGGTTATTGAACAAGACGGGCAAAGATCCGAGTCAAATCTTCTTTTTAGGCGTTTCCAGTGGGGCCGCCATTTGCATCCGACTGATGCAATTCATGGTACAACAACAAAATGGTGAGAAAACCCTGCCCGAGTACATCCCAAAGTTGGGTCTTCCACCAAAAGGTGCAGTTCTGTTTGGCCCGTATGTCGACTATACAAAAGAAAGAAAGGGATCCTTTCTACACTATCCTCGACTGGATTTGATTGTCAATGAATCGGTACAACGAGACGGATTGCCCTATTTGGAAAAGTTCATTCCGGATGGGAAGCGAAAGGAATATTCCCCAGTGTACGGATCCATGAAGGGCTTGCCTCCCTTGTGCGTGGTAGTCTCCGAACATGAGGCAGTTTACGATATGTCCATGGAAGTTGTCAATAAAGCGAGGAAGGATGGAGTCTCGGTAACGGTGGGAATTTGGAAGTACATGTGCCATGTGTTTACCTTTTTGTGGGGTTTCATTCCCGAGGGGAAGCAATCCATGGAATTTGCTTGTAAATGGATCCGAGAAGAAGCACGACAATGATAATGATGAACACAAATTTCTTGAAAACCATACCGTATTACTGAACTGTAGACAATCAAGCAGAAAAATTTCCACTTATTCGTCTGGTGACCTTGATACTCGATTCCGTGTAGAGTCACTCATTCAAAGCAAATAAAGCTTGACATATAGGTAGTAGTTCGTGATGGAGTTCGTAAAACGGTTCGTGACGGGAGTAAGTTAGCCAAGAAGGTGTTTAGAAGAGTGAATCCACAACCAGCAAAGTGTCAACTGTATGGTGAAAGCTAACGCAGATTCCGTTACCCTTCACGGAGGATATCTTGACCCGTACGAAAGTATGATCCGCCAAGAGGGCCATAAAACTATCCAAGTGGTTCTCCCAATGCTGTTGAAGTTGGCACAAAGTATGCAATGTCTTCTTTTGACGGGCCATTGCCACGTTTCTGTGGACCATAAGATGTCCGATCGACGCTGTTTTGCAAAACACGCAACGTGGTTGAAAATACACCCGTTTGTTCGTTGTAGCCGGCACCGGTCAGAAACGCGACGAGAAGAACATGTGGTTGAGGTGGTACGTCAGATCAAGCGTGTGTGTTCCAACGTTTTGCAATGCTTCTGTACTGTAGGAAAATGGAATGTAGACTCTAGATGTGCAATAGGCTCATGGGTAGTTTGTGTTTCTTTTTAACATTCAAAGTTTATATTCTAGTTGTAGGTATCATTTTATGTTCTAGCTGCTGCACAGAGTAGCTGCTGTTGAGTCTTTGTTCGTCGTTGCTTCATTCATTCAATCATTTATAGTTGTTCATCACTCTCGTCCTGTCTTCGATACGGTCGCATCTCCCAATGAAAGCCCATGCGGTTTAGGGCCGCAACACGGTCAGCCGTAAGTGTACTGGGTTTGCCCTCTTGGTACAGTTTGTACTGGCGGCGTTGACACTTGACCCATGCGGCTAGCTTGCGGTTCACTTGGTAGGTGGCTGGAACGTTGCAATCTCCATTCTCCGCACGGTAGGCCCTCAATTCCGAGATGCGTCGTTCCCAGGCGGCCGTGTAGGTATCCCACACAAAGCCAATCGATTCGAGGGTTTGTATGCGGCGTTCCGTCATGGCAGATGCTTGACCCAACCGAAACAGTTTGTACTGATAGCGCTGGCGCTTGACCCATCTTGAGAGAGATGGATTGGCTGGGTAGTCGTAGGGCACGGAACAGTGCCCGTGGATTCTTCGAAATTCCAATAGGGCTTCGACCCGTTCCTCCCATTGCTCGGCCTGATAGACCCGGAAGCGTCCAGGATCCGAGGAATAGTCAGCATCGGAATCCATACTATCCTTTCTCTTTCGCTTTTTCTCGACCTGCTTATTTCCACTAGCAGTACTTTTGTAGGATGATAATGCCTTATTCTTTTTGCAATCATTGCTAATACCATCCGTACCAAAGAGAAACTCGCAAGAGTCCTTGAGCATGGACTGGAGTGCGGCTTCGTATTGTGGATTCTGATGCGCGTTCATTGGAAGAGGTTCCAGGTCATCTACGGCACCAGTAGAGGCTGAGAAGATGGAAAAGTCGGGAGTGATGATGCGCCCCATATCTTGATCTGCTGAGAGATTGCTGTTGGATCGATTGATCCTCCTCGTGGCGCCGGGGACTTGATCAAAGAAGGGCCTCGAGACTGTGGTGTTACTATTCAGATCATTTTGTTGCAAGTCGGAATTGGACTTTACCTCTTGATGATGCTGACGATAATAATCGCTTGCAGATGAAAAGAGATTGGCAATATTGGGTCTGCGATGATTATTGTCATAACGATCATTGTTCATATCTACTGGCGCCGAGGAGAAGTCCCCAAGGTTATTATTCGATATATTCGATGCAGTGCCCTCTGTATTCATTTCCATAAAATGATTCATCGGGTCCACTAATGGATAAGTGGTATAGAAACTCGATTATTTTGCTTCTTTGGTTTGTGCGTGTGAGGGGTATAGAGAGCGGTCGAAGCACCTCTTGAAGCTCTACCGTACAGCCGGGTAAGTTTAGTAGTTGAAAAAGACCAAACATGCACTTAGTGTCTGGCGATAATCTCCCGAGGCTTCTTGGAAGTTCAAAAGATTCTCAATTTTTTGTTGTTTCATAAATGTTTCTTCATTGCGAATAACGTGTCCTTATATTTATCCTTTCTGAACATAGATGTTTCTGAAGTGTAGTAAAGCTGTTTCGCCGACACGAACAATTCCGTTAATCAGACGCGTTCCGAAAGAAGCTCCCCTCTGTTTGCATAAGGTGTCCGGTCAAGCATAAGATGTCCGATCGCGCTCGAGGCATAACTGTTTCTATTGAAAATGACTGACACATAGATGACTTGATACCAGTACCAAGCGACACTTAGAATTCTCAAAAACGGTATTGGGCAAGATTCCCTAAATCTCCAATCCGAACCTGAATACCTCCGCCTTTCGCCTGGTACCAATGTGATCACAAACGCTGTTCCCTATCATACTGTAGGTATATATTCCCTTGTTTTATTAGTAAATATACAGTAGATTGATTGATCATGTAACATGTACTTTATTGGTATGCTTTCTAGTATTGACTTCTTGGTAGTAGTCTGCTTGGCTGTTTACTCTCTCTCCTCATTGCCGTCGCAGCGAACGAACCTCCCATTGAAAGCCCATTTGGTTGAGGCCCTCAATGCGATCATGGTTCAAGGTACTTGGTTTGCCTTCATGAAACAATTTGTATTGCCTTCGTTGACACTTGACCCAAGCGGCTAGCTTCTTGTTGACCTTGAAGGTGGCCGGGACGTTGCAATGTCCATTCTCGGCTCTATAAGCTCTCAATTCCGACTTGCGTCGTTCCCAGGCCGCCGAGTAGGTGTCCCAGACAAAGCCGACTCCCTCCAAAGCTTGAACTCGCTCTTCGGTCATGGCACTCGGTTGGCCTTCGACATGGAGCTTGTATTGGTACCGTTGACGTTTGACCCATCGAGCAAGCGTTGGGTTTGGTGGGTGATCGTATGGAACAGAGCAGTGTCCATTGACCTTGCGGAACTCTTGGAGGTCTTCAAAGCGCTGACCCCACTGTTGGTTTTGGTAGGGTCGGAAGCGCGTGACATCGGATCGAGACGATCGCGAGGAGCAATCATCCGAAAAGTCCTCGCTGTAGTCCTCGGATACTAGCTTGCGCTTCTTGCAGCAGAAACCATCTTGCTCGAGTTGCTCAAGTCCTCGCTTAGTAGTAGCATTATTAGAGCCAAAGAGGAATTCAACAGATTCCTTGAGCATGGATTGCAAATGAGCTTCTTGGTAAGGACTCTTGTAAGCTCCAATGGGTACAGGCTCGAGATCTTGTTGTTCATCTTGTCCTCCTCCTCCCAAGGAAAAGAGTGACAAGTCCAATTCTGGAGCGACGCGTCCTTGATGGAAATAGAAGGAGTCTTGAAGATCATCTTGTTGTTGTTGTTGTTGTTGTTGTTGTTGGTAACAAGATGCTGATGACATTGTGTTGTTGTTGCTGAAAGAACAGCAAGTGCTGGTGTTAAATTCTGGTTCCGCACGGTCCAAGCATGAATCCAGTGTTCCTTGTGTGTTGAATGGATTCATGTTGGGAGAAGTGTTGAAATCGATGCTGCAAATCATTGCCATTTTTGGAAAGTTGCTTTGTGTTGCACGCTTTGGTGATTTTGAAAATTATGAGAAGGTGTCGAAGCGAAAATGAGCAGCTCTCGGTTAAAGATTTTTGCGCAATCGATTGAGTTTCTGAACCGCGAAATCAAATTTGATTGCTCCAAGATTTCGGCGGAGTTCCAAGGGTTCGTTGCGAAGGTTTCGTTCTGTAAATGTAACTATGAAGAAGTATAAATCTTATCTTGGTTCCCAAACGAGGGCTGGAATATTACCGAAGCGAAGGATTGGAAACCAACAAAAGTAGACCTCCAACATCAGAAGTTTCGTGTGTCGTTATGTACGAAAGCTTCATACGATGTCGGATCGATCAGCATAAGATGTCCTGTCAGGAAATACTTATGACTACATATGGAGCATAAGATGTCCGACCTCTGTTTGTTGTGAATGAAAACGGGCAAACGGCACTCGCGACTTGACAGATAAGCCCACACCTGGTATCCATTGCTATGTCCCACAAGTCATATTTATCTTGCGGGATCCTCTGATAGGTCTTAAGTAAACCGTCCACATCCCGCGGTTTTCTTTCCTAAGCCCCCCAAGAGGTCATATAAAACATATAAGTGGCAATAGGATGACGTTGACGCGGCAATTTGCCTTCGCCAAAAAACGCAGAGAATTGCTTGAGCCCGCGACCCGCTCACGACACCATCATCCGTTCATTCATTCGTACATAAAAAAGTGTACTAGAGGAACTTTTCGTGCACCTAAAATGCGATATTTGGCAGTGTCCATTTACCGACCCTTCGTTCCTTAGTGGGTTACGGTTACCAGGTCACGTCTCCCATAATTGAAAACGATTCACACATACTTCTATTGCTGATATATTCGAAGTTTTCATATTGCGCATATATCGACGCTCCAGCCGAGCCTATCTCACCTGAAACTAAAGCGCTATGCGCACTTAATGGAAACGGAACATTTCATGTAGTTGGTGAACTCACACACCAAACGAACATTTAGCTCTACTAAAAAAACATTAACAGAAGAGCCGCAAAGTGATAGCACGAACAAGACCCCTCCATTGCAATGACTGACTGGTACAAAGCGTTTGAACCAAGCGTTTGTACCCTGCATATCCACCGGCGGCAGAGTTGTCGTTGCAGCGTTTGCGTTCCATAGAAAGGATTTCTATTCCAAAATAAGAAGTCTTGCATTCCATTTCACAAGACACATTTCTGTTTCAACACACACATTACACAAACACACACAAACACACACAAACACACGATCAGAAGAACTCTTAAAACAACTCATCACAACTCATCACAACTCATCACAACTCAGCATGATCTCTCTACAAGACACCCTGAAACTTAACAATCACGCAGTGGCTCTGTACCACTCGGATAATCTCCCTCAAGCTGCCTCTGCCTACTACGAGTCGCTCTGCTTCTTCAATAGACTCTTGCAGGAGTCGTATCATTGTCAGGATATTGTCGGGATTACAGCTAACACTACTACTGTGCCACAACACGAGTGCTTGCACAATATAGTAGTTTCTGTAGCCTCCTCGAAAACCTGTTGCTATGGTGACGATGATGATGGTGATACCAGGATCATCTCTGCTGGTAGTACACAAAGTCACGAGCCCTTTGTATATCAAAGTCCATTGATATTGAAAGAGTTGCCACCATTCATGCCCTTGCAGAACATGCAAGCCATGACGATCTATTGCGCGAGCATTCTCTTCAACACGGCCATTCTACATCATCAAGACTCGTTCAAGACGGGTAACTCGGCGTCTTTAGACCGTGCCGCACAACTCTACGAAGCAAGTCTTCATCTTGTGGGCAAGTTTCGAGCGACAGTTTTAGGTCCCAACAAGACCGTTTCGCTCATCGCCATGGCCGCTAGCAATAACTTGGCGCAAATCGAGTTCGAGAAAGGAATGCTGGATCAGGCATGCAAACGGCTGCAATTTCTAAAGCATTTGATTCAATCCTTGCAACAAGTCGTCCCACATATTTTCACAAGAGATGAGTTTGAAGGCATGCTATCCAATAGTCTTTCCGCACAAGATGTCATTGCATCACCGGCTGCCTAGACGACGATATTCTGTATACTCAATGAAATCATTGCCATATGTACTCTATCATTATAAAATGCATATACTATAAAACATCTACCTGTCTTGCTGTCTCTTTACTGTGTGGTACCGTGGTGCTTGAAGTACTGGTATGCTGTACGGGACTGTATAGTGGTATTTTAAAACATCATGACGTACTTACTTTATGAATACCAGTATGGTGGCGTGTGGCGTGGCTGCGGAGTCGAAGTATTCGAATGCGAGATGTATTATTGGAGGGGCACTTTTGATTGGGAGACTATATTGCGACTGTACCTGAATGAAGACTTCGACGATAATTGTGGATTTAATTATTGACTTGTACCAATCGTTTAAAATGCAGAAAAGCCATACCCTCTCGAAACTGAAACAGTTTCTAGATAGAAATCTGTTCACTATTTTGAATGTGAATGGTAGCATAAGATGTCCACTCGGGAGCCAGGCCACCCATCAAGAAATGCATGAATAGCCCCACTGTATTCGCCACTAAGTCAAGAGAAGCGATAACACATCATTGACCATACCCATGCCCATATTACACTTTGTAGCGGCCGTTTCTTCTCACGTCAGAACAATCCAACTCTTTCTTTCAAAAAAACCAGCACACACAACTCACAATTTCCAAATCATGATTTCTTTGCGAGACACTCTGAAGCTGAACAATCAAGCTGCGGCACTTTTCCATTCGGAAAACTTCCCTCAAGCTGAAATTGCCTACAATGAGTCGCTCTGTTTCTTCAAGATAATCTTGGAGGAATCGCATTATCAAGATGTCGGAATGGCCTCCACCGCCAGTCTGCCGCAACACGAATGCTTGCACAGCATGTCGGCCCACAAATCTCGGTGCAAGATCTCCTCCCATCACGGCGGGTCATTTGTCTACCAAAGTCCATTGATATTGAACGAATTGCCATCATCCTCTTTGCACCCCACCAGTAGGAGCACTAGTGTTCAAGCGATGATCATCTACTGTGCGGCAGTCGTGTTCAACACGGCCATTCTACACCACCAAGAATCTATCAAGACTGGAAGTTCGGTGTGTCTAGACCGAGCCGCAGAGCTATACGAAGCGAGTATTCGTCTAGTTGGCAAGTTTCCTACGACAGTAGCGAGTTCCAACAAGACCATTTCCTTGATTGCCATGGCCGCAAGCAATAACTTGGCGCAAATCGAGTTCCAAAAAGGGCTCTTGGATCAGGCATGCAAAAGACTGCAAGTTTTGAAGCATCTAATGACTCAATCCTTGCGACACGTCGTCCCATACATTTTCACAATTGACGAGTTTGAAGGCATGCTATCCAATACTCTATCGGCAAAAGGAGTTATTGCGTCACCAGCTGCCTAGGTTGTCAATAAATATGTATATCTATTTTTTAATAATCCATCTATTTTATAATATGCCTTTTGTTCATGTGCTCTGGCCTAGGTGTAATGTATTGCATTTTTGTCTCTTCTGCAGTCTGTAGCAGGTTTGCTTAATCCACGGTAGTCGAGGAAGCAATCCAACCGATGGAATGGCTCCTCGCTCAATGGATTGTTCGCTAATTATATGATATGCATAGAAAACAGCATGCCATGTGTCTGGTCTGGACAAAGTGAATGCCGTCCCGTGCTTGGCACGGAACGCCACCATGTAACGTTGGTGTCCCCGAACCGCACATACCAATAAGTCCCAATGCGTCCGTTTTCGTATATAGGGCGGCATGATATGTCCGGTCAAAAAACGTGCCGGTATGGTTGGCCTCTCTGACCTCTGACCGAACTTCTCGTGAGGTTCAACCATCTGATCTGACCTCGTTTTGTGCGAGCCGCATGTTCCCAATAATGAGTCTCATTTTGTCCGTTTCGTATCCTTATGTATAGAATAGGATAATATGTCCGGTCGCGGGTGATCTATGGCCAACCATCGAGAAACGTCCCGGTATGTTTAGCCCCACTGAACTTGCCATAATGTCAAATTCAACCTTCCGACATTATTGTTTGCGGAAGCAACCCACGCACCCACTTGTAGCGTCCATTCCCAATCCCTGCCGAACAAAGAATCGACCATATTCAACCCTGTGCAAACGCTACAAAATTCCAGAAACGCTATACTCACAATTTCCAAATCATGATCTCGCTACAAGACACTTTGAAGCTGAACAATCAAGCAGTGGAGCTATACCACTCTGATGATTTCGCTCAAGCCGCCAAGGCCTACTATAAATCGCTCTGCTCGATGAATAAAATTCTAAAGGGGTGTTATGATCATGCCGATGTCATGGTTCTTGCCGCCAACAGCACCAGTGCGCCGCAACAGGAATGCTTGCATTGCACTTCGTTTAACACCACCACCACACACCATCATCATCATCAACATCAGGAGGAGCCATTTCTATACCAGCGCCCAATAGTATTGCAAGAATCAGCAGGAGCCTCGGAGTCGTTGTGCACTATGCAGGCTATGACGATCTATTGTTCAGGAGTACTACTCAACACCGCCATTTTACATCACCAAGAAGCTATCCTGACTGGAAGCTCCGCATCGGTCGATCGAGCAGCAAAGCTATACGAAGCAAGTCTTCATCTCGTCGGGAAGTTTCATGTGTATTCAGGTTCCAACAAGACCGTCTCGCTGATCGTAATGGCCGCCAGCAATAACTTGGCTCAAATTGAGTTACAAAAAGGAATTTTGGATCAGGCATGTAAAAGACTGCAAGTTCTAAAGTCTCTGATTCGATCCCTACAAAACGTCATACCACATATTTTCACAAGGGAAGAGTTTGGAGGTATGTTGTCCAACAGTTTGTCGGCAGAAAGCGTAATTGCTTCACCAGCTGCCTAAACAACTTTAATTGGAACTATATTGAGTATTCAATAGAATCTTTGCCTTTTACGTACAAGCATATACTCGCATTTTGGCTCTTGTCTATGTTATTATCATTATGCATTATGGTAAATGCTCTCGGTATGGTATTTATGGTCATAGTCATATTCATGAGCATGGTGGGTACAAACCATTTTAGCATGTAATAGCGCTTTCGATAAGAGTCGATTGATCCAACGTTTTGGATGGATGGATATAGGTACCGGCCGGTATGAAAAAGGTACAGCTGTCAGTTACCGAAATTGCAAAGGTACTATAGGGATAAGCCGACCCACTATTTATAAAATTTCGAAACAGGAATTAAATTATGTCCCATACAATCGATTAGTTAAAGCAACTAAAGGAGAAACAAATGAAACAAAATAAACTAAGTTTTGAATCAGAAAATTTACAAGTTGATTGTCATACACACTATTTTCGGTGCTAGATTATTGTTGCCGAGCTTGAAGCAATTTTCTCCGAATTTGTAAAATAGGGTAATCAGATGTCCAGACAGAATGAAGGCCTCCATCGAGAAATGCATGTTTGGCTTCACTTTGGTTTTGGAGAACCGCGCCGATTCGCAACACTTTGTAGCGTCCGTTCCTTGCCTATATATGTAACATAGCATAAGATGTCCCGACAGCCGGTCAAGATGAAGGCAAAAAATCAAGAAACACATCAATAGCCCCACTGGACTAACCATTACTTCAAACGCAACCATCTGACGTTGCTTTGAGCGAACTTCCCACCAAGTTGTGGCGTCCGATTCGAATCGTTGCAACCACACATCTCAATTGCGCAACCCATAAAAAAAAACTTGTACTTTCAATCATAATTTCTTTAAAAGACATCTTGAAACTAAACAATCAAGCAGTCGCACTTTACCAAACTAATGACCTTCCTCGAGCTTCCAAGGCCTACTACAAGTCACTTTGTTTCTTCAATATATCTTGGAGGAGTGTCATAATGCTGAAGTCGTGATTGCCACTAACACAACTGTGCCCAAACACGAATCCTTGAATAGTATCTTGGTACGACCAATCATTTCCACCAATACACAACATCCTCGAGATCAGGAGAAGCCATTTATATATCAGCGTCCAATGATGTTGCAAGAAACAGCATTATCTTTGCACACTACGGAAGTTATGACGATCTATTGTGCGGGAGTTGTCTTCAACACCACCATTCTGCATCACCAACAGGCTATCAGTACTGGAAGATCTCTATCCCTAAATCGAGCAGTACCGTGGTATGAAGCAAGTCTCCCTCTCGTCGGGAAGTTTCAAATATGTTCAGGCTCTCACAATACTGTTTCGCTTATTGTCATGGCCGCCAGCAATATATAGCTTGGCTCGCATTGTGTTGCAGAAAGGGCTTTTGGACCGAGCATGCCGAAGACTGCAAGTCCTAAAATCTCTGATTCAATCCCTGCAAAACGTCATTCCACACATTTTTACAAAGGAAGAGTTTGAAGGCATGCATTCCAATAGTCTATCAACTGAAGGCGTCATTGCGTCACCAGCTGCCTAAACCCTCTTTTTAAAACTAACCATTGCTTGCTGCTACTTTTGAATTTATAGTTTGCTTTTGAACGCATGTTCTTGCATTAGCTTTTATTGCTGCCTCTCGTGCTTGTGCGAACGCGTTCCTATTTATGGCCTTTTGTCTACGACATGTGTGTTCTTATCAATTGTACATTTGATATTTGAAGGCTGAGGACTAACTTAGGAACAGAAGCGATTGAAGGATTGCTAAAGAGATATTATGAGCTTTTATCGAGAACTACTTCCCTGGGCAGAACGCGGTAGCCATACTGACATCAGAAGCGAAGTTGTGTACTGTGTACACACAACTTTTGCTGCAGTCTTGACAAGAGTGTATTCGTCAGGTCGTCGCCACTTCATTGTCGGCTCGTAGGCATAGGTAATAGATGTACCCGACATTTGGCAAGATTAAGTTTGACAATACTGTAGACATGCTGAGTAAGAGGGCGTTTGTAAGAGTACTCCTATCAGAGTAATGAGGTTGATTCGACTGCTATGATTCGACTAGTTGGACCGGTCAACTAATAGAAGCCAGCATTTCCACGCACGTTCAACGAAACTGAATGTTTCGCCCCAACTACCGTATATCTTTTTCACGAACATCTCCTTTTTCTCGTTCCCGCGCGACCATAAGTTTTCATTCTTCTTTGGGCAAACCCATTGCTCTCCCATGGAGCTCAAAACATTTACATTGTGTAAAAGAGCATAATTTGTCACCATGCTCTTTAGATAATTAGACCTTCTTGAAAACCAATGTGTCCATCGAATGTTCTTCGGCAAAACTGAGCTAGGCTCACCATTCGCGGCCAAGTCACACGCTGGTTTCCACCGAAACCCTTTCATTTTGAAGTTTCAGGTCCCACAATAACCCACAACTCTTCAAAATTCACATCATATCTCATAATTTCCAAGTCATGATCTCTTTGCAAGACACCCTCAAGTTGAACAACTATGCAGTGGCATTGTACCAATCGGGTGATATCACTCAAGCTTCCAAAGCCTTTTGTGAGTCGCTCTGCCATTTCAAGAGACTTCTGCAAGAGTGCAATCATCGTGATGTCGTGAACGCAAAGCCAATGATGATATTGTGCCGCAACACGAATGCTTGCACCTCGTAGCACCAAAATCTCACAGCACGACCTCCACACCAACTGTCGATCCATTTGTATATCAAAGTCTATTGATCTTGAGAGAATCTCAAGCAGCATCATCCTCTTTGCCCCATGATGAAATGCAACTGATGACGCTATACTGCGCATGCATTCTATTCAACACGGCCATTCTTCATCACCAAGAATCAATCAAGACTGGCAGTTCGGCGTGCCTAGACCGAGCTGCACAGCTATACGAAGCAAGTATTCGTCTAGTTGGCAAGTTTCCTACTACAGTGGCAAGTTTCAACAACAATACCATTTCGTTGCTTGCCCTGGCTGCCAGTAATAACTTGGCTCAAATTGAATTCCAAAAAGGGCTCCTGGATCAGGCATCTACAAGACTGCAAGTTTTAAAGCATCTGATTCAATCCTTGCAACACGTCGTCCTACACATTTTCACAGTGGACGAATTTGACGGCATGCTATCGAATAGCCTATCAGCAGAAGGGGTCATTGCGTCATCAGCTGCCTAGCAGCCAAGGCAGTAGACCCCCCCCCCTCCTCTTTGATAACCATTATATAATGATCAACAAGCACCTCCTCTGGCTGTACAATCATGAATGAAATTATTAATGGCGTTTGCACAGCATGCACTTTTAATACTTTCTTGCGTATGATTGTAGTACTGGGTGCCGTAATTGGGCACTTTTATTGAATATTCCTACCGGTATTTGCTTTGGTACTATTATTATATAATACCATTTATATAAAATATCAGAGTACAAGAATACTGGAACTATAGATACGCAATTCTGATATTGAACTAAACGTAACAATAAAATCAGACATGCGCGTGATTGGACGATTGGTCTTGTGCGACCATTCATCATCATGTGTGCGGATGCCAATCACACCTTCTCAAACATGCAACACGACCGATGATACAAACTTCCCGCCCTCAAAGTCCCATTTACATCACTCGGAAGGGCTTACGATGTACAGTATATCCATTCTTTCGGATCAAGATCGACTTCTATCAAGAATTATGTGTCACTCTACGCAATCTGTCGTCACGCACGACAGGATGAGGATTCTCATTCTCGTTCTCATATTCCACATTTCCTTCAAGACATCAGCTTGAATCACCTGTGTCAATAAAACAAATTTGTTTTTGTATCCTTACTAGCTCGTCATGAAGATTGGTGCTGAAGCCTATGGTAACGAGGATGACGTTGAATCCCTCGAGATTGACGTTGACAAAATTCTAAGTGATGGCAACCCGACTGCAAGAGCCAACCGGAAACATTCGTCAGCACAACAAAAGATCTACAGTCGCTGGAACAATTACAGCAGGAGAAGAAGCTCTAGCATGGAATTTGAAGGGAGTAAGATTGCACCTAACCGCCCTCCGAACGATTTAATCATTCAGTCACATGGTCAAGATGACGAGGAGATCAGCAACATTATGACGGCTGACATGTTCTATGATGAAGTTGGCGAAGGAAAGGCAACACGTCCCGCCGCCGAGAAGCACTTGCATAACGACGGTGATGGGCATAGTACCGATGGAACTGCGGAATCGAATGAGGAAGTTCCACGTGACAGCTCACGCGACATCAATCACAAGCGAATGAGCGAGGAGCGTTTACCAAAGTACTCCAAATGTGCCCTCGTTATTGCCGTTCTCCTCCTGCTGTTAATTTGTTTCCTTGGCTTTATATTTGACAAGCTTGTGGAGAGCGGCCGTGATTCATCTCTCAACGATCGCAGCATGGAGGCAGGATGGGAACTCCGACCAACTCTCCCCCCAGTGACCTGGCAAGGCACTACTGGAAATCCAACTCCAAGACCAACATCCCAAGCTCGAGACACCCGTCCTCCGACCAAAGTACCCACTGAGCAACCAAGTACTAGTCCTTCCAAGGTTCCTACCGTGACAGAGTCTGGTCACTTGCTGGAGTTGTTATCTTCGACGGCTACTGCTGACAAGACGATTGAAGCTGTTGGTGTCAGAGGAAGCCCTCAGCAAAAGGCTCACGAATGGTTGCACAAAGATCCGTCCTATTTCGATTACACCACTACAAGCAAACTACAGCGTTTCGCATTGGCAGTCCTGTATTTCTCGACCGTGAGATCTGCGTCCGCCTATGCAGCCCTCGAAACATGGATGGACTATGATACTCATGAATGCTCTTGGTTCACCTCGTGGTATGAGAATCGATTGCCATGTGGAACCGACGGAATCTTCAAGTTCTTGTCGCTTCGAAACATTGGTTTGACCGGTACAGTTCCATCCGAATTGGCTCTGTTGTCTAATCTTAGAGCCCTGGTGATGAATGACAACATTTTGTCTGGAAGCTTACCAGAAGAATTCGGAGAGTGGAGTTCACTAGGTAAGGATATGAGAGAAGGTGGCATCGTCGTGTCAAGCAAGAAGCAACTCTGACATGAACCATCTTCTTGTTAAATGTTATTGTGTGCTACAGAAACATTGGACCTTCATGGCAACTTTCTGAGTGGAAGACTCCCAGATAACGTCCCAATCCTACGAAAGATTGATCTGAGTCTAAATCTTCTCGCCGGTCCCTTGCCTCCGATGGATTTGACGCAGATCACATCAATGGATCTGACTCAGAACCCTAACCTTTTCGGAGTCATACCGTTCGATCTGTGCTCACTCTCGGATCAAATCCTGGATTTGGCAGTCGATTGCAACCAAGTCTACTGTTCGTGTTGTACGCGATGTGATTCAGATCGCACGAGAGCACCAGCCTTCATGGGACCCACAGCGACACCATCTGTGCCGCCGACCCAACTACCATCCACCAAGCCAACTTCAGTACCAACCAAGACACCAACCAAGGCACCAACTCCAGTGCCAACCAAGACACCTACCAAGTCGCCGACATCTATGCCTACCTTGACACCCACAAGAGCAGTCCCCACACCGCAACCCACTCCGGATCCCTTTTGCATTGATACTATCCAGACGTCCAAACAGTGCTACATGGTGGGAGAACCAATTGATGTGATATATGCGAATTGCAACCCTACCACGACCGATTGGATTGGAATCTATGACATGACATACCCTGAAGATGCCTTGTTTGATCCACTGTTGTCACAACGAACTTGTATCAATGAACCTTGTTCTGGTGTACAACAGATTTCGAACATTGTGTTGGATGAAAGTTCAAGGGGATCTTTCAACTGGCCACTAGCGAGTGGAAAATACAAGGTGTATATGTTTCGTGGAGGATCGGCTGTTGGGCCACATGCATTCTTCTCGCAAAGCCTTGCCATCACAGTGGATAGTCAATCTTGTTGGTGAACGATGATGATGCATGATGCGACACAGAAGGCACAGGATAATTAAAGTATTCATAATATCGAGATTTTTTAGAAACGCAAGAATACACTAGAAATAGTATTAGGTGTACTCGTCGACGCAGAACGACCTTTGCCTCACCCAATCTCACCAACAGAAATCCCTTCAGATTTGTGAGAAGTCACGGGTATCTTTGAACGGTCATATCGATACCAACGGAACGGGATGGCTCGTGTCACGCCAAAAATAATAGCGGCGAACCTTCTTTGGGTTATTTAGTCTTACTGTTGTCGAAACGTTTAGCCATTACACACGTTCTTTCACGCGAGCCACTCATGTGAAACTATCCGGTACTTATGGCAGTCAAATAGTGGCGTCAAGTCCCGGTTTGAGGTTTGGCAGGGTGTCAACGAAGAAGAGATGTAAAAACGCGCTCATATGATCCAATCTTCACTCGTGCATCTTTTGTTTCTCATTCTGTGGAAAAGACAGTTGAAACGACTACAATCGGATTCAACTCAGTAACTTCTCACACTACGAGAGCTCAACACAAGATGAATTTTCACACGATGGACATTGGGAAAGATGATACTAAAGCTGACCCTGATGATTGGGTTGCCTTCGATAGTGAAGATGCTTACTTTGATCCTCAATGGGATGAGTCAGCTCAAGCTCAAGCTCCTGCCCCGGAGCCCGAACCTATCGAGTTTCAGCAGTGGCAACCTACCCAGCCCCAGGAACCACAAGATATGTCTACGCCTGAACCTTCTGATGCCGACCCACCGTTTGACCCATACAGTGGTGTTTCTTTGAAGAAGACTGTGTCGGCCGAACGAACAGGCAGTGCCTTGACAGCAACCACGCATCCCGAAACACCTCCTCGTCGTCAAAAGAAGCAAGCTGTCAATCATGGAGCCCCCGCGATGCCTACCACGATTGCGAAGAATTTGTCGTCCGATACCGATTCGAATAGTCATTATCTATCGGAAGATCCGGAACAACCGAGCTTTGCTGACAACGAAAACAAATCCAAGGCGAAGCCTGTCGCAAAGCCATCACGCCGAAACTGTATCTTTTGTTTGGTTTTGGCAATCATTTTGCTCGTCATCGCCGGAGCTTTAGGATTCATTGTCTACATGCACTTGTTCCATGAAGTGGACATGGTGGAAACGGAAGTACCTAGTACAGAACCATCTTTGGAGCCTACATCACTTCCGTCGTCACTCCCATCATCAAGACCAACAGTCGATTCAGCATCGCCGACAAGCTTTGTCACACCGGGTCCCACCACTCGACCGCCAACCTCGCCACCTTCCCGATCGCCAAGCAATGTTCCAAGCGCTTCACCGACAGACAATCCAAGCGCTACTCCCAGCTTGCAGCCCTCCAACACTAGAGATGAGTTGCGTGATTTGATTGCTAAGATCTCCGACGGTGGAACAGTCCAAGCCATCAATTTGCCTGGAACCCCCCAGCAAAGAGCCTATGAGTGGGTCCACAATGATCCAGCCTACTTGGAATTTAAGGAACGTCGTATTGTCCAACGATTTGCCATGGCGGTCTTGTACTATTCTACTGTCCGAAGCGAAACTTCCAAAGAAGCTATGGAGAGCTGGATGGATTATGACACCAACGAATGTACTTGGTTTACCTCCTGGTACCTAAATCGGGATGCGTGCGGAATTGACAATATAATCAAAACGTTGGCCTTGAGGAATGTGGCACTTACCGGTACCATTCCATCCGAATTGGGTAAGTTTGAGAAGAACTTGGGCTTGCAATCTCTAGATTGATCACACTTATCATCTTGCCTTTCTTCAATCAATTTGTTAGCTCTGTTGACTCATTTGAATACACTGGTGTTGTCTGACAACCAACTCACTGGAAGTGTCCCCGAAGAGTTTGGGAAATGGGCTTCACTAAGTAAGTACAATCGACAGTGCTTCTGTACACCACATTGGCTTTTTCTGATCTAAATGTACATCAATTTTCTTTCTTCAGTAACACTGGACCTGAATTCCAACTTTCTGAGCGGAAGGATCCCATTGATCCAAAGCAGTCCTTCGATTCCAATGAGCTTGCGAGAACTTAGTCTTGGAAGCAACAGAATCACAGGAATTGTCCCTTCTTCCATCGCGAATTTGAATCTCACGAGTCTTGATCTTTCCGAGAACAATGGTAAGCAGCCTGTTGCGTTTGCAATTTGAGCGTCCGTCGCTGTCTTCCTCACCATTGCAATCTACTTCATCCTCAGTCCAAGGAATCATTCCTCCAGCCCTTTGCTCGACGGCAGAACAAAGCTCACAACTTAAGCTAATGGCAGTCGACTGCGACAAAGTCACTTGCTTCTGTTGCACCCAGTGTGGTGCCAATCGTACGAGGGCGCCAGTACTGACACCCTTTACGCCCCCACCTTCTCCAGCTCCAACACCAAGACCCACTCAAGGCCCTACTAGTTGTGTTAGCAATATTCAAGTCTCCAAACGATGCTACAAAGTTGGAGAACCTTTAGAAATCAGCTTCAGCAACTGCAATCCCCGGGCTGGTGATTGGATCGGATTGTACGACTCTGAAAGCCCAGAACAGTTCTTGATGGATCCCTTGATGTGGCACTGGTCGTGTGGAAGTAAATCCTGTCAAGGAAGCCCCACTCAGGGAAGCTCCACATTGGATGCCTCAGCAGAGGGACAAGCGTTTTGGCCACTGAATCGGGGTAACTACAAGATATACTTGATTCGAAATGGGGCCAGTTTCCCGTATCAAACCGTAGCCACAAGTGAAGAAATCCGTGTGGCACAAAGTATATGTCCAGATTAATGTGATCGTTGCCAGTGCTAGGACCTAATTGAAGAGTACATATTGATAAAAATAATAATAGTAATATAATAGTTTACATATCTGCATTACAGAATGATTTTAAAATAACCAAATATTCTGCTTCAATATTACAATTTGAACAATGGACTGGAGCCTCACGGTTAATGTGAGGAAAGGCTTATTCCATATTCAGCTCAATGGTCATGAATCATCGGATCCTACCCCAAAGCAGCAACCTAGTCTTCACTTCCTGAATCCCCACTTGACATCGACGCATCATCCCCGCTGTCTGGCTCAGTATCTGACTCGATTTGAGAAATCTCCACAATCGAGGCGAGCGAAATGCTTGAGGAGCTATCGGTATCTGAGTCTACCTCTGTGTCATTCTGCTGAGGATTATTGGATTGATTTTGTTGGAGGAATGCAATGACACTTGGAATCACAACAGAGGTTCCAGACACTACCCGGCTTTGCAACCGATCCGACACAGCACCATCGGCTAATACTTCGCAGGAAACTATCGATGATTTCCACAACGCAAGCTCCAACTGAAAGACTCGACCTTTCATTTCATATTGGTGTAGCAATTCGAACGCTTCTCGCAGCAAGACAGCTCGTTTGTCCTTGTCCGTCTGCTCAACCACAGCGGATACCTTGAGCGAAATGGCATCTACTTGTTCTTTACAACCCCACCGGCCAACTCGGTCTACCATGAAAGCCAGAAGACACATGTGCATCAGAATTTTCACTTTACTGGTCCAGAGCTTACGGTGTAGATAATCCATAGCACATTTCTTTCGTATGTCTTGCCAAGCCAATACTATGGGCGGGTATGCATCCAGGAGCACCTGCAGGAGGTCACCAGAGCAGCTCGGAGACGATAAAAGGACATGGAACGGCGTCATTTTCAACTGATCAACCAAAAAGTCTCGAGAATGGTATTCGTTAGACTGGCATGTGCGGCGCAGCTCAGCAGCAGTTGTCGTAGATGCATAATAACACTTCCTATGCACTGGATACTTGTCGAACCGTGAAGTCACACCTTTGAGAACGCGTTGTTGTCCGAATTGCTTTTCCAATAGATTGCATCCAAAGAAGTGTCTTGTATACTTTCTATAACGAGTCAATGTGCACTGCTCACGTTCCATCCCATGTGGTGAAAGAAACACATTGGATAGTCTTCGGCACTTGTGGAATACACCAAGATCGAATCTCGGAATGTCTTTGCGCACAAACTCCACAGAAATCAACCAAGTACAGAAGCCAAAAGCGCCATCTCGAACAGCTTGCACGGTGGATGGGATCTTAATTGCAGTCAAGGAGTCGCACGCATAGAAGGTGTCGCTTCCTATTTCCTTTAATCCTTCTTGAAGGTCAACCTCAGCCAAAGATACGGCGTTGTAAAACACCCCCTTTTCCAAAATTTCGACTGTTGAGGGGATCTTAATGCTGGACAGTGATGTGCAGCTAAAGAACGCCCCAGACCCTATCCTTCGTAAACCCTCGTGAAGATCAACTTCAGCCAATTTGGTACACTCTTCGAATGCACGGACTCCGATGGTCTTTACAGACGAGGGGATATCGACACTTCGAATAGACCTGCAAAATGTAAATGCACTTTGTCCAATACTTTCTAGCGAAGATGGGAGTTGAATTTCAGAAATTGACTGACAACCTTTGAAACTTTTGTAGCCAATGTGTTTCAGAGTCTGAGGAAAATTCACATGCGCCATGCGTCCACAATCTGCAAACGCCATTTCTCCAATGCTCGTCAATCCATTCACAAGGATTACCTCGATCAAAGACACGCATGCGTAAAAGGAATAGGCCTGGATGACTCTGATGTTTGGCCCAATTTCTACTCTGAGCAATCCCGAATAAAAGAATAATTGGCTGGATATCTCTTCCAATCTCATCGCTAGTTTCACATTCAATAAAGATAGGCAGTGCGAGAAAGAGCTATGTCCAATGGACTCCACCGTTGATGGAAGACCAATTTGTGATAGCTTCCAACACTCCGAAAAGGCGTCACATCCAATCGTTTTTAGACCTTCCGAAAATGATATTTCCCTCAGGACCTTGCACTGCTTGAACACAAAGTCTCCAAGAACCTTGATACCAGGACCAGTTTTCACATCTTTCAACTCGGTACATCCAAAGAAGGCGCCGTTTGGAAGCTTTGTCAATCCACCAATTATATCGATTTCTTCTAATTTCGTGCACTCTCGGAAAGCATACTCTCCCATATACACCATTGTTGATGGAATCCTTATTTTGGACAATGATTTGCAGTGAGCAAAGGAATGATTTCGAATTTCTCGTAGGCCTTCTTGAAATTCGATGTCTCGGAGACCGGTACAGGATTGAAAAGCATTGGCTCCAATAAACTGTAGAGTTGAAGGAAATTTGACCTTTCGGATCGATTGGCACTGTTCGAACGCACTTCCGTTGATGATCTTCAGTCCTTGTGCAAAGATGACGTCGATTAAATTATTGCAGTACCGGAAGGCTGAGTTGCCAATCGTGTGTATTGACGAATGGAATTTAAGTCTGGTCAACGAACCACAGCCGTGGAAGGCATCGTCTCCAATTCTTCGAAGTCCAACTGCAAAAGAGACAATTTTCAGGGCTTGACGTATTTTGAGGCATCGATGATATGGACCATCGCCACCTGAATAGACGATGTTATCTCTTGGTCGAGCCGGGAACGCTTCATCACCAATGAATTCCACGGTAGAAGGGAGAGCCACCTGTGGGAGACAAGTGCATTTCGCAAACGAATGACTTCCGATTCGTTTTAATCCTTCTGAAAGCTCCAACTCGCAGAGTGAAGGGCACTCTGCAAAAGCATAGTCTTCAATGACCTCCACTGTATCAATAATCTTTAGGTTCTGCAATGAAACACATCTGAAGAAAGCACCATTGCCAATCGTTTTCAATCCTTTCCCTAGAATAACCTCAGATAAACAGATACACTCTCTAAAGGAGTATTCCCCCAACCGTTTCACTTTTGGCGGGATCTTTATCTTGGTCAATGCAGTGCAGTGAGAGAAGGCATCTTTTCCAATCTCTCCAAGATTTCCTTCTCTAATGCGCCCTCCTCTGAGATACTCTTCCTCAAACAAAACATCTTCCAGACTACTGCAGGAGAAAAAGGCAAAGGCTTCAATCACGCCCAAAGTAGTCGGAAACTTGACCTTTCGCAAGGAGGAACAGTTTTCAAACGCTCGAGTCTTGATCACCAAGAGACCCTTTGCCAGTGAAAGGTGCACCAAGTTTTCACAATGTTGAAACGCCGCCTTCCCAATCGAATGCACGGACGACGGAATGGAAATCTTTGGCAAGGCCAAGTCGTTGCGAAAGGATCCATCTTTGATTTCTGTAACACCTTGTACGAAAGCGAACAGGTGCATTGCCTGAAATACTTGTGGATGAGGACTTATATCACTTGTGTAAGACGAATAAGAGGAAGAAGAAGAAGGAGAGTCATCGTCGCTATCAGATGAAGAGAATGACCCGTTTTCGTCTTCCGACGATGAAGATGACTCATCATCATCATCCTCCTGTGCTCGTGATGATTTCAATCGTCTTGCATCGTTGCCATCATCCGAGTTGGCCCTCTTTCGACGTGGTGGCATTTGATCTCGATAGTATTGCTCTCAACTGATAAAGGAATGAATGAGAAAAGTTTTAGTGTGACAGTATCGTCAACTTGAAACTGTATTATTATCTTCGTTGCTGCGTTGAAGTGATGACATAATGCAGAGAAGATAATAAGGGGATCTGGATTTTTAGTCGTTTGGGTCATCTGAAGGTGACCGCGCGGCTGTCGAGCGACCAGCAATATTCTATGCTATAAAATACTCGTATAGGGAGAAAACTGCTTTTCCACCCAAAAGATACGCGTTTCGTGGTAGAAAAAGCAAAAAGATCATACCGGTAGGCCAATGATCGTTCATTTCATCTAAACAATTTGTGCAACCAACGTGATTTGGTACCAAAACTCCGACAACAACACAAACGACGAAGTACAGCCAACTCAATTCAAAATGGAGGAAAATGCAGCAGTCGAACAACACCAATTAAATAATAGTGGTTGGAATCGTCGCAAGTGTGCCGTCATCGCGGCCATCATTGTGGGGTTAGCTGCCATTGGAGCTGGAGTCGGCGTCGCAGTGACTTCTGGAAATGAGGAATCCATTGACAATAGCGTTCCTACTCCTTCCGTTCTAGGCGATCGTCGTATTACCACACCAGGTCCCACGCCATTCAATGGTTCTTCCGCAAGTCTTGAAGAAAACGTCTTTGATTTCTTGACAAATTTTGTGGACGAGCAGACTCTCTTGGATGAGAGGTCTTACACTTTCTCTGCCTACAATTGGCTAATGAAGAATAGCACTGGTGATCACATTTACTTTAAAGACCGCATCCGACAGCGCTTTTCACTTGCGTGTATCTACTATGCTACAAAGAATACAAATGATGATGAAGGAGTGATTCACGATGACGGATTGGTCAGCGTCCAAGCACATGACGAAGGACCGAATAGATGGATTCGCGACGATAAATGGCTCAGCGACGAAGATCATGAATGCAGCTGGATGGGTGTCCGTTGCATAAATGGAAACATTGTTGCATTGAACTTGACCTCCAATGGACTCAAGGGAGTATTCCCCATGGAAGTCATGATGCTCAAGACGTACCTTCTAGCTTTGCAACTTGGTGACAATGACCGACTTTTCAACAAAGACCAAGAACTTCGATGGCTCGGTCAATTGTCCCTGTTGCGACTTCTTGACGTTAGAGATACCGGTTTCACTAATGGCGGAATTCCTTCCTACATTGGCCGCCTCACTGATCTCCGTAAGTTTACATTAGTATACCGTACTACAAAGAAACGTAACAAAGACAGTATAGTGCTCTAACTCTTTGGGGTTTTCACATTTGTTGACGGTGCAGGCATTTTGGAGATGGCCAACTCGAAAATTCCCGTTCGTGGTGATGATGTTGACGGAACCATTTTCAAAAACTTGACTCAATTGGTCTACCTTGATATTGGTGGCATTCAATTCAATAATAATACCTTTCCTGATGCAATTACTCAGCTACCTCGTCTTGAAGCTCTATACGCTTCCAATTGTGGCTTTGAAGGAAAACTAGAGTCCTTACTAATACCAAACTCGAGGAGGATACAAGAAATTCGATTGGACAACAACAACTTGTCCGGCCAAGTCCCAACTAGTATTCATGAGTTGTACAGGTTGGGCAGTCTCTCGATCCGTAACAACTCCTTGAGTGGGTCGTTACCAACCGAGCTTGGTTTGATGACGCACATGACACAACTTTGGCTGTCAGGAAACCTCTTGTCGGGAGCAATTCCGTCCGAGATTGGTTCCATGATGTCTTTACAGGTTTTGGGCTTGGAAGGCAACAAGATTCGAAATGAGACCATGCCAAGTGAAATTTGTGACTTGGGATTGGTTTCCCTCGGTGCCGACTGTAAAAGTGATGTTGCCTGCAGCTCTGATTGCTGCACCTGCTGCGAACCACCTTGCCCTGTTGTCGACCTTTGGTAAGAAGCAGCTCTCTTTTAGATGATAAATAATGATTCATGTTTGTGGTGGAAATAGTGGTTTCTTCTGGAGCACCAGTGGATGATTGGCACTCGACGCTCGTTGAATCATGCCGTCCCGCAGCAACTTGGACGTCAAATCATAGTTCAAATACGAAGCCAGAGCATTCCAAACTTGTCGATCTTGTTGCAAATATGGAATCAGTTCATCAAACTCCCATACCAAAAAGGTGGCATCCTTGTTCTTGCGGACCACGACGTCTGCGGAAGCTCCCGTGTCCATATTGTTGAGAAGCATTCGGCCCAAGAGGGAAATCTCCCCAATGAATTTATACTGTTCCAGCTGCGCCACCTTTTTGCCATTTTTCAACACATCGACCGATCCCTCAATCAAAAATTGTAGACTGTGTTTGGCCTGTCCTTTCTTGACGACAACTGTTCCAGGTGGCACTTTGACCACTTGCGCCAATTCGTAGAGTCGCAAGAACTCCACTTTGGAAAATCCTCTTTGTTGAAAGTGTCCCTTTTCAAACAATTCTTGCATGGTGGGTGTCATAGAATCCGCTCGTTGTCGTTCCAAATGCAATTTGGTCACCATGGCGCCATTGATCAAGACCAGTACCAAATTCCATCGAATGGGAATCCAGAGTGGAATCTTGCGATAATACTGAAAGACCAATGCCAGGGACGTGGCCACTAAGGAGACCAAACGTAACGCAAAAATATCCGTCATGGTGTAGGCCGCCAGCACCAAAAAGGACGACAGGTTGCCGGCCAGTTCGGATAGGTTGTGATCGAGGAAACGTTTGCGGTTGAAAAAGTCGGCTCGGTTGTTCCATATGCTGGAATCAGCATCCATCTTGGCATCAACTTTGCTTGGTTTGGGTACATCTGGTGGATTGACCTTGGACGAAGTAAATCGTTTGGAGATTGCAAAAGTCATGGTGTGGTGGTGGTGGTTGGTCGGATGAGATGAATACTCCTTTGTGGCAACCAGAAAAGGTGCGACGGTTTCACCTCTTTGACGGACTAGGCGGCGTGAGGTGCGTGCCAAAGTATTGCTGACACGATGGAAGGAAAACATAATCGTTGTAGCTGTACCAGTTTACTCAATCTACAATTCAAGCTGATGATATTGTTGTATCTTTGCGGTCATTGTATTTTCCGTGCGTGTGTTCTTTTTGTGTGACACTTTGGAACTCTCCGATGCGACTCGTGGCACGTGCCGACGAGCTAATTGAATAGCGTACTTAATAGGAAGAAATCAGACGGCCCGCCCATCCCGGAAGTATATTCGGCCAAGATTTTGACGGATTTTTGACTTGTGTTTTTTTGCAACGATTGACTGCGTACAATTGCATCAGCATAACATCAGCATAACATCATCCAAACTTTACCGATCTTAAAATCCGCAGTATTCTCGCGTCCCAATCGTCCAAAGCTCCTTCAACAATCATTCTTTGTTTTTGATTGTCAGATTCTGAAGTCTTTCATCTGCTTTTTGTCACCATGCCGGAGAAATCAGAAGAACAACAACAAGTCCCAGAGAAATCCCCACCATGGAAATTCATCCTTATTGGAGTGGGGGTCGTGGTGTTCGCCTTGGCCATCGGATTGCCAATAGGATTGCTGGCAGGAGGCAGTGGTAGTGATGATTCTTCTTCCGCTTTATCCGCCACCAATGGATCTCCCAATGCATCTCCCACTAGCAGTGGTGGTAGTGGTGGTGGAAGCCCCAGTGGTGGTGGTGGAAGCTTTCCCAATCAGCCACCGGTCAGTTCTCCTACCTTTCAGAATCCTCCCGCCAACCGAGTTCCCATCAAATGTTTGCCCGACGATTATCGAATTGATGCCTTGACGTCGGGTGTTTGTTCGGGTGGACTCCGCCGGGAAGAACTGTACCTTCGAACCTTGCGACAAATCACTGCCCAAAGTGTCTTGACCAATCCCAGTCGGCCCCAAGGAAAGGCCTTTGCCTTTTTGCTCAATTACGATCCCTACTTTCAAGGATCTTGTAGTACTACTGGTTTGAAGGAACGTTACATTTTGATGACTCTCTTCTTTTCCACCAAAGGAGAGTACTGGTCCCGACAAGTTGGTTGGTGCGGTGGAACCCAACATTGCACTTGGTCCGGAGTCTCTTGTTCCAGCAGTGGAACCATTACTGGAATCGAATTGGCCACCAACAATTTGAGTGGTACCATCCCGGAAGAATTCTATGCCCTCCAACACCTCCAACGCATCAATTTGTTTGCCAATTCTATTTTGGGTACGATCCCCAACTTTTCGACACTGTACAACTTGAAGGAAATTGATTTGCAAAACAACTTGCTGACGGGCAATGCCTTTCCCACTAGTCTACCCAATGGTGTGACCCATTACAAAGTGAGTGGCAACAATTTGAGTGGCACCATTCCCACCTCGATATTGGACAAGTGGACCCAACTCCAAACCCTTTGGGCGGGTAACAATCAGATCAGCGGTACCATTCCGACCCAATTTGGAAGACTCAATCGACTGACAAGTCTATACCTGTATGAAAACCGACTCCAAGGCAGCCTCCCGGCACAATTGGGCAACATTTTGTTGCAAGAGATTTGGTTGTCCAACAACTTTTTCGAACAACAAATTCCGGAATCTCTACTATTCTTGGGAAGTCTCAAGTTGTTTCGACTGGAAAACAACGTCTTTTCGGGCAGTCTTGCGACTTGGATTGGTCTTTTGACCAACTTGCAAGACTTACGAGTCAACAATAACAACATTGCTGGAACTGTGCCAGTTCAATTGGATCAGCTTACCGATTTGAGTGAGTATAACATCCACGATGAATTGCCTTGTGAGACTACGGATTTCTAACACCACATTTTTATGTTTGTCCACTCTCGACCTGTTCAGAGGAACTACAGATTGGAACCAACTTTTGGAGTGGCAATCTGCCAAATATCTTCCGCAACCTACAGCAACTCGAGACCTTTGACGCATCGAATACTGATCTGGGTGGCACGATTCCCACCGCACTCTTCAACATTCCAACCCTGGAAACCGTCAATCTTTCCAACTCTCGATTGTCGGGTAGCATTCCCAATACATTGAGCAATGCTGGCAATCTACAGAAACTCTACCTGAATGACATGCCCAACCTACGTGGAAACCTCCCGTCTCCTGGTCAAGGACGATTGGGCAGTCTGACGGAACTTTTGGTCCATCGAACGGGATTGACAGGGTCCATGCCCACATCGATCTGTGCCCTGCGATCGGACTCCTTTTTGGATACCTTGGAAGCTGACTGCCTTGGAGGATCACCCAAATTGCAATGCGACTTTCCAGATTGCTGCACTCGATGCTACTAATAACTGCAGAATGTGTCACATGATTGATTGATCGATTGATTCATTCATTCATTCATTCATTCATTGTGTTATGAAGATGTGACAACTAAACAATTAACGTGCAGGATTCCAAAATGGACTCTTCGTTCCTTGGAACGCACGTATATATCTATGTATTGGTGTCAGTCGGAGTCGAAATGATACTGCTGTACTGTAGTGTAATGGAGATAGAGTGAAACCTGCAGTATGGCACTGTTCTATATTTTCGTTTTCGTTTTCCTCCAAGGTGATATATTGAATAAGCATTTCAGTATTATACTGTGTTATGCACATGAATACGAATTATGTACTGTGATTTAGTTGAATTCAGTATTCTACACATCATGGTACGGGTACATGTATTATAACAAAATAATGGGAAGGGGTACGAATATCCCTTCACCACAAGAACCGGCAGGTTATCACCCACTGTTCGTCAAGGACAGTCTTCTTTGGATGCCGTTTTCGAATTCGCTGTTTTTGTTTCACTGCCCAGTATTTTCGTTCGCGGTCCTCTTCTTCTTCTTCTCTAAGAGGGAAGCGAGTCGTCTTGACTCGATCATACCTGTTGGAAGTTGACTCGGTAGTACCTCGTCTCCTTTGTCTTCTCGAAGTAGATGAGGGTAGGGAATCGGGAATGGGCTGTTGTGCCCAACCGTAAAAGAAGCGAGTCTCAATGGCGCTTGCTGGTGGTGGAATGCAGCTCGTTCTTGCCTTCAGTAGGATACCCTTGGGAATCACTTCCAGGGTATCCAAGCTTTCGAAGGATGATTGAGTGTCAACGCTGGTGGTAACACTGCTAGATTTAGAACTAGCTTTGTACTCAATGCTCGTTATGCATTCTTCTTGGAGCTCTTCTTGAAGACACAAGCTATTCGAGCTTGTCTCCTCGGACGAGACTTTGCCGTCGATTGGCATGGTAGAGGCTGTTTGTGGAGTGTTTCTAATAACTATCGTATGGGAGCAAACAAGCTTCAAAGGATGTGTCACAAAATTTGAGCAGATACTGACAAAGAGCTCAGCCGGTTTCATGTTTGAAGTTGCTATAGGCCTCTCGAAACACCAGATAATTTTCCATTGATGCAGTATTCGCGATCGCCATGTATATATAGGTCGCAAAAGCGCATGGTACCTGTAGGACATGCCACAGTACTGTACCCAATTGAAGAAATATCTATATATATTATATATTGTAGTGTTCAATGTGCGATCACTTACTGGATAAATGTTTGTCTGAGCCTTTTGCGAATTGTGTGACAAGAACCAAAACAAGCAGAAGAGGAGGCGCGTGGAATTCTTTCTCTTTTCTCGAGAGGACCAAGCACAGTAGAATAAAAGTCGACCTGAGCTCAAGCTGTCTCACGAAAACAATTTCACAACGCAACAAAACCACAACACCACAATGCCTAACAGCAGCACAAGAAGAGGAGTGACCATCAACCCCAACGTCAAGGTTCATGAAATCTTTCCCCTCTACGAATACACTGCCAGCGAAATCAGTACTATATGGTATAATGAAGATGAAATGGCCGAAATCTCAAGATCATGCGCCAAGATTCTGAGAAGACTCGAAAGTGTTGGGAGCGCCAAAGAAAGTAAGTACTGTATTCGTGGCTTGGAAACCCACACCAGATTGGGCTCCGTTGTCAAGAGAAGCAACCGAGCGGCTGCGAGAGCAGCAGTGCTCGCGGAACAAGCAAGGCAATGGAGGAACGAAAAAGGCGAAAATGGCGCCCAAGCTATCTGCGATGCTTATCGAAGAACAACCTCGAGTTGCCAAATGTGGGCTCAAGCTGTTGGAAGGCGTGACCAACAAGAAGTAGAAGCTTATCTGTGTAATGACAATGATGATGTCGAAGAAGAAGAGGAGGAAGAATCAGTACTAGGGAGAAAGCCTTCACCTTCATCTACAATCGCCTGCTCGCCAAGCCAAGAGTCCAGAATAGTTCTGCGGGCAGCTAATACAGCAAGTCCTAGCGCCAAAGCGGCGTAGTAGCTTAACTCGGGTACGTCGATACTGCGGTACGGTCTTTTTTAAGAGCTGCAGTACTAGTCGCAGATTGTTTTCATTCGCTCGACGCTGACAATACTGGGCCCGACTGAAGGGATAGAAATAAATGAATGTATCATGCATAGAATAGTATGAAGAAAGCAGTGCTGCAGTAGCATTTCTGCATTGTGGTATAGGATATGATAATATTTTTTCGATTTAGTGTCTGTTCCGTGGTTTCAAAAAAATGACTGCCATATGTAAACTCACCATGCATTCAACTATATTATCTGCTTTGTCTGCTACTATTCTGTAGTATACTTTGAACTTTGACGCACGCGGTACGAGAAAGACGAGAGTGTTCTGAAATAGTTCTTTTGCGTCTTTCGATGATCTTCGATGCGCAAAATATGCGTAATGTAGATGACCATAAATATTACATTCAGGTTGGCATTGTTGTTGCTGATCCAATCTATAACTTCCCATAACAATCATGCTCCGAATCTTTGCTTCACTGCTATCTTTCTTTCTAGTGTTGGCGTCTGTTGCTGCAGGAACCAATGAAAAAGGCCTCGCCTTTCTAGAAGCCAACAAGAACAAGCCCGGTGTCATTACTCTGCCATCGGGATTGCAATACAAGGTTCTCAAGAAGGGTCCAGGTGCCTTTCACCCAACCGCAGACTCCTCTTGCAGCTGTCATTACGAAGGAACTCTCATTGATGGCTCTGTATTTGATAGGTATGATTTATGAATATGCATTGTGTTATGATAGAGTTTTTATTACATTATTGATTGATTCATTACACATTGTTTGGACTCACGATGACATTTGATCTATCTACACCATTAGTTCCTATCAGCGCGGACAACCTACTTCCTTTGCACCCAACCAAGTGATCAAAGGATGGACGGAGGCGATGCAATTAATGGTCGAAGGAGACAAGTGGGAGATGTATATTCCATCCGAATTGGGATATGGTGATGGGGGATCCCCTCCCAAGATTGGAGGTGGAGATGTCCTTATCTTTCAAATGGAAATCTTGGATATTCTTGGAGACAAGGTTCCAGCTTTGCAATGCAAGGTTGCCGAAGGTGAACAAGACGAGTGTACTGAACGAGAACTCAAGTACATTGCCAAGACAAAGGAATGGGCGCCAACCAAGGTAGCATCAGAAATCACTCGAGTTCGAACCATCCTAGGAAAGCCAATGGCTGATGACTTGAAAGACTGGGCCAACCGACGTGTTCACATTCTTCAACAACTAAAAGATGCATCGGATGGAGGAGAACTATGAATCAATTATAGAACATGAAAAGTGTGTAACTTATGCTTCTTATTCTGGTTTTATACAATCAAAAAGCCCAGGCAATATAATACAGTATAATACAATACAATTAATGTTCCAGCTGGGATGAAAGGCGGAACTGGAGTAGTTGAGCAAAGCCAATCTAATACTGATGCCCTAGAACCAATGCTAATGTCATGAAAGGCACAGGTTGATTATTGTTCTTCTCGCAGTAGTGTCACCGCGGGGAACTTTGAAGATACAGCTACGTGCTTTTGAATAAGTGTGTATGCATCACTTGCACTATATGTCTCTCTATGTCTATATCCTATATATAACTCATTTATACTGCCTGACGAGGTTTCGAAGGCGGGCCCATGCCTCCCCACGATCGTATTCCGAGCTGAGAACCATGTCCGATGGGATCTCGACGGAAACCCAAGGATCCCCGTCACTTTCTGAATCCACTAGCATGGTTTCTAGTTCCTGCTCGGTGAACTCCATAAAATGAAAAAAGAACTTTGCCTTGTTGGTGTCAAAGTCACTAGATACAGCATATTCAAAGCCTCCTTGATAGATTCCAGAGGTTCCGACTTCTTCTTGATCCGCCGTCTTGGCAATCGTTTCGTCAGAATGGAGCATAAAGGCTGATTCTCCACCCATGTCGCCTCCACGGAAAAGCTGATTCATATACACCGGAGCAGTTTTGGCATCTTCTTCACCGTCCATCATTTCTCCAATTGTAAAGGCTGTCGGATGATCGATAATGACACCTCGAATGACATATTCATCGTAGTCATCCAATCCCATGCCATAGATGAACACAGCGGATTCCCGCATAAAGTGATGGAATTCATCTGCAGGAGCCACCAAGACGACTCCTGGTCTTACAATGGCATTGCTACCCTTTCCCAAGAATCGAATGGAGGATGACGATGCGGATTCACCATTCTCCCCATCCTTATTAGAATAAAGCGAAGGAAAACATCGATTGGTTTGGTAATAGTGATGCTTGGCATTTTGTGTGATTCCGAGATGATGATTGGTAAAGGCATTGATTGATTCCGTCAGCAACAGAATGATGTATGCCAGGAAGACTACTCTGCAGCAAGATTCACTCATTATCATTATACTCCTAATACTTGCTTGTCATGCGGTGCGAATTGGTAATATATCTACGATGATAATAATGATGATGATGATTTTCAGACCACTGAAATCTGAAACCTGCGTTTTTGGGGCGAGAAGGAGAAGAGTGTATTATATGAGGGGAAATGATTTTTCAGAGGGAAATAAAATCCCCCTGCAAATTCGACGAAAATGCCGCGGCAGCCATGCTTTTCATAAGAATACCTTCGTAACGAAGATGGATGTATATTTCGCCAAATCGGTATTTCGCCAAAACCGAATCATTGTCACGACCCAAAACACCATCAAAACTGAACATTACTATTTGCCCATTCCCATCGGCAACAATAGAAGACAAGGCAAACTACACAACATTTTATATCGATTTATTACAATGAGCAATTTCTTAATTGAAGCCCCCCGTTTGACGACCGAAGACTTGGACAAGACCTACTGTGACCAGGACGCAGAAATTTTGGAGGAATTCGAGAACGAATGGATTCAGTTTCTGCGCAAGAATCCCGAAAAGTTGCGGGGCCGACAAGAAAAGAAGATCAACAAGCTACGCAAAAAGAAAGAGGAAATCTTGGACAAGCAAAAGAAGGTCGAAGAGGAATTGAAACTTCAACTGGAATTCTTTGACGAGTCTCGCCAGGAACTGGAGGAGAACTTTCAACGTACCATGAAGGAAGAGCAAGAGAACCAAAAGGAGATGAGAGATGTTTTGGACGGAGAAGTACACACGGCTGCTGTTGCGGCTCACAACTTTACTCTGACTCTTCCATGGGAGAAATTCTTTTACAATCTGGAACGTCTTGCTTCCAGAGAAGGTATTCCGCCTGTGCCGTCCGGCCTGACCACAGATTCGGGCCGACAGGCATTGGTACCTTCTACAAAAGCACAGTTGTTGCTAAAGAAGGAGGACGATGATACTAAACCTGATCTTCATTTTGCCTTGCATGCCTACCAGATGGACGAAGCCTTGATGAAGGCGCAAAGCAAAATGTACGAACTCGAAATCGAACGATACCAAAAGACCATTGAGAACTTGGAGGTGACAAGCAAATTCCTCCATGAACACAATGTTTGGACCATCTTGAAGAAGGGCGACGATGATACTACTGTTGCTAGCAAAGCACCAAGTACAGTGACACGAGTTGGATACTAGCTAGTAGACAAGAAATTGAGCGAGCAAGAACAACGGCAGGAGGTCGTGATGATCATGAGCGATTCATTCATGTAGTACTAAGACCGAGCATTATTGTCTCCCAAACTGGTCATTTTGTGAAAGACTAAATTTCAAATTAGTCCAGAATTAGCTAGCTAGTTGAGCGAGGGGCCTTGCCACAGTCGCATATGACCTACAATTCAGTTCTGCCTGATGCATTTCCTATTATTTTATGCGTTGCCATGCAAGTACGAACGTGTATTTTTTTTAAACGGAATGGACGAGTTCCCGACCCATTGGACTCAAAATTGTCATTTTCTTCTTTTATTTTATATTTGATGATTTTCAAATCATCATCCCGCAGACGGCATCATCATCATCTCGCAATCATCATCGCTATATACATTCTAAAAAAATCAATACAATACAATACAATACAATAGTATCTTAAGAGCATCATGCCTTTGCCTTTCTGCTGAACAATAACAAAGCTAGAATGAAGATTTCAATTTCACAAACAAACCGCCAAAGCGCCGGCGGATCATCGTCACGATTCTTCAAGTCAGCAGTGCTGTGTGCGTTGGCGTATGCCTTTGGTCTGTACAGCAGTTCCACCAGCAGCAGCGATAATAACAACAGACTGATTGTTGTAGAGGACCATGTTAACAGACGAGCCAGCGCGATTGAGATTCCAGAACAACAATCATGGAGTGCCAACGCTAGAGCCATGGATGCCACACACAAAACGCAACAAGCAAGGAAAAAGTTGTTGGAAGCAAGGAAGCAATCCAAACGACCACAGCAATCCGACCAATCATCAGCCACGTCGTTTAGCATTCCTTCCGCTCTGAATCTCATTCCCAATGACCAATTGAAATTAGCAGACTACTTTTCAGATTCGTGGCTGCTCAATAAGAAGAACTTTCTCAAGGTTCCACTGTATCAGATTGGAATTGTGGAAGGTACAGTATGATTTTTGAATAGTATATATACTTTTGATTTGATTTGATGGTTGATTCATCAATTCATTCTGTGAATAACTCACTCACTACTGCACCACCTCTCGCATTCAATTAAATAAATCCAGATGCCTGCTTTGCTGCCATTGGCAAGCGACGAATCCACGATCATTCCAAAATGTTTGTAGATTGGACCGACTTTATGGTAATGCATCTCTCCAAATGGTGGGGCGAGCTGAACATTTTAGGAGATGAGGATTCTACAATGTTTGATCACACCACTGGAACCATTTTTGGTGGTTATTTGCACAAGGTTTTCAGCGGCAAAGCGACAACGAAAACCACAACAACAACAACACCAAAAAGCCCACTCCATCCTACCATTGCCATGATTGCCTTTGCTCCCTATCGCAGCTCGCACAAAAATCGGGGAGAACTATTGACTGCCCACTCCTTGGCAAGTACGATCGCTTCACTTTACCATGTAGGGTTTGGAAGAGTCATTGTGACGTGCAACGGTGACACGGATGTTACCCGAGCTCATGAAGCCTTTCGACTGGTGCAGCTATACTCCACAGCTAGCACGTTCAATGAAAAAGTAACCGTGGATACCGCCAACCGTATATTATTCAGCAGCGATCAAGCCATGGCAGTACCCGCACAAATCGGTAACACAGAATTGGCGGCAGTCCGAATTACCAACACGACGTGGTTCAAAACGAAATGGGTCAAATATAACATGCCATTGGCAGCCGTCATTGGGATGCAAAAAGCCTTGGGAGGCAAATTGGAGAGTGAGAAGGAATCCAAATATTGGCTCGGCACCAAGCATGACGCATCCTATTGGAAGTATGTGTACTTGACGGAACCGGATACCTTATTGCATACCAAAGAATCCATGTGGAAACCAATCCAAGAGGGATTGGATCAGGGATTGTCATTCTTTCCACATCGATTGCAGCCTCTGCCGCACGAATTCAATTTGCCACCGTCCACTGAGGATCCATCCACAAAGCATGTCTCGAGAAAGTACCAAACTCAATACATCCCAAATGTCCTTCCCTTTTCGAACATTACCAACTTGGATGACACTTGGCATTGTTGTGATGATGGGCCAGAGTGGCCAGGCCGAAGTGAAGAATTCGGCACCCAGCAACGACCCTGTGGAGGTCTTTGGTGGTGGGCCTGTGGATACCGGTCGTCCGTCAAGGTATCGGAACAATCCAAGGAGGAAATCTTGGAGCATCACAAACGGCTAGTTCCGTATCCAATGATGACGGTGGCCAAGGGAACGGGTGTTGTCTTTGCTCCAACGGAAATGGGACGGCGATGCTTTCCCTCTCAAGCTCCGTGCAAAAGAACCTAATCGCTGGTTGATCCATTGTAGTGACTACTAAGGATATCATCTATACAGTATAGCAGTGGAAACCTTAATAAATGTTTCAAACCTACTCCCACTGCTGATCCATCTTCTCAGGATATTCCAATGATAGAACAAGCTGACCGCAATTACGGCAACCACGAAAAGTGAAAGAATGGTGGAGGATATTGCTCAAACGCGCCTGAGGAGCAAGACGATTGCTTACGTGAAGAAGATACTGAAAGTTTTGGATGAAACTGGAAAGGAGGTTGATGATGATCCGCGGCAAGAGATTTGTGCAGCATTGGTATTTGCTTTTAAGCATGAGTACAGCAGTGTAGCACTTTCTCGTGAAGATGAAGACGAGACAATGTTCGCCCCTACCTGATGCATCCTTGGACTTCTTAAAGAATCAGCGGACAAGAGTGGAAATTAACAATAGGGGCCGACTCTCTGGTTTTCTTCATTCAATGTGAATATTGCCAGTCATCGATATGGTATTTTCTCTTCGAGTAGTATTGGATGAAGACAACAAGAAGCAAGACCACTACATTCCTACGGTGGTCTCGGTCAAATCAAAGACGACCTTTGGACCTACAGAAGTGTCAAAGGCATTGGAGGTGATGGAGGTGAAAACCGCTCCCACCAATAATGACGGTGGGCATGTTAGCTCTGCGGCGAAATCTTGCTGGAAGAAGGGTGGTCTTTGTCTTCTTGTGCTTCTTGGAAAAGAATCTCAATCCAAGTGTAGTAACGATCACGAGCTGGATACGCAAGGGATTGCGGATATTACAAAGGAGCTTGAGGACCAAAAGGTTGTTTTGCGGATGTTTCAGGTCCCGCTAAAAGATTCTTTTTGGATAACTGAAGCTTTCCAAGGAGTTGTGTCACTCGAAGAAAAGTCGGAAGTTTTGGCCTCGCAGAGCTTTGTCGGCTTTCACTAGCAGGCAATTGATGAGACAGATGAGCGCCAAACGAAAGATGGTGTACATCCGTTAATGTTGGCGCAAGGACACGAATAATGTTGATTGTAAAGGCATTATGAATGCACTCGTGCTCCATGCTGTCGGAAGCGACATTGAGGATTAGGTGAACGGCAGCGGCAATGGGGAGCAGACCGAAACAGTCATTGATTACTTGAGCTGCTTCAATAGCAGCACCAGCTGATGGTATTTTGGTATGTTTTTCGATTGTGTGAAGTGGCTAGGCAGAACACGACGGGAAGGACAACATGACACAAGGACTGGAACTGTGCGAGCTCAAGGAAGCAGGCAACAACTTTCTATTTTTATAGGTCCAACGGCCTGACTGTAGTTGGCAGAAGGTTAGGTATACTGTAAACTTTGTTATTTGAAGCTAAAAACGCTTTGCCGTAGTATCGACGTTAACATCTGCTTTGTTTGCGTGCAAGATTGATTCATTCATGCAATCGATCGATCGAGCAAGCAAGCAAGCAAGCAATTACTGATATCTAGAAATACTCGAGGTTGCCCTTTTTCCAGAAGAGATCTCGTGGCGACTGAGCGGAAGGTATCGGAATGCGCGGGCCAACATTGCGTCTCCTGTTGATTGATTCCTTATATATTATGGAACCGCATCCTTGTAGATGTAGCTATAGGCAGCATGTATGTCTCTCCTCCAGCACCCGGTACTACAGCAAGATGAGCCCCATGTCTCGCCACTGTACATATAATGCTGCCCATTCATTGCCATGTGCCATTATGTCAGTCACTCCTAGCTAGTTCGGAAAATTCTTCCACAATTCATTCATCTTGGCATAGAATTTCAAATCTTCGGCATCTTCTGGTCGCAGTATGGAGAATCGCTCCAAGTCGCGATGCGTGGAAGAATCATTCTCGGTTGGAACTGGAATCATAATGGACGGGGAGGATTCATCACTCTTCTCCTCAGGCGCTGCATTGTTGTTGTTGTTATTATTATTATTATCATCATTCTTCTTCTTCTTCTTTTTGGTTTGCAACGAGTGCAAGATTTGAAGGGCTGCCTTTTTGCCAGAAATGGCAGCTCCGTGCGCTTGTCCACATCCGTGGTACCAAGATCCTGGTAGATTGGCAAAGGCTTCTCCCGCAAAGTACAATTGTCCATTGACATGTGGAACCGCACCGACTTGATTGAAATTCTTCTTCTTCTTCTTCGTCTTGGAGCCGTGTTTGTCATGGTTGCTATGAAATTGCACTGCCGAACAATCCAAAATGCCTGGTGTAAAGGTTTCCTTGGTCCAATGCACAATTTGATACCCAATGTAATTCTGTCGGACCAAAAACTCATCAAAGTGTTCCACTTGTTCCATGTAATCGATAAACTCTTGGAGCAAATGTTGTGCCATGTCGTCATGAAATTCGCTGACCCGATAAAAATCATTTTGCCGTGTGGGACCGTAATAAAAGTTGTAATACGCTTGGGCGGGTTGTCCCAGTAGCTGTCCCACGAGATAATGTTTGGCACCCTTTGGACGGCGCACCTTGGGATCGTACCGGACTTCGGAATCGGCCCAATATTCGTACACCCGCTGGGGATTGACGCCCAAATCTTTTGGTTCGTGGCTGCCGATCAATGGTGCGTCGTCATCCTCTCTTGCCAGCAAGAGAGGCATTTTCAAGATGTCAATATAATCGGGATAAAATTTGTGTTTGAATTCAAAAACAATCTTGAGGGCCGGCAACATGGTTGCCTTGTGTTTGTGGATTCGTTTTTGAATGTTGGAAGGGAGTGGTGGATGAAACTGCAGGCCGGTCTTGCGAAAGATGTCCCCATCCACATCATCATTGTAAATATCGTCCTGTGGTGGTGGCTTTCCGTCAATCTTGTCATTATCATCGTCGGCGTCATCCGTGGCCCCTTCCATGGCCTCGCGCTGTTTTTCCTGTTGGTCGAGAGGTTCCTGTAAGAGAGGCAGTGGTATGGTGACCAAGACGGCATCTGCTGTAACCGACATGGAACCACACGAGACTTGCATGATGCTCTTTTTGTTCCCATTCTTCCTCTCAACCTCTTCTTCCAATGACGCTGCTTTCATGGCTACAATCTTGTCCACAATGCAATTGTATTCAATCTTGGTGGTGGATGATGATGTTGATGATGATGATGTTGATGATGTCGTTGATTCAGTAGACGAAGCATCACCACCACTCCTGCGTGATGGCAGCAAAAAGTCTTGGACAAATTCGTACCAAGAATAGTTGCGCATCATGTCATGGGCCGTAGTAGTACTCGTACTTATATTATTCCTCCAATCTTCGGATACCGGTGTCGTGGTAAAATCCCACGCATTGCTTCTTATTTTGCCCTTCTTCGTCTTGTTCGTATTGCCACCATTATTATCATTATCATCGTCACCACCACTCTTCGAAAGGATGACCGGCAACCATTTGGGATCGGTAGTAAACGAGGCTCCCATGTCGACTGGATAATAGTAATGACTCTCGTCAGATTTGGATCGTTGGTTGGTAATGGATCGTTTGGTAGAAGATCGTATCCGTCCACCCCATTGGGATGTGGCTTCCAAAATGAGGACTCCTCCTGGCAATAATACTAAGTCGTCAGTATCAAGAATACGATCATTATTCTTCGTTTCCAATGTTTTGGCAGCGGTCAACCCGGCAATGCCCGCACCGACAATGACGACGGAATAATGTTGGCCATTGACATTTTTATTCTTATGAGCCGATGATGATGATTTGGAAGAGGCTATTTGCTGATGATTATTTGGCAATGCTGATATTGTTGTTGATGATGTTGATGTTGATGATGTTGATGTTGTTTGACCGCCACTATTAGGCACGACGGCTACCATTGAATCCTTTCTGGTTATCATTTTCCCTGCAGTTAGAACAATCAGTAATGCGGAAACCACAGTGACAACCATCATCACACGGACGATTGCCTGCTGCCTATTACTGTTTGTACGACGCCGTAATTTAGGTTTTTCTCCAGCGTTCTTCTTCTTGCGACGACTTTTGGACACCGACACCATGATGATGCCGTCTCGCAAGTGTTGTCTGTATTATAGATAGGCAGGTGAATGATATAATATTGATGAGAAAGTATATTCAATATACGGTATGTTTGCGCGGGTATTTTATTATGTTATTGTCGCATTGTTGTTATTGTGCAATACAAAAGGTTATTGTGTTCAATCTGAATATAATGGGGGAGGGGATGATGTTGAGGGCACAAAAAGGGGGTTGAACCTTCCACGAACAAAAAGATCTTATTCTTCCTGAAGCTTCGATCGAATTGATCAGAATATGAATGAATGAATCACAAAAGCGCAAGACCCATCAACAATAACCGACAAGAAAATACGAACAACTCATCATCATCAAGGCCGAGACAAACAAAGTCTTACAGTATTGGCAACCATACTTAAGCTCTAAGCTAGACATTACGATTACCATCACTCCAACAAACAATCATCATGTCCAACAACGACAACAACAACAACAAGTCGTCCCAAGAAATCAGGGAACGTCAGGAAGAAATGCAAGTATTGACTCGATTCAAAGATGTGATTACCAATAAGCTAGAAAAAATGACCAATGAAACAGAAGACAAGCAAAAGGTATACAAGATGGGAGAGCATGAAAAGAAAGTCATGATGGAAATGCAAGGCATGGGACTCTTCGAAGGAATTGTGGCGGGTGCTGCCACCTTTTTGTTCCTGAGACGTGGTCCCATTTGGATTGGACGATTCATTGCCAAGAGAAGAGGAGGTGGCGGAGGTGGAGGAGGAAGTACAGGTACCACTACCAACCCCAACGTGTCCAAGAATCCCTTTGACAATGCGGCCAAAAGCAACAATAGCAACCCCATGAATACTACAACCAACAGTAGTGGCGGATATCAATTGTCCAATCCATTTGCTGCCAACAACAACGCCGCCGCCGCCGCCAATAATCTCAATTTTCCTCGATCTCGGAATCCAATCATTCGTGCCATTTGGTTTACCTTTGATGCCACCCTCAGTCTCATGATGGCCGCCAACATTTCGTTGCAATACACGGATCTCAAACGGATTCGCAACGATTTGGTCGAACTGCCATTGGCCGAAGGAACCTCCTTGGTGTCGGATGCCTTTTGCGAAGATTTGACCCGCGCATTGCAAAAGGTGCAACGGGAAAACTCCCCCGCCTATCAACGGCTCGTGGCCAAATATCAAGACGGCTCGTCCAAGGAACTTTCTCCCTTGGCTTTATACATGGAAGGGATTACACTCTTTAGTCACAATTGCGAACGTCGGGCGTTTCGTCAACGAGAATTGCTCCAAGAGCAGGGAAATGCGACTGACTTTTCAGACTTTGATGATAATAATGATGTTGATGTTGACAACAACAACAACAACAACAATGATAACAATACCACCACCGCCAGTGACAGCAGCACTAGTCTGTCATTGGATGTTGGTGGTGGATCATCATCCTCCATTATTACCTCCTCTCAGGGGTCCATTCCAATTCCTCCACCTGGTATTTCCAAAGATGGACCACGATTGGTACGATCCCTTCCGGCAGAAGGCACCGACTCGAGCATGGTAATGGGAAAAGAAGAAGAAGAAGAAGAAGAATTCACGGTTGTATTTGGAGACGACAGTGACAGCAACAATTGGGAAAGATCATAATCATTCGAATAACAAAAAAAATAATACAAATGGAAATATGATGCAGAGCGCTACAATATTTATTGAGAATTGTGAGCGTCGAGCCTTTCGGGAATATATAGGACGCCGCGGCTGTAATAGTTTCCTTTTTTGGGATTTTGCTCATGTCAAGGATATGTACTATACTACTAGTACTAGTACTACTAGTACTAGTACTACCGCGAACGCTTCCAGCAGAATTCAAGGGCGAGGATTAATTCTTCTAATAATGGAGTTGAAGAAGAATTCACAGTTATGTATATATGAGTTTTATATATATGACGATAGAAACAATGGTACCGGTAGCGACAGTTTGGAAAGATTACAACAATAATAATGATAATGAAGTGGAAAGGTGATGCAGAAAATGGAATGAGTGAATGACGAATGAAGGCTATATGCTAAATCTAAATGGGTTTCTCTAACTTTTGAAACTCTTCTTTGTTGCTGTTGTTGTTGACTGATTCTTCTTGGTGTGATTCGATCTTGATTTGTGATTTCTTGTGACACCCCCAATTCCCATAATAGTATATTGTGTGTGATTGCCGTTTGAGATGTGTCCCTTTTTCATTGTTTCACCATCAAATTGTTATTAATCCTGTCAAGAATTTGTCGATGGTGGTGATCCAGTTCCCTGAAACTGGCTGGTGCCCTGAAATAAGACTGGGTTCGTCCTATTGATGGTGGGTTCAAAGGTATCGTGCTGTCCAATGTCATTCGTCCAATACGGCGGGGCTATCGGCCGATAATTCTCATTTTCTTCGTGTATCAGTGACGGCATGTTCAGACAAAATTGATCTGCCACATCTCGCATGGCTTTCTTTGCCAAGTGATACAACGGTGATAACTTGAAGGGCTGTTCCATCAGATAGGATATCTCATCCAAACCCAACATGGCATATCCCACCGCCAAAACGGTGACAAAGGTACCAATGGGAGTCAATGATCCGCTTCCTTGCAAGGCCAAAGGCAAAAAGAACAAGTAAAATGTCAACAGCCTACTGGCATGAGAAGTAAACAAGGGCGGGATGGGCGATGCGACGATTCGTTCCGTCAGCATGATGGATTCCTCCAAGTATTGAATGCTCATGTCAATCCCCAATTCGTCGGCCACGGAAATGTTGCAGTGATCGCACAAGGTGTGCATGGCCTGACGCAGTCGCCCCGTGACGGCCACTGGTTTCTTGCGTTGGACCAAGACAAAATCGGCATCCGCCTTGCAGGGCAGCATGGTGCGAATCAGATCCTCGTCACTTCCGCTGGCTTTGGTCCCTCGTAGGAAATTCTTCAACAACCAGGCAAAGATGCTGAGGTGACGAGCCAACTTGAGAGCGGTATTGGGTGCCAATGGATACAATTCGTGTTTGACGACAGACGCAAGATCTCGGGAATAAAAGACAACCTTCCCAAAGGCCTGCCGAGCTTCCAACATGCGTTCCATTCCTTGGTTGCACCTCAGGGCAAGGAGGGAAGCCACAAAACCGGAAAGTAGAGATAAACTCGTCATGGGTAGATCGATATGAGACAAGGGCGTTGTGCGGGTCTTGACAATGCCAATCCCACAGAGCGTCCAGAGCATGAGGGTTGTGAGTTGAGGGGCGACGCGTTTGGCCAGAGCCGAATGATGCCAGTAGACTATCGAACTGACAAAGCGCCACCTCGATGTATGAGCATCCCACATGTCATGATTCCAGGTAACGGCAAAGGTAGGACGTCTTGCTTTGTGAAAGGCACTGTTGACCGTGGGGTCGTACTCCTCCCCACGCAGTTCCACCAAAACCTTGTGCACATCGGCAGCAAACTGCTCAATGGAATCCTTTTGGACCAGGTGATCCGAAAATAACGTTGGCATGGCGGAATCACTTTCATTTTCGCTGGAAGGTAGTTGCTGTTGGATCTTTTCGAATATTGAAGTTTTTTGGGTGAGCTTTGGACCATCCTGACCAGGAACAAAGGTTGGTTTGAACTCCTTGGAAGAAGCAAATGCTGCTCCAAGACAGAGGAAGATCAACAGAGTCATAATCATTAGAGTCGTTGAATTGTTATATGAGTTCTTCATCTTGCTTGCTTGTATTCGTATGCTACCTGATTCTCATGCCTCAGACCTCTTGGTTCTTGTATATTTATACCGCTATTTATTAATATTCCTACCGGTATCGGTATTGAAGTCAGTTATTTTATTGCAACTAATAAACCAGAATATCCTGAAAGTCCAAGAATTGCGTGACATATTCCATATTCGTTTTGGCGTTCGTATCTTGTTGGGTTGCAACACGGCGGGTACGTCACTCCAATTTCATTTTTGAAACGTCACCCAAAAATGTCCGTTTCTTGTGTCCGTAATGTGATGCCTTTCAGGGGGCCCCTCCCCTAAAACACATCTTCAGAATCTACACCTTACTAAAAACACGTAGAATTAATGGTTGACAATAATTTCGGCTTCCCATGAAAGTGCGCGTCACTTTTTGGCAGATTTTTTGGGAAGTCACAAAACATCAACACACAACGAACAAATAAATAGTGGCACATCAACACCATATTTGATCATATACCACCGTACATACAGACATATATATATATATCACTAGTATGCTTCTAATTTATTGTTCCTCAAACAGAAAAATTGGATCTACAGCATGCTGTTCATACCATACCGGTAGAGTACTGTAGACCTCGGGAAAACAAAACTATATACGTGACAAAGATTGAACGACCAAAAGCAGTTGTTCTCTCGTCATCGTTCTTCTTCTTCTTCTTGTCACAAGTCATTACAGCGGCATTCCCAAACTCGCCGATGACTCTATTGCATATTATTCCAACGACGCGGCACGACATGCCTAGTATTTGAGGATGGAAGCGAGTTGTGAGTGCCTTCGCTCATGATCAGCATGATGATCAGCATGGAAGATAAGAGAGCATCACAGCGGCATTCCCAAACTCGACGACGAGCCTCCTTGTTGACCCATAGCCTTGCTTTGTTCCAAGGACACCATGGATGGAAAGACAGGCTGGGACTGAAGCAAGTTGCTTCTTCTCAATCCATTGTTGTTGTTGTTGTTCTTGTTGGAATTAGTATCATTGGCATCATTATCATTGGCATCATCATCATCATTGTCATTTTCATAATGGGCTTGTTTGGACGACGAGACCGTCCGACTGATGGATGCCGTTCCTGTCTTGTTTTGAGCAGACGAGGACAGGGAAGATGCTTCCCTCTTGGTACTCGCAAGAAGAACGGTCGTCTCATCATCAGCAAGACTGTCCTTCAACACGGTCCATGCGACCGACTGGAGTAGGACTTGTTGAGACTCGTCAAATTGAACCTTGAGCAAACAGGTTTGCAAATGAGTTCGATTGCAGGGAGTGAGTTCCATGTAGAGTTCAATCTCTGCCATGGCGGTAATGCCGCCTGCGCCTGGTGAGGTTGGTTTCTTGGTCAAGGAAATCCCACTTTTCAATTGATACAAAAAGTACTTTTGGGCACCCACCCCATATCGTTCTACAGCGCGGTCCACAATGTCATGATCCATGGCCATGAATTGATTCATGGCCAACATTAAGGATGATGATGATGACGACGGTGATGAGGATGCACCGGTACTACTAGCACCAATCTTGGAGACTTGAAGATCAAATTGATTTTCATTTTGCACGAGCTTGGCCAAGATGGACGCATGATCCACAGACATGGTCAAGACTTTTGGCGGTGCTTCTTGAAAAGAGGAGGAGGAGGACTTGGAGTAGTCATATCCCAGGGCTTCTTCTTCTTCGTCGTCTTCGTCTTGAGTGTCTTGTTCACAAGAACAAGAGCAACGTATCATGTTTTGTCGGAGAGAAATAAAAGTCTCGACAGCCTTTTGTTGAAGTTCTTCGATTTCTTGTTGTTGCAAAAGAATCTGCAATTTGGTTTCACAATCCAAGAGTTCTTGATACCGAGCCTTTTTGCGAATTCTGTCAAGAGATAATATAAATGTATAATAGTATAGAGAAAAGAAGAAGAGAGAATATTAGGTGAGTCAAATGTCATTCAGTCAAAATCATGTCCATTGATACTTTCATCAAAGTATTCTCTCTCAACTTTTTTTTTTGCTTACCTAGTAGTCTTGGCATGTTCCCGATTGCGAGTTCGTGTCAATTCGAGACGTTCCTTGGCACTCAAGTCATCTCTCTTCTTTCCTCGTTGTGGTTTACTTCGGAGGGCAGCTTCTACCTTTTCTCTTCGGATATTGAGTTGTTTGGCAGTGGTGGTGGTGGTAGTGGTGGTAGCAGTAGTACTAGTAGAAGTACTATTGGTGGAAGATACCGTGTCATTGTTGTGCAAGGAGGAAGAAGACTCCAAGGAAGCAATGGATGTGCTAGACTTGGTAGCAGGAATAGTGTTACCACTGGTTCTTCCTGCGGTAACAACAGCAGCAGCATTGGACGAGTAGGCTGCGGTGCAATTGGACGAAGGAGGAGTCACTGGTTGTTGCTGTTGTTGTTGTTGTTGTTGTTGAACCTGTTGCAGAGTTGCTGGTGAAAGCATATGCTGGTGCGAGTCATCATGGTGATACCGTTGTTGCTGTTGGTGATGTTGGTGATGAACTTCTCCTCGAGAGACAGCCGCTACCGCATTCGCCGCAGCAATCATGGCTGCTTGAGCTGCTGCCAGATTGATTTGTGCATAGGCATTGTTCTGATGATGCTGATGATGCATATTCATGGACTCTTGCATGGCGGCCATGGAAGAGGATACTGTGGAAGGAAAATAGAGACCTCCATTGTTATTATTCTGTTGCGCATGGTGGTGGTGGTGGTTGTGGTGGTGAGGCGAGACCGCTGCAGCTGCTGTCAGATTGGACGAGGAAGCCACCCGAGATAGAATCGCTTCTCGCCGCTTTTGAATTTGCTGTTGCAGTTGTTGTTGGCAATCCTGATTCACGCTTTGAAAATTGCCGAGAATGTTCATGCTTCCTGGTTTGTTCTCATTTCCAGCAGCAGCAGCAGAAGCAGAAGCTGAAGCAGCGTTTGATGCAGTCGCAACATGTTCATTCACCGCAGCAAGTCTTCTATGCTTATTGCTACTGCTGGGTGATTCGTCGTCCTTGTGGACAAGACTACGCTTCTGTCCTTCTGGTGAATCAACCTGCGCTTCTTCTACTCGTTTGCCTGCCTGAGACGCCGCTGATGATTCTTCTGAATATCCTCTGGATCGGAATTGAAGCAGTGACCGCAACGCGTCCATGGAGTGTTGGTCTTTGGTGATCTCTTCCATATTGTTCAATGTGTTGAGTGTATTGTTCGCAGCGTTGAGACAGATTGCAATGGGACAATTTCAATTACGAGGAGCTTCTTTTAGAACGATGAACAGTGTTGTTCTTTTAAATTTTGCATTCCTGTTTTCTTTTTTCCGGTTGTAACATCTGTTTTGGAATAGCGATTGCTTATTGCGGGATCCAAAGCGACAGGTGGCGTGGTTGAACGGAGTCGGCATTTCTGACGTGTATGATTCATTCACACGCCCTTGGTTCTTAAGTAAAAATGAAGCTAGAAAGATAGATACTGACAATGCGTCGGATAGTCACAGCCAATGTTAAGTATGACACGAATATGCAGCTGTCACCTGTCAAACCATTCGATCACATAATTCCTCGCGTTAACCACGTCGACAACTGACAACGAATCCAACACACGCCGAACCTGAGTGACGTATCGAAATCTGGCGGGAAACTGGCCAAATCTCTAGAAAGAACAGTGATGCACTTTCTGGAAGAACAGTGATGCACTTTCTTGAGACTTGAGAGCCGTGGTGTATGTGCGTGATGCACCTTCGGATCATATTGCGAAACTTAGCAAACGGCCAACGGGCCTGAACCTTGTCTCGACATAGAGGATTAAATGAAGATGATCCCATAGCTTATATCCAGAAAAACTGTAACAAATGACGTGGCAGGAAAATGCCTTGGGATGAGCGGCAGCAGACGCATGGCATGATGCTTTGTTCGCTCTTTCTATTCCTATTCTTGGATTCTCCACATTCGATTCTGTTCGTGGATTGTGTGTTGTGCGTCCTTTGTACGAGAGATGAACAACTGAGTTGAGTGACGCCAGAATTCAATTCATTCTGTTCGTGATCGTGGATTGAACTTTGTGCGTCCTTTGTACGAGAGATGGATGAGTTGGACCAGTTTCAAAGTTGGTTGAGTGACGTCTTCCATCTGATGTTGTCCGTCCTTCAACAACTCATCAATCGCGACTGTATCTGCGAATGCATTATTCTTCGGCTACTTGACTATCATACCTATATAATATAATATAATATATTATAATATATCCATACATCCATATCCAGCACAACAATGAAATTAATAAAATCAAGAGCCTTCACACTGATGATGCTCGGCTGCACGGCTCTTTTCCTCTCTGCGGAAGCCTTTGTCCCAGAACGACGACGACGACCACGTCAACAACAACAACAACAGATGATGACATACAATCATCATCATCAGCGTCATCAGCGTCATCAGCTCAGTACAAGTAGTACGAGTAGGATACATCTCTTTCAAACCAATGGATTGTCAGCTGCCAGAACAAAGAAGAATGTACTCAGAACAATGACGGCACTGCAACTTCAGGATGCACCAGAGAATGATGATGATGATGATGATGATAATGCTACAGTAGCAAGTAGTTATTGTTGGAGCCCAGGATTGCGACGTGTCATGGGTGGCATTGCCAGTTTGGGTGCTGCCGAAACTGCCTTTTTGACTTGGAACAAATTGGCTTCGGCGAGTTCCGGCAGTAGTAGTAGCCTACCATTTTGTGGCGTTACGAATGGTGGTGGCAGCGGCGGCAGCAGTTGCAGTGATGTTCTAAATGGCCCCTATGCCTATCTTCCCTTTACGGGAATTCCATTGGCGGCACTGGGACTAATGGCATATTTGACAGTTCTTGGACTTGCCTTGTTTCCATTGATTAACACGTCAAATTCATCATTCCAATCCTCTCAATCTTCGTCGACTAGTACTGTCCTCGATGCTAATGCTGATACTGATGCTGACTCTGATGCCACCAATCGAGTGCTACTCATGGGAGTTACGACGGCCATGGGGACCTTTTCAATCTTTCTCTTGACACTATTATTTGGTGTCTTGCAACAAGATTGTCCCTATTGCGAACTATCGGCCACCTTTTCCATCACCTTGTCCCTCCTAGCATGGATTGGAGGTTGTTTGCCAGACGCTAGCGCAAACAAAGAAATGGCCCAAAAGGGTGCCCAAATGACAGCTTCAGGATTCTTGACGAGTACTCTGTTTGCGGTATCACTCTTTGTCTTTGCGGCGGATGGTGATCCGACGGCCGCCAGTGCAACCATTGGGGATTTTGGATCCACTTCGCCCTCCAACATTGTAGCAACAGCAGCAGCATCGGATAATGGTGGAGGAAAAGAAATGGCGAATGCCCCGCCTCTGATTACCACGGAATCCAGTAATCAAGCCATTCAATTAGCCAAGGATTTGGAAGGTCTGAATGCCAAAATGTTTGGAGCCTTTTGGTGCAGTCACTGTTACGATCAAAAACAAACTTTTGGCAAACAAGCCTTTACCAAAATTCCATACATTGAATGCAGCAAGGATGGGTTCAATTCCCAATCCAAACTCTGCAAGTCCAAGCAAGTGCCCGGATATCCTACGTGGGAAATCAATGGCAAGTTGTACCCAGGCGAGCAAAGTTTGGAGGAGTTGGAGGAAGTGGTGGCAGAAATCAAAAAGGGAATGACCACTCAATAACATAGTAATAACAATAATAATAATAACGATAATAATAACAATAGCAAAAATAATAGTATTTTAAAATAATAGTAGATGATGGCACATCAAAATTTAATCCAGTAGTCCACTACCGTAGCTCAATAAATTAACTTTTGGAAATAACCCTCAGGCAAGGAATCATCAACTGCCTTGCATCGGTTCATCTGTTGAACCTTTTTGCCGATCCAGTTCATCCATATAGGCAGCCGCTTCTCGCCCCATCAAGGAGGTTCGTTCGACAGAAGTGTTAAAACTCATGCACCGCATACACCGTACCCCCAAAAAGTGCCACCGCCGATCATGGTCGACCGTCTCACAGTCATTGCAAATGATTGTGACACAACGAGCCAATTCTGGTGGCACTGGTTGCAGGGCAATTCCCATGGCCATTGCTTCCCAGGTAGGTGCCATGTGTTCCGGTGTCTCGGCCGTCTTTTTGCAAACGGGACATCTCGTATCGTACGAGGTCAATTCCTTGAAACAGTGCCAATGAATGGCATGCCCACAGGGCATTTCATGCGAGGCATCTCGAGAACTGAATAGATCTTCTTGACAGACGGGACAATTGGACATGTACTTTCCAGCCTTGCAATTGTGATCGTCAAAGAGTAATCGATCAATGCACATGCCACAATCGTCGCAGTGCCGAAAGTTTTCCCTACCACCCACCCGACAAAATCCACATTTCTCGCAGTGATACGGGGATTCGTCATCAGACATCCACAAATTGCAAATCTTACAGTGGTAGGCACCAAACTGAGCGTGACAGCAGGTGCAAAAATTGCTGTGATTACAAACGAGGCGAAACAAAATGTGAGAACAGCCATGATGAAACTGGAAATGAAACTGCAACAATAGGGGTCGTGCGTTCGACTGACGAGGTACACCGCAGATAGACATCCTTCCACCACTCACGTTTTGCTGGACTGCCGGGTATAGCAGAGCCTACAGATGATTTCACCAATCTCAAAACGATCAATTTCATGATGTGTTTCTTCCTCCTCAAAGCCTAACGGCAACGATCGTCGTTTGAGCTGCCGTTGTTTGCTACTTTCTACTGTATCGGTCCAATTGACTCGATTCTCCATGGGAATATCTTCCGGCCTTCGCTTACTAAAAGGCATGGGCAAGACGGGACATTCGTCGTGACAAATCCGGCATCCAAAGGCCACTCCGCAGCAAGGACTAACAATGGTACAGTTGCGTTCGTAATGTGAACATGCCGGTCTTGATTTTTCCATCCGCCGACTAATGTTTATGGGATCATCCCAAATCTTGTTGCTACTGGCGGCTGCCACAGCCGAAGCTCCAGAGGGCATGCTGGAGTCGGACCATCCGGGCAAGGAAGCAGACCGCCGTTGTCGGCGACTTACTCCTCCAACCATCATTTGGCCATTGTCATCACCGCCATTTTCTGAGCCACCACTACCACCACCAGCGGCAACTCCACCGCCTGCTGCCCCGTAACCGTATTCCGGAGCTGGGGCTGGTGCACTAATTTCCATTCGTTCAAACTGTCCCGATGATCCGTCTAGGACACTTCCTTCTTCTGTGGATTCGGTATAGTAGGAAGCTGCTTCACGGGCCGCGTCGCCCAACGACGAAGCCGTCCCCGCGGATGACCTTCGTCGGCCATCCATTAACGATTGTATTGATTTTCGTTTCTCAAGAGCGGATAGAGATTCATCTGCCATTATCATTCGAATACTGCTGCGCCTGGAATGTTCTTGTTGAGGAGTCATGGCAGGTTCTTCACCATTTTCAAGTCGCATGGCGGGTGGTAGTCCAACTCCATCCGTGTCACTTTCGAAATCCATTTTGGTTGATTCGTTATATCGTTCAGAATCTCCTCAACTGAAATGAAACCTTCAGGACAAATGAGTGAATATCAAGTTAATCACTGAGACCTGAAAATGTTAGGTTCAGCCTTAAGATCAGGTTCAGCCTCTAGATCCCCTTTCCTGCAACCTGTTGACTGATTCAGTGGCGATAGATTGTAGCTTGATGCAGTGAATTCAGGTTATGTCTTCAGCCAATCCGCTCAGTTTTGTTTATCTTCGCCTGGTTTTTGTTGTTTTTGGTTCTGATGAATGAATCCTATTTTTGTCAGCATGGAAGGGGAATGAGCTTATCAGGAGAGCCTTAGAGGTTGAGAAAGCTGTAAGTAATGAAGTGGAGTTTGTATCGAATGGCTCGGCGTTGGAAGATGTTTGTCCTCTCCAAATCAGCAGTAGCGCGGCATCATGGTGGCCGCTTCCTCCTTCCAACCACAGGTCATGCGGTCGAATTATTGCGAAATGCCTGTCTCACTGGACTATAAATGGCAATCCGACATTCGACGCGTTAAAATCCGTGGTTCGGTAGATTTGAATGACGACTGACATCATCGACTCATACTCAGTCTCCCAATAAGTTCCAGCTGACAACGACCGACAGTACCGTGCTGTCACAATCAATAGACTTAGTCAACCACCTTGTTATCAGTAGACACAACACAACGACAGTGTTGGACTGAAGTGCAGAAACGACATATATTCTTTCTATATACCACTTTCAATTTCACATCAGTGCAGTTCAAGAATAATACTCTTCTGAATCAATCAATCCTTCAGGAATATCACACACTATATACATACTGCTAAACACTTCGTCAGCTACATGAACCGATCCACAATGAAACTCTTGGCGATTGCCTGCTTTCTCTCGGCCGCAACGCATGCCTTTGTCACTCCCCAAAGGTCGCATACCGCAGTGGTACCGACATCTCTTTTTGCCAAGAAGAAGAAATCATCAGGTGGCAAAGGATTCGGCACAAAGGAACCAAGTAGTACACCTCCCAAATCTGGGCCAGTGGAACCTATGATGATGGAACGCGAAGATCCCAACGCAGCAACAACAACTTTTACGAGTGTGGAAGGTGGTTCCAATGCCATTCCCACCTTGGAAGAGGACCCCAAATATGCCAACATGAGCCCTGAAGAACGTGCGTCGGCCATTTTGCGAGATCAATACGGAATGAGGACCCGAGCAGAACAACAAGAAGAAGCCAGGCGGGTAGAAGCTGCCAAGGAACAACGCAAGAAGTTGGAAGATTGGAAGAAAATGGCAGACGAAGGCAAAGATTTTGACATTATGCAAGTCTTGCCCGCACCAGTCTTGATTTTCATTGATCGCTTTCTAAAGGTCGGAGTGGCAATTTGCACCGTTCTCTTTGTCTTGGCGGGTGTTGGAATTACTTTTGAAGCTTGGAGTAAGGCAAGTAATTCTCCTCTACCACCAGACATTGACCGCTTCATTGTGGATGTGATTGAACCCAACTTTACACCTGGTTTGGGAGTCCTTTTGGGATTCTCCATTAGTTTGGGTGCATTCGCGGCAGCCCAATTGAGTTCTGCTTCCGCCACGTACCGACAAGATCGTTAGGCAACTATCAGTATTGGATGTAATATCGGCGGTGAGAAGAAGGACCATGGCATGTGTTGCATGGATTGCGTCGATTGCATCATAATGCGGTATTCAACTGGACTTACTCAAAGAAGAAAAAATGAGAGGAAACTAGAACGATAATAATGATCCTACTAAAGCATAATCTGAATATTTGATGCATTTGTTACTTTCACATCTTATAAATATAGTGCTTATCATCGTTCATTTATAGAGGCCAAGACCGCATCCAGAGCATCCTCATACATTTCCGGCATGTGATCCGAAAGCATATCTGGCGTCAAAAAGATGTTGCCCCTGGCAATTTTTTCTGGATCGCAACTGTAGGCTTCGAATCGATTCTCTGTAATGTTGTGTTTGCACCAAATCACACGACGCGCTGGAATGGTCATGTTGTGCTCCCCATCCACTTCTTCGGCAAGAAGCTTACCCCGGTGCATATCTTGTTCGACTGCCAAGACACTCGTGATGATGGATTCGGGAATGGGAGCATACTCATAAAACATTCTCCATCGTCTCCAAAACCAAATGAGTTCCGTTTCATTATCTACCGCATCCAATAAAGTCACCATGCGTCGAATGGCCTTGATGGATAAAAAAGGAACGACGTCATTGTCGTGAAGATACGCCACAGTATTTTGAATGGCTTTCTCGACTCGCGCTTGGATCGTAGGATCCTCGCGACACGAAAAGAAGGTAGGTGGTGGAGCAAAGGCAAAGCATTCAATCTTGCGAGAGGGTGCAAATATTTGCTCCACGTGCAACTTCAAATTCAATAGACACGAGGTACCACCACCCAAGGAATGACCAGTAATAATCAGTTTATAGTCGGAATATTGATCCATGAGTTGTTGGATTTTGGTTCCCGATTCGTTCCACAAATTGTTGGCCATTTCACTGATCCCCTTGTGGGCCTTGCCCGAACAAAACTCGGACGCCATGCCTTGTACGTCGACAATGGCACCACTTAGGCTCAAGGTCCCTCGAATGGCCAAAATAATTGATTTGTTAGGACGGTCCAATGCGACAAAATGATGTAGCACGTGTGCGTCATAATCATTTTCATTTCCCGAATAGACAAATTGAATATCTTCGTGGGGAATTTGGGTATGCACGGCAATCGCCTTGACATGATCCAAAAGGTATTCCGAAGCATCGATATTTTGATCGACTGCCGATCGAATCATTTCCGTCCCATAGGCAGCCGTGGCAAATCTCATCATGCGATGCCCTCGTTCGATATCTTGGGCAAAACCTAGACCACGAGATTTAATATCGTCTTGTTGGGCCAGTTCGACGCGATTCCCATAATGTTGTTCTTGAATATCATTCAACAGTTTGAAATTATCCAATAATCGTCCCGCCAAGAGCGGTTTTTGGATGGCCTCTTCCAGTTCGGCACCGACGCCCGTCGATTCCAAAAAGGTATTGAACTGACTCAAGGCTTGCATCCATCCCGTCAATTTTTTAGGATTGGTCAAAATGCCCGCGACATCGGCAATTGCCGACACCACAAAGGAAATGGCCCCTTGAAAGGCCGATTGAAAATCCGAAGGTGGGCGGACTGTGACAATGGTGGGTTGGAAAATTGCCGATTTTGTGGCGTCCTTCATGGAAGTCTCTCCATTTTTATTATTATTTCTGTTGGTAATGACGGTATTAGGATACAACCATTTCAGAATGGGTATTCCGACATTGCGACATCCTTTGGCAAAGATCGAATCGATAGATCTTGGCAAGAGGAGTGGGAGCAAGACAGATTGAATCGCCAAGGTGGGATCCAAGACAAAGGTACGAAAAGGATCCAAGACAGGATTCAGGACTGGAGAAGGATGTCCTCTCCACAAAGCTCGCCGTGCTTGGGTCAAGGCGACGCCCGTTTGGGAGGTTTCGTTTCTCGGTGATGACGCAGCATCCCGAATCGGTTCTACGGAAACTGCGTTTGCGTCTTCTTCCTTCTTGCTGGTCTCGTCTGACATGATAGTCAGTCTATTGCTGCTGCCAAAAACAAACCCGTAATTGAAAGTATAATAAGAGAGAGCAAGTCCGCAATATGCGGTTAATTAGTTTTGAGAGTTATATTTGCTCGATGTATTTTATAGGTATATAAAATGACCGCGTATCTTTCGTCCCCTACTCTTGAAAAAACAGCCCCTCCCCTTTTACGGTGAGTTTTATCAGCCATGTTCCGAGTTTTAAATGGATCAATTTTCCCTTCCAAGCCACTCCATTCTAAAAGGTATCTCCAATTTTGGTGATTGAACAACCATAGTAGAGTTTCATCATCGGAGAAGGAAACTTGGCATCGAGTTGTTGAGAGGTGAGTGCAATAATGATGCTGCTATATGGACACTGAAGTTTTCATGCTTCGGCCATGGTCTCACGCTCACTTTATTTCCCGCGCAACGTGACCCGTAAGTAAAATTCATGTGGTTCAAAGTCGGCACGAATAACGCGACCTAAATATTTTCAATCTAAGATCAGTCAACCATGGGTATGCTAATTAGACAAACGCCGGCCCACCTCACATCCGAGTTCACAAGATGTGTTCAAATCGTGGATCGAAAGATATAGGAGTGGGATTAACAATGGACCATGCAAGTGCTGCAGTCATTTGATTGCATTGGAATTGACACATCGGTTGAACCGCGAGAACGCTTGCAACCTACAAAAGAATCACTCCCACCAATTTTTTATTCCAAGTGATCCTCAAACCAAAAGAGTTGTCCAACACTCTCAGCAAACAGAACGCACCAAAACTTGAACCAACTTTGTTCCACATACAAACTCCATGCCACTTTGAGTTTCGCTTTGCACCTCTCCTACGCACTCGACTCCTCATCGGCCTAAAAATCAATGCTGGAGCACACAATCACAATGTATGCAAGAACGAATACAACAAGAACAGGAAGACACAGAAGAAGAATGAGAACCAAAACCAATACTACATTGATGATGGTTCCCATCATGATGCTGATTCTCAGCACCATTGAAGTTACCGCATCCAGCAGTTCCACAGCGCATTCCAACACATTCATTCGGCATCATCATCACCATCCCATGTTCCATCCCAAACCTGACCTTCACCGAAACCTTGGAACCCGAGGGAATCGACTGCAATGGGGAGACGACGATGCTACGTATGCCGATTACAATCCTGATTACAGCGGAGAAAAGGACGAAGACGGCAACCCCATCGTATCTGTCATTGCCGATGGGGAGACCAGCCAGCAGCAGCAAACGGCAAGTCCCACCAGCGATACCGAAACCATCACTGACGAGAATGGAAATATCATTTTCAATGGAAGTTCCTGCAAACCTGGAAACAAGCGACCATGTAGTCCTTCAGCCCAACCTTCTGCTGTACCATCGCCAGCACCTACCGAGCCAACCACACCTCGACCATCTCTCCTATTGACTTTTCCGCCAACCAAGTCTCCTACGCCCCTACCGACCAAGAATCCTACACCCCCGCCGTCCCTCTTATTGACTTTCCCACCAACCAAGTCTCCTACCCAGCTTCCAACTTCTCCACCTACTTGGATCTTGACGAGATCACCAACAAAGGGTCCCACTCTTCCTCCGACTTTTCCACCAACGAGGATGGCTTCATCGTCACCAACAGTTGGGCCCACCAAAAGTCCGACACCCAATCCAACTAGAGCACCCACAACACCCCCTACACCCGGTCCTACTCGGGCACCCACTCCCAATCCTACTCCTGTACCAACACTTCCACCAACACCTGGTCCGACTAGAGAGCCTTCGCCATTTCCGACTCCTCATCCGACCAAGTTTCCCACTCCAAGTCCCACTGTTGAGGCTTCCATATCCCCGACCAAGCTCCCATCATTGGCTCCGAGTATGGTTCCTACCATGGCCATCCAAACCCAAACTGGAATCAATGGCACCCGAGTCACCGAATGCAGTAGTCCTCCCTTGGGTCAAGGAATATCCAACGTGCAACTCTTGGCCTTCAAGTACAATCTCTACTTGCCCGTTCTTGTGACATTGCCACCAACGACGACGACAGTCCAAGCGGATTCCGTCTCGTCGATTGCTGATGGTACGAACCGATTCCAGGATGCTGCCGCAATCCTGGAACAGAGGATTCACAATGGACTCGTGGCACAATTCTTGACGTGCAATGGTGAGGTAGACGAGAACGAGGCGGTCATTGCCGAGAATGGTTTCCGCGTCACTGCCGTCATGTCGGCTCCTACAGATCAAGTCAACATGACTTCCGTGTGCGATACCACCAACGATCCTGTGACGGACACGCCCACCGAATGTTTCGAAGTGGTGGCCCAGCTGGCCATGGATGCCTTTTTCCCAACCACCAGACGTCGTCGGCGAGTCCTTCTATTACGAAGGCTCCAACTCACCTTGGCGGATCCGCAATTCTTGGATTCGGTCGGCGATTATTTGAATACTTCCATGGCGAATGATGAATTCATTGGAACTCGAGATGGTGACGATGACAATGTACCAGTCGAGGATCGAGCGGTGCAAGTCTCCTTTCAAGGATTCCTCAATGTCTTGAATCAAGACGACGACGATGGAACCACTTCGGGTTCTGGAGTCAGCAATGCCGATGGAATCGTTGGGGCAGGATCACCAGGTGGCTCGTCATCGGACAAGGATCGACATGTATTTTTGTTGGGAACTGCCGCCTTTGGTGGAGTTTCCTTGCTCCTGTTCCTGGTGGCCCTATTTGCCACCCGCCGCAATCGCAACCGCCAGGAGACTTATTTGCGACAATTGGACGACTTGGCGGCCAGTGATCGAGACAGCGAGGTATCGTCGCAGGCCAGTCACATTTTGGCCGATGGCAGGGTGCATTTGGTGCGGGACGAAGAGTATGATCGATTCGAAGCGGAGGAAATGGAGATTGAGATGGAATTGCCAGCCTCCCATTCCGATGTTCACTTTTGTTCGTCTGCCACTTGCCCCATTTGCAAGCATCGAACCTCGGGACCCATTACCTTTGTCTCTTCCGCTCTGAGTCAAAAGGACCTTGAGGACCTCAGTCCGCGCAAGCGTTCCCATAGACCAAATGGACGACGATACCAGGCCCCGGATACTGTGAATTTGTAAAATGAATAATAACAACAGCAGGAGCAATAGCTTCTGCAAGTAATAATAATAATAATAATAATAATAATGCTAAATGTACATTTTCAATGGTTGTTATTAAAATTCCATCAAGAGGATGCTAGTCAATTACATTTACCATGCTAGACTAACATATTCTCAGTCACTCACTCACTTGTCCCTATCAGTCTCCTTTCTGCAAAAGTATAGTGTCTACTGATTGTCTTGAAGAGACCGTCGAATCGCCTCGGCAATCATTTCCTCTTCGGTTTGCGCTTGATCATTTCCACCACCACCACCACCGCCGCCGCCAGTAGCATTATTACTGTTGTTGTTGGCATTGGCATTATTGTTCATGGGAGGCATTCCACCACCCATTCCCGCCCCAAGGCCGCCACCAAAGCCACCGGGCATGCCACCGCCACCCATACCTGCAAGGGCGCCCATGCCACCACTTTGCATGGCAGCTTCCATTTGAGCTCTCGTGGTTGGGTCATTCATCAATTGAGCCATTTGATTCATCATGGCTGGATTACTAGCAAGAGTCTGAAAGGTTTGTCGAACATGAGGTGGAATGTTGGGATCGTTTTGAATCATTTGTTGGACCATTGGGTTCTGAATGAGATGATATGATATGATATAATATAATATGAAAAGGGGGAAATAATTAGTTTTGGTTTCCATTTGTTTCCTTTCTTTGCTCTCATACGATAGTAAGATAGTAAGATATAGATTGACGTACCTGCAACATTTGTTGCATTGCTTGTGGATTGGACATGAGGTTGCGAGCGGCAGCTTGTGCCATTGGATTGTTCATACCACCGGGGGGCATGGCACCCAAACCAGGCATGCCACCAGCAGCACCAAATCCACCAGCAGCTCCACCTGGGGCGGCCATGCCAAATGGATTGGCATTATTCGATGGTGTTGCGGCAGCAGCATCGGAAACACGTTTGGCCGCCACCACTGCCGCTTCCACATTGGCCTTGGCCTGTTGCAAGGCAGGCCAAGCTTCTGGGCTTGCCGGCAAGAGATAAATTTGAGTCCCCGCCTCGTCGGTAGTCTGAGTAAATCCGACGGCCAGCATGGCCTGTCGGCCACCGACCAAGTTTCCCAACCTCTTTCCAAAGGCGGCATTGTGCACCTTGACCTTGCGGTATTTTTCTTCCATGGGATTGGAAATGATATTTTCTAGAACCTTATTGAGCGTTGAAACCGCCGTAGTATAGACTTGACTGGACGCAGCATTCGTTCGGAGCAGGTTCAGGGCAGCTTGCAAGGGATCTGCAGCTGGAGCTGGTGGTGCGGCGGAAGATGCAGCTGCTGCCATGGACACAGAGGGTGCCGATACTGCAGCAGCTGGGGTGGCAGTAAAATCAACAGAAGCATCAGAAGATGGTTTTCCCATGCAATGCAACACACAATCTTGTTCCAGTTTGTACTCTTGGACAACATCTTGTTCTGCATCGTCCTTAATCATTTTGCCCCGAAAGATGAGACGCAATTGACTCAATGGAATCTTTGTACCCGTGGCCACCAGGGTACGTAGCTGGGTGGGCGTTGTCTTCCCCTCGATGGTGATGGGAACACGCTTGCCATTTTCAGCAGTGACGGAACAATGGACGGTCAAGGAAGTCATTGTTGTTGTTGTTGTTGTTGAACTTTGGTTTTCAATTGTTGCGGTGTTCAGGCGAATATTAAAATTGGTTTTCTAGCAGAGATATTTTGGTATCTGTGTGTTTCTAGAAGGGTATTTGATCTAACTGAAGCAATGATTTGGTATGCCTACGTGTATAATATATAAAACACAACAAAAGCTTTCGTCAAATAAGATGAAACAACAAGGTGGCTTTTTGTTTGATCTTGTTTTTCTTATTGTCTTTGACTTTTCGCTTCGATTTCGTTCGATGAAGTCGGAACGTGCGATGCCCAGACGTGTGTGCTTGACTGGAATGAACGTGCGACTTGGAGAAATCGACCATATTTTGAAGTGAAGAACAATAAGATCATTCCATCATATATTCTACCGGTAGGAGGTGTATCTTATATACTTTCTATTCCAACAATGCTGTCATTGGAACTTGTTAAATTTTATTTCTTAAAAAATAAAATAGCAGATTTCGGACCCACGCCTCCACAATGGGTATGGACCAATCCAGCCGCAATGGTTGCCATCTTGTCGGCCTGTTCCCGCGTCGGAGCTTCCGCATACACTCGTACCACATTTTCGGTACCACTGGCCCGACAAAAGGTTCTACTCCCGGGAATATCCGACATGAGTTGATCCAATGCTGGTTGCAAGGTAGTTGGCTGGAGACATTTCGTTTCGTTGTCATTGCATTGGACGACCGAACGATCCTTCACTTGGACCTTGAGCTGTCGACTGGGAAGATCTGTGTATAGCTTGGTCGCCCAATCTTGGACCGTCCATTCAAAATGTTGCAAGAGTGCATCGACCAAGAGCAAATCCGACACGGCGTCTCCCACGGCTGGATTGATCAAACGCGGCAAAATCTCCAAGGCGGGGCAGATGGATTTGGCTTGACTGGCAAACTCGTGATAGGCCTGGGAGAAGACCACTGTGCCGTGTCCATTGGCTTCAAAGTAGATTCCGATATCGAATTCCAAGGCGGCATGGTGCAAGTGCTTGACTCCAGTCTTGGTAATCACCACAGGAACTTTCAAGTTTTTCTGTGATAACAACCAATTGAAGTTGTCATCACCACCATGGTAGAAAGTATCAAAATAGATGAACAAGTAGAATAAAAATGTGAGCACCACCCAAATCTATATTGTACTGACATGACAAATATCAAATTACCCTGTTACGTACCTCCAGGTATTGCGTCGATGCCCCATTGGCATAGGCTGTTTGAACCACTCCCATGGACACCTTGGGCAATTTTGGATTTCCGCCGTATGCCTTGGATAGTTCTGCTTGAAAGAACTTTCCAATCAAAACGGCAATCTTGTCTCCATCCAACAAGGATCCAAGTTCATTGCTAGAGGATGCCGCAAAAAAGACAATTCGATCAGCGTCTCCGTCCACACTACAGCAATAGGATTTTGCAGCATCCTGACCCGTTTTCGAATACCAGGTAGGAGGTTTCAATTGCTTTTGAACATGTTCCGAGCCACAATTGGTATTCAGCGGACCTTCCCCAGGTTCGTTGCAGGGAACCAGAAATGGTTTGCAAGTTGTCAGATTTCCTCGGATGGTAATTTCACTCAAGACTTCTTGGACTGCCTTGTAGCCTACCCCACAGGCACAATCTACCAACAGTGGAGTCGATCTGTCTCCTGTTATCGCACAAGGTGCCACGACGTTGCACAATTCCAAATAGGCACTGCCCATGGCTTGACAATAACCAGCTCGTGAAGGACAGGGTGGAATGCTGGCAGGAAGATAGGCTTTCGCATTGGAATGGAGGACAATGTGGTGCAGCATGGGCGTTGTCAAGACCCCGTGATTGATCACCGTCACACCCATGGCTTGAGCTCCCTTGATGAAAAGACTGGTCAAGCGTTCCGAATGACTGCGGGTGTCATATCCCACATGAAACTTGGCAGTGGATCGAAAATCAAACCCCTTTAGGTGAGTATTCTGAAAGAGATCCAAGTCACGTTGATTGACAATGGCCACTAGCGTTTCTTCTAGATGTGGTGGAATCATGCTTCCGTCTGGATTGGAAAGTTTGACGCCATTGTAAGATTCGTCATTGTGCGAGGCTGTGATCATGACTCCCATGTCTTGTTGTGGTTGTTGGTTTGTGTTTGTGTTTGTTTTTGTGTTTTGGAACAATTCATATTGCAAGATAGCGGACGCAATTCCAACCCTCAGCATAATTCCATCCATGTGTTCCACCTTGAATCGAAATCCAGCCGTTCCATAGCCGTATTCTGTGGATTCGTCCAGCAGAGGATGCTGTTGCATCGTCTCGATGATTTGTTCCGGTGGGATAGTGGTCATTTGTACAATGTTTTATGCGATATTCTTTCCTCTGACTTGAGATTGCTTCAGATGATGATTGAATGCGATGGGTATGATAGTTATGTGACGAGCTTGTGGTTGGATCTATGCAATGCTTCTCAGGTATTGTAGTAGTGTTATGATGCTTATAATGCGTGTGCGCGGTATAGTGGTGTAATGATTTTTGGAAAAGGACATTGTGATGACTGACTCATCCGATCCCAAAGAAGGGCTCAGGCAGAAAAATATTGCCGTTTGCCACAGTTTAGTTTGATCCTGCATGTACCGGTATTAAAATTGTAAACACACTTTATGCAGTATTGTCAAAAGACTCACCGTTTTCCACAGCTGTGTCAGGTACCGGTACACTACATAGTACATAGTGATCCTGATTGAGACAACAAGATCAAGAACCACGAGCACATACTACTAACGAGGACAGCAGCAGCAGCAGCAGCAGCAGCAGCAGCCACTTTGCTCGTCCTATAGTAGTGTGATTCGTGTCGAAAACAAGATTCTTTTCATGGTGTAAAGAGGACAGATCAAAGCAGTACTGTACGGTATAAAATCAAAGCAAATACACATACTACTGTACAATCTGGTACGAGAAAAGAGGGTAATTCGACTCATCAGAACAACAATAACGCTAAAGCAGTACGTTTCTCATCGCTGATGATGCTTATTTTTTAACGAAGACAACAATAATAACAATATTAATAACAATAACCCATAAATATATACTTGGTCAAACATAAAATATAATCAACATGCAACAAAAGACCACGAGTGGCAATAATGTCATTTGGAATTTCTTTACACCCAGTTCCTCGGTGGTTTCTCAGTATTATTCTTCCAATAATACACAGAATACTCCCAAATGTACCAAAGAAGAGATTGATTCTTTCTTGGCACAATCGATAACGAGTCTCACGTTTCAAGAGCGAGAAGCAGCCTATGAAGAACTGCATGGAATTGTCTCTGCCAATGAAGAAACAATTGAACGAATCAGTCAATGGCTAAGAAGCTTTGAAACCTATCTGAATACCGTCCATACGGTCGGGTCAGCCTATGAAGTAGCAGAAGCGATGGACCGATCCTATGTTACGGCACAAGAATTCCGGATGATGTTTCTCAGGGCAGATCGATACAATATAGAAAAGGCGGTCCACCGGATGATCAAGTTTATGGAAATTAAGAAAACATTGTTTGGCGTCGGCAAATTGGTACAAACGATTACACTGCAGGACCTAAATGACGATGATATTGCTTGCCTTCGAAATGGGAGTGTGCAGATTGCTCCCGTCCAAGATATTGCGGGGCGGCAAATATTGGTAGGAATTCCCTGCCTGAGGCAATACAAATCCATGGAATCGGAATTGAGAGCTCGCTATTATGTAATCATGACACTGGTCGAAAGAGAAGAAACCCAAATCCATGGGGCGATCGGAATCTGGTATGCCGTCGCTCCATCCAACAGTCCAGCAACCGAACAGAAGTATGGATCCAACAGCGGATTGCTCTGGACCCTACCGATCCATTGGGCGGCAGCACACTTTTGCTGTGACTCGTTCTTGGCCTATGTCTTTTCGTCTGCTGGAATTTTATTGTCGAATGCTGCGCATCGCATTCGAGTGCATTATGGAGATCACAGCAAATGTCATCGCCAACTGTTGACGTTTGGGATCCCAAGAGAGGGAATTCCACTGAATGATAAAATGGAAGCATTGCTGGAGGCACATGAACAATGGTTTGAATCACGCAAGGAACAGGAACTTATTATGGTGGCTACCAACGAAGCACGAGCGCAGTCCCCATTTTCCATTCAAGTCCGACCGGAAGATGTTTTGTTTGGAAGAGGAAGAGGAGTTCACGAACATCAAGGCAATGTCAAGTTGCGATATTTGATTGCTTCCCATCAAGATGCCTACAACAAGGCACCCATTACAGAACGGACGGAAATTGCTCTTGGGATTGTAGGACAGATCAAAAAACGGGGTGGGCGGTTCCTCAAGAATGAGGCGGAAGATTGGATCGAAGCATCGACCAAGGAATCCAGAGCGAAAATTACAATGGCATTTCGAAGTAAACGGAAAACAAAAGGTTGATGAAAATATCAGGGATACTTATATTTTTAGAATGCCGGGCCGGACGTCAACAACTACGAGTTTCGGAAGAGTGGGCTCGTCGTCTCAGTTCTCGTGCCAAGGTTTCCCCAGTGGCTTCTACCATTGTATGGAAGGTCCCATTTGTCTCAAGTAATTCAGCGGGCGATCCTGATTCCTGCAGCTGTCCGCTACCCAGAACCAAGACGTGGTCATCTTCAATGACGGTATCAAGCCGATGAGCAATTTTTATTATGGTGGCCTCGGTGTAGGCTTCATTCAATGTTTGGTGCAATAATTCATCGGTGTCTTTGTCCACCGAGGCTGTCGCTTCATCAAGCACTAAAATCTTGTTCTGTTTCAAGATGGCTCGAGCAAGGCAAAGAAGTTGTCTCTCGCCGACGGAAAAGTTGGATCCACCTTCGGAAACCATCGAGGAGACTCCATCTGGCAATTTCGCCATGGCCTCGGTCATGTGAACGCGGTCAAGCGCTTGCGCAATTGCCTCATCCGAGTAAACCCCAAACAAATCCAAGTTTTCTCGCACGGTGCAGCCACCAAAGAGGGTTGGCATTTGTGGAATGACAGAAATAGACTTTCGCAGGCGATGAAGGCCAACAGTTGAAATATCGACTCCGTCAATTGTGATGGAACCATTTTCCGCTTCCAGCAGTCGGAACAAAGTTTGGACCAGAGTGCTTTTTCCGCTACCGGTTCTTCCAACCACACCGACACGAGCGCCAGAGGGAATTGAAAATGATAACTTATTCAGAGCCAGGGGTAAGGACTCGCGATATCTGATGGATAGATCATGAGCTTGAATGGAGCCATTGTCAGGCCATGCAGTTGCTAGTTTCTTATCGTCATCCTTATTTAGAGGTGCTTCTGGAGGCAAGCTGCCAAACTCGAGGACTCGTTCCACCGCAACCATTTGATTAACAATCTCGGCACTCTGTCGAACAATCCACGGAAAGTTGGTCGTCGCAATTTGCAACAGAATTGTTAGTGCAAGTCCCAGGACTGCTGGGTTCACATCAAACCACCCTTGTTCATGAAATAATACGGCCAAAATGCTGGCGGTGGCCATGAGGGTAAACGAGAGGATATCCATTCGAGTGGCGAACCAACGGGATGCAGCCACAAACGAAAAGAAGGCTCGTGTATGCGCATCATGGGCAGCCTCGAAGTTAGACTTGAAGTACTCGGAGCAACCATTCGCTCGAATGGTGGACATGCCATGCAGCGATTCACCAATCATGGCAAATATGGGAGACCGAGCAATTCCTTCGATTCTCTTCAATTCTCGAGTAGTTTTCACAAAAGTGGATCGTAGTGTGATAAAGTAGAATAGCAATGGGGGAAGGGCCACCAATATAAAAGGTAGAACTACACTTGCCGTGACCACACCGCCAATGACCATGAAGAATCCCACCGAAAAGTCATATATGGTCAGTGGCAAGGTCTCGTCGGATATCCCAACGTCGGCCGAGAAGCGATTTAGAACTCGTCCCAATGGATTAGTATCAAAGAATACGATTTTGGATCTTAGGACCGAATTCAACATTTGGTCATGAAGCCGTTTCGATGCTCCAATCAGTAGATGAAACGTCATTTGAGCCCGTGTAATGGACAAGAATATCACAGCTGCAGTCATTCCCAGTATAACTGATAGCCAATATCCAGTATTCTGCGAGTCGCTCGATGCTTCGGCCCAACTACCAACTTCCACAATCAATACTAGGAGCGTGCTCTGAGTGATCGCAAAGAACAAGAAGAAAAATAGTAGAGTCGATGTTCCTCCCAATGCTTTCCCATAAGCTGACCATGTCTTCCATTTCACAATTCCAGTGCCACGCGTTTCCTTTTGCTCCTCAGCTTGTTTTCCAACTGGCATTTCGTTCGTCTCCAAAGCTATCACTTCATTTTCCGGCTTGGATGATCGGAACTCGTCAGCTAACCTCGAATGTTCCGAATCCAAGGGACCATTCCAGGTGACAGACCCACCATCCAACATAATGCAATCATCGTTTGGTCCAACGTGCTGTTTTTCATGGGTGGCCATGATGATGCATTTGCCTTGCTTCGTTCCAAGTTCTTGAATAGCGTTTTGATAAATCAATCTGGATAGGGTGGAATCAATAGCACTTAATGGATCGTCCAGAAGCAATACCTGTGCATCTCGATAAAAGGCCCGTGCCAAACCGATTCGCGCTCTTTGGCCACCACTAATTTGGATTCCACGATCTCCAACAATGGTAGTATCACCATTTTGAAACTCTTGGAGGTCTTGACGTAGACCGCAGGCATCCACTACCTTTTGGTACCAATCTTTGTCCCATTTTTTCCCCATGACGATGTTGTCGCGGATGGACCCATTCATAATCCATGGATCTTGTGCCGTATAGGCTAATGAAGAGAAGTTGCGTTCGATTGAGCCGCTTTGGAGATACAATTCTCCAGCCAAAGCTTGGATCAATGCACTCTTACCACAACCAACCTTCCCCATGATGCAGTAAAGATTTCCGGCGTCAAATGATAAGGTAATGCTGTGCAGTGCAACTGTGGACGACTTCGAGTCGGCAAGTGCATTGCCATTCGCAGCTGGTACCTCCCAGTCAAATGAAGCATTCTTCAGGGAAAGAATTGTACCTCCGCTACCGTCTGGCACAGCTTGTCTCTCCCCTGGATCATTTTCGGGCAATTCCAGGAACTCTTGAATCCGTTTGCATGACACGTAGCATTCCGATAGGGTCATGACCGCATTGGGAATTTGCTTCGTCAGCGTCAAGTGCAGGATATTCGACAAGGTCAATGTTGTATACACTTTTCGTGGTGTCAGTGGTTCCTCCAACACAAATACTTGGACCATGAAAATTGCCACAGCGACCACAATGCTCGAAAAGTAGTAAATCGCGTCATTCAAAGCCTTGTAAGAGCTAGCTGCCCGTAGCTTAGCCGTCTCTTTGGCTCGTAAAGCTGCAATCCGTTTTTGAAATTCCATTTCCCAGCCATTCATTTTCATAATCCGAGCTCCCGAAACCGCTTGGGATACCAAGGTGACACGGGCATCCGTAATTTCTGCCACCTCCGATCGAAATCGCACAAAGCGGCGTCCCAAATAAACTTGCAGTGGCACCAACAGAAGAAATAGACCATGACCTACTGCAAATACTGGTCCCGTGGTATAGATTCCCACCACCAAAATGACAATGGCTTCAATTGGTCCCAATGCTAGATATAGGGAAGGAATGGAAGCCAACAGGAATCGCTCCACATCGTTCGAGGCCAGATTGGTCAACTTTCCTGCACTCATCGTTGAGGAAGATGATGAAGCTAGCCGTATGGACTTGTCATAAATCAAGGCGACCAATCCCACTCGCACTTGCATTCCTTTCCGATACATTTCAAAATACAATCGTTGCTTGGTGGGAAAGGCAATCAATCCACACCCCACCATGACGGCACACCAAAAGTATCCTGTTTGAGGAGCAGAAGAAGCATCTTGGGTAAATTGTTCCATCAATAGTCCCAAAGCAATGGCCTGTCCAATCTTGGCCGCACTATTCAGTATCAAAATGCATTGGGGAAATCGTGTGGATGCATAGTAATCCTTCAGGAGAGCATATCCCAGTCCTCGATTGTCTGAGTTCCTGGCGCGTGTCCATAGGGTGTCGATATACTTTCGATTGTAGTGAGAGGAGTCCTCTGGGTGCACATTTGGTAGGTCAACTTCTTGCAGTGGACGCTGCGAACCTAATTTCAGAAGAGGCCAAGCCCAACCAAACAAGAGTTTCTGTGGAATGCTCGCATCAATCAATGGAGATGGAGAGCGATTGCGAACTTGTTTTGTATCATTCCTCCCTGTTTCTATAATATCATCACCCGTTGATGAAAGCATTTATGCACTATTGGACATAGCAACAGTACTACAAAGATATGATTGCGATGATGAATATATAAAATATGAGGTTTCTTGTCAGGAAATAAATTTTATCAGATTAGAGAATGATGACGTTGCAATATGGAGAAGAGAGAAAAGAGGAGTCCGACGCCGTTCGATTGCGTCCGTTTGATTGTCGAACGTGAATTCTTCAGTATATCATCGCCAAAATGAAAATTCAAGAATTTGATGCGAAACGAACATTCCTGTCACTATTAACTCTAGAAAGTGGATGACCGAATAGCTTCCGAGCATCACCTGTTTCTATTACTACAGTTATACTGACTCTCCTCTCTATATTATACCTGCAACTATTCACCCAACACTATGACCAATATGGAAGTTACGCCTCATACCGTTCTGGTTCACGCCCACAAACCAACCATTGAATCCTTGTTGGGCATCAAATACATTCTCAAAGGTGACTTCTTTGTGATTACCAACATTTCTGATGAAAGCATCTTCAAGGATCATAGTGAACTCAGAGTAGGCCATGAAGTGGTTGAAGTCAACGGAACACCCATTGCTGGACAAACCAAAGACTCTGTTAAGACACTGTTGGCTTCTTTGGGAGAATCAGTAGTCTTTGCGGTCAAGTCGAGTTGGACTGCTAAGATTGAATTGGTAGTTACCGAAGAACCACATGTCATTGAAAGCCACAGAACCAGTGATAATGGAGAGAAAAAGTCCCATGCCAAGGCACGGTTGGTAACGAACTATTCCAGGAACAAGATTCCCAAGTTTCTAGAAGGAAGAAACGTTCCTATGGGAATTTGGCGCCGCATTTATGAGGCCCTGGACACCAAGTTGTTCCCAGCGCTTGCTGACTTGTATAAAATGGACGAAGCTTGGAAGACAGAAATGAGTCACTATGAAAAGGTCCAAGGCCAGAAACAAGCGGATATCTTTGCTACCGGCGTCAAGCATCACAAGCAAATTTTTCAGATGGCACACTCTGTTTCCATTTTGGCCAATTCTGCCAGCATGGTTGCCAACAATATGATAATGTGGCTGAATGCCTTGCTTCAGCCATATGGTCTACTTTGCCAGTTGGATTTGGAGGCCTATCAACTACCCAAGTATTCTGACAAGCTCGCTGGTGAACCCTTCGAAGTCATGCGCATCAAGGGGGTTGAATTTACTCCCATTGATATTATTGTTGCCGTTGACGAAATTGAAGTTTCGGTTCACACCGACGATAGATCCATTTTGACCGGCGATGAGGAGATTGACACTACTCGGTGGTGTTAATCATCATCTTCGTTGGGAGTGAAGGCCGGTATGTGTCATGGAATAGTATGTTTTCAGTTCCACACTCTGGATATAGATTGGACTCAATAAGTTTAGGGGAATTTTGTTCGTGACTTTCTTTCATTGCTGTAGGAATAGAAGTAGAGTATAGGCAGTAGCTAATCGGTCGTGCACTAGTCGGTTGGAGTTGCGTGTGGGAAAAAGGTGGATCCGACTTCGGGTACCTCCTGTTACCATGAGTGCACACACACACACATGCCTATGACTGCTAGATGCAGCTTTCCTGTAAATAATAAATGGACTATGCCTAATTACTGTTACTTTACTATATCATGGACTATACCTAACGTGTATTATATGATTATTGTAGTACAACCTTTTATGAAGAAGTCTTCCGGTTATACGCTTATGCAAATGGTGCTGATGGTCAGCAGCTTTGTGTGGTTTGATCTCTGGAAGTCATTCAAATCATTTCTAAGTGGTGCATTACAAAGAGAGTCGTTCCGTCAAGAATTCCCAGTTCTCTTCATCGTCATCCTCCTCCGTGGTTCCATTTTGTTGTGCGGTTCTTGGTACTTCTTGATCTTCACCTTTCATACCCGTATCCACAGTGCCGTCGTAAATCTCAGCCATGCCCTTGTAGAGCGAATAGGATAGAGTGGAATTGTCACAAGTATCAATGTAAAAACCTTTTGGTCGTGGCGCTGGTGAATGCGGTACGGGAGGGGCTGTAGCCCGGGCCGCCGGAAAAGGTGCCGGTGGAGTCCAGTCTACTTGCTTCTCGTGCACTTGGTGCTTTTCTTCCTTCTTTTGCTCATCGGCATTTTTAGTTCCATGCTGTGGTGTTACTGGCTCCTCAAGAACAGCAGCCATCGATTCCAAGGACTTCTTTACTGGTGCATGTTCTTCATGATTGGAAAGAGTGGCCTCAGTCTCTTGTGGCATGCCCTCCATGCCTAGTACTTCTTTAGACGATTCCTGCTTTTGATTCTTTGCCGTTTTTTCGAGCAGTTGGGCATGGTCTTGGGTCTTACTAGTTGCTTCCTTGTCCTTTTTGGAGGAATCAGAGTCGTGAAATAGTGGATCTTGGCTAGATGATTCCGCTGACGTGGACGAAGCTACAGTGGCTTCATTGGAGCTTTTCGCTGAGGACATGGATGACTTGGTAACATTTACTTGCTGTTGCAACTTTGCAATTTGTTCTTTCAGCAAGTCGTTTTCATTCGTTAACGACAAATTCTTTTCTTCCAGATCAGTCTCTCGTTCAATGGACTCATGCAATTCATGTAGCAGTGACGAAACCTTCTTCTCAAGCTCGTGAATTTGAATCCGATCTCGAACAATTCGGTGACCATTGCTTTCTGTAGATAGACTGAGATCTTTTTGCCATTGACGGGGTCTTCCAAACATGGGTGACTCTGCTGGATCCAACGACGCACGCCTCGGCTTTTGTTGTTGAACCGCATTCATATCAAGGCTTCGCCATCGATTGGGTTTCTTGATGGTGTGACATCGAACGCTATGATCACTAGCGGATAGGTTCAAAAGATTGGGACTGACTGTAATAGTCTCGCAAGTTTCGTCTCCGGTCCCAGCTTGTTGCTTCAGATTCATACCAGATTCAGATTCACGAACACTGAATGGGGCTGCTTCTGTCCCATTTAGTTCTGCACTCTCTTTGTTAGTACCCAAGGAGCCATCGGAAGCTTGGTTGGTTCGGGACTCAGCATCATCTTGACCTTCGATTCCTTCTTGAATCTGCTGGCGACCTTCCTTTTCTTCCATAAGGTCTGACGAATTCTTTGCAGCCCCGCCGGCAACTGTGCGGTTTTCCAATTCTTGCCGCCTTCCTGACACAGCATTCAGTTTGGTGGAAGACGCGGCAGTCTTCCATTCTTCCTCATATCTGGATTGAGAAGAGCGATGTGCATTGTTGGTTTGTCTCATGCTAATGAACGGCGTATCATCATTGTTTGCTAGAAGTACTGTGGAGGTGGCGACTTCCGCCATGGCGTTGATTGGAGTAGTGTAAAAAGTTGGAGTCGGTAGCAATAATGGAAGGGATGATTGATATATGTATAACAACTCCGTGGGTGCAAGTCTCGGTCACACACGGCGAAAACGGTGGGATTGCTCTAGTGGTTTTCCAAATCAGAAGTGACACGACGAAACAAGCGATTTTGTGACCGTTGAATGGAACCGCACTCGAGACGTCAAGTTTCAGTGTCACAAAAGTGTCGTCGCACATGTAATGCTCGCTCGGAGTCTACCAAGTCCTACAGTAGTCGCGCACCGAAGCGTGCGGTTCGAAAATACGGAAACGAGCCAGCATTTATCATCATCATCATCACCTCAGGAACTTTTACTGAAGACCAGAGGATCACCATCCGCTGTACTCAATCACAGCTGTGGTGAAGGACAGTGGTAAAATCTTACCGGTGCATTCGTGTTAGAAAGAAATCATCAGCTTTTGAGATCCACTGATTGATTCAATCAACTTTATTCGTCAGAGCGGTTGAATACAATTCTAAATTGGACAAAGACCAGAGTATTTGGAATAATAGGTTTTATTCAAAACATCACTCTCTTTGCAAGATGAAGCATATGGAACGATATTTGGCGGCAACGTCGGGAAAGGACAACAAGAAAAGTTCTGATGTTGATTCTGCAGCTGGCTCACACGAAGCCGTCTTGGTGAAGGTGCAAACTGATTCTTTGTCTCGGAACTTGGGCAAGGTGGCCCAGAAGTCACCGAACCGGGGGAAGAAGAATGTCTTGGAAATTACTAGCCATGCGGTCGGTGGTATTCGACAGTCCACGTCGTCCTTTTCTAGAATTGGAGGAGACTTTGCCTGTGACATGAGCATATACGATGAAGTTACAATTGCGGAAGAAACAGTTATGGAAGACGAGGAGGAAATCATTGAAGAAGAAGAATTATCGGAAGAGGAAGAAGTTATCGATGAAGAAGATGAAGCTTATGCTTGGGATGGTAGTAAGCATAGCAATAGTCAGAGAAGCAGGCTGTCACATCGATTTCCATCGAGGTCATTTAAGAATACCATGGATGGCTCGGCCAGCACCCGATCGAGCACCATGTATGATGAAGAGACGGTTGTCAGTGAATCTGCTAATAGTCGGGTAAGCAAGATGAGTTTCTATGATGAAGAAACAGTTGCGGAACAAACAGTGACAGAATCAGATGAGATGGAAGAACAAACTGTCGTGGATGGAAACTTGGATGACTATGAGAATGGTGATGACGATGGTGACGATGGCAGCGGTGGTAACAACAGCGATTTGGACAGTGATGATGGAATGCCAGAAGATGATGACGACGAGGAGGAAGAAGAAGAAGTCGACGAGGATGAGGGTTTCTCATTGTCCTTCCGACGAGATAGTAGTAACAGTCAACCAGCTCGAGTCAGTGACATCACACTGGATCATTCATCGTGGGCACACGACATGGATAGTGAATTTGGTGACGATGAACATGAACATCACATTCCAAGCAAGGGCGAAGAAGGATACTGTTTGAAGTTCAAGGAAGGCAACTTTCGAAGTAGTTTGGTAGCTCCCGCATCAACTCCGACAACGAAATTCCCGGCACCAGTCACCAACAAATTTATCCCGTCCAACAAGTTTGCAGCCCCTCCCATAGCGATGGATATGAAGACATCAACGTTTGCTCCCAAATCGGCACCGCCGCGGGTATCCATCATGCAACAGTTTGCTAACAAACCTCTTCCTGCTGTGACAGAAGCATCGGCACGGAAGGAACGAGGGGAAAAGAAAAAGAAGCCGCCAAAATCATTTGAGGGTGCTGGTGAGAAGAAGGAACTTTTTCTATTTTGGGAACGAAAATCATCATTGGCTTGATTCCACCGCTTTGGCAAAAGAAGTTAAAATCCTAATTGGAATCAAGCATCAGGAGTTGAACCAACAGCAATACGCCTGCTATCGTGCCGTGAATGGGCCAGCTCCATCAGGTGGTGGGGTCAAATAGACAAACATTTCCCAGGTTTGAGGGGGGGAACACAATTGCAATTTTGTAAACTAAACAATGTAGAATATACAGTATTTTACAGCACGAAGTCATTACGTCTAGGTATGTCCGGCCGACAAAACTTTCTCCGTTTTTCAGTTTTGCGAACCTATACTCTTGTGCGAACAGGAAATTGGGTGTGAGTCAGTCAGTCAGTCATCTTTTCGACTTTCTTACCTGGTAACCAACCACCTGTCTATAGCGAAAACCTCCTTTTCTCCTTTGCAACCACCTTAGTATTCCAACCGTTATTTTAGTTGTGACGGTACGATTAGTAGATGCGGGGCGAATAAGCATTGCTACGCCAATGATTTTGGGAAATAAGACAATGAGGATAGTTACTACAGGAATATTAGTAGACAGATAGACAGATAGATAGACAGATACTAGTAGTAGTATGATAACACAATATGATGTATTTAAAGCTTGATTTGTAAACTTATTCCATCTTGAGTCCCGATAACTCCTCTGTTGAACAATCTTCATTGCCTATATCAAGATCTTCTGGGTGCTGCAATAGATGCACCGCCAATCGTTTCCTGGAATCGTCCAATGGATCACGCGACCTGCACGACTTTCCTTTTCCTGATGTTGATAGCCTTGGGGAACTCGTGGACTTGGGTAGTAGTTTTCCTAAGGAAGAGCTCAAGGAACTTAAGGAAGAGGTAGAGCTTCCAATTGGGTCAGAGTGCGCTGTCATTATGGTTGAGGAGGATGACGATATCCGCTTGAGACTTGTTCCACTGGCCACCTTTTTGAGACTGGTCGCACTAGTGACTTTTTTCATTTTTCTCCCCGATTCTTCCATGAACAGATGAACCTTATCCCACTTTTGGTTCTGGATGGAGCGATTCCTTGATTTCTGAATTCGCTTCATCTCCTTTGTTGTGCGCAACATTGCCGAAGCAGTGACCCCCTGTCGCTGCAACATGTCTACTCGATATGGAGCTGGCATCCAGAATTGATCGCGTCTGCGAGGTTCTGGCTTTTGTGTTTCATAGTCATCGATCTGAAATAAGGACTTTGAGTCGCATTCCCATCCTATGCATAGAGGCAAGCCTTCAGCTGAGGGATTGTCTCCAAGTTCCATGGGATATTGGGCAATCTCTACGCTTTGAAAGCTGACACTCTTCTTCATTGCGTTTTTGGTGGTAGGTGATGTTTGCGCTGAAGCTGAAGCTGATTCTGCGGACGATGGCATTGTGGATGACGGACTGCACATAATATCTTGTCTTTTATATGAGAGGTATGAGAAAGTATGTCAATATGTCAATGTTGTGAGAATATCTAAACTCTGTCGCTCGTGTGTTTTATGACGGAACGGGAAACCAAAATGTAACGAGGAGGATCGTCTTTTTTCTGGCTGTTTTTCGGGAGAACTTGAATTGGAAATTGACGTGGTCGAACAGTTGACGTTAAAAACGGACGGGTTCATCATTCCGGAGAGCGGCGCATGAAAATGTTCGAAAGTGTTCGAACACGCGACAATAACATCTAAAAAGTAGAACAGTAAATAGGGTCCATCACTTTTGGTGATCCGGACACGCATGTCTGTTAAATCGATCCAATTATGAGGAAAACAACCAGGTAGAATCAAAGACATAAGACCTCTTCAACTGCCGGATTTTTCGACCACACAGGCTTTTGAAAAACCCCGCTTCGTTCAACGATCCAAACCGAAATGGGGAGAAAGTCGTACAGTAAATAAAATCATCGATCCCAAATTTGGTAAGGAAACTAACTTAGTTCTCACTTCCATCGATGTTATTGCAAATATGATTATTGTCGACATCTGTATAGGATACTGACTGCGTCATTATGAGGAGATTCATTGCAACAGCGATCCTTTTTCTGCAATGTATGCTTCTATTGGCAGCTCCTGTCGCTGAAGCATTTGTCCCTGTCAGCAAAATCGCTTCTGCTGCCAATTCCAAGGCTGGCGTAGTCATTCCCAATAAGTCTACTACTATCATCCACAAACCGCGTACTTCGGTCGCGATGGAAGCATACAAGAAGCGAGAACGCGCCGCCAAGAAGGCAGAAGAAAAGGAAAAGACGCCTCCATTGACGCTTTTCATTTCCTACATGACACCCTGGCGAAATCCGAACAGCATTTTTCTCTACATGTTTTTGGTGGTTTACCTTTTGGGTTCATATTCGGAGGCGAAATCAGCGGCCGGTATGTGAAGTGTTTCCTTGGAGATATCCATGGCGACAGCTGATATTCTAAGCTTCTTAACTAGTGTTCTAATACATTACATTGGTTTTATGAAGTGCTTTTGCTGGCTGCATTATCTTTACTTTCTTGTTTATATTATGAATGCGTTCTCTTTCAAAAAAGGAAGCTTTTAATCCAGATCCGATATCTTTCCTTCTTCCTCGATTTGAAGAAAGGGTTGTTGAAACGATTCCATGACCAATGGAAACTTTCCGTACATGGCCAGTTCACCGCCCGATCGGTTGAATTCATACTTCATCAAATTGGAAACGAGTGGCAGCAAATCTTTCCATCCATATTGTGTCACTTGTTCGATCAGTGCGCACAATCGACTTGCATTCCACTCGTGAACCTCCAGGGCATCCTTCAGTTTGATTTCGTTGCGTTCTAGCTTGACCAACAAATCGGCTGGAATGTCTTTGCCCTTAGTGTCCAGGGCAGTACACTTCTTACGGAGGCTGTCGACCTTCTTTTCGTAGTGGGATCGACTCTGTTGAAGTTTCTTCACTTGCTTCAGTTCCTTGTCAACTCGTTGCGTCACGCTGTCTTCCCAGCGCGTGGCATAGTCTAGGACACATTCTTGAAACTCCTTGGCACGATTCTCTTGTTCCATCTCGGCAAGCTCTTTCAGCTTGGTAATGGGCGACTTTTCGACGGCAAACTGAAAGGTTCCCGGTCGTACCTTGCCTGTGGAAGGTTCTTGAATCAAATTGGAACATTCGTCTAGACACTATAATATGGTAATGAAAATAAAATAAAATGAAATGAGTGTGACTTGCCAATGGATGGGCGACTTTCTGTTCCATCTGTGCATCAATCTTACGTACCGCTGATCTCGCTTGTTCCATTTGAGAAATGGCCTTCTGGTAGGTCTTGACTGACTTGACAACACCCAATAGCTTCTTTCGAAAGGTTTGATACTTTTTGGACAGTTCTGGTAGCTCGGAACTGCGCTGATGCTCCTCCAAGACTTCCTCCATACGGTATTCAAAGTAATCATCATTATTGGAAGGATTGTCGTAGAGTGCCGGGTAGGATGGGAATGAAAATGAATCGGGAGTTGCGAATGGAGCCTTCTGTTTGTATTTCGGCTGCTTTCGATGTTGATTTTGATTTGGCTGTAGGGATAGTATCAATTCCATGTTGGCGATTGGCGATGTTGATTTGTTGGCATCGCTGGTAAAAGGTGTTCCGTAGACTTCTTGCCGAGCTTCAGGAGAAGGATAGTGCAATTCCGATTTTTCTTCTTCGTCGTTTGAATAATCCTTCTGGACAGTAATATCCTTTCTGATTTCCGAAGTAGACTCATACTCCTTGAGAACGACAACTTCTGGCTCCTCCGGTTCCTCTGGCGTCGGTGATGGATCAGCTATAACTTTAACTTTGGATTCATCCTTTTCGGTGTCGATCAGGTCTTGTCGGACTGCGACTGGGGCGTTCACGATGTCTTTTTGCTCCTGTCGTTCTTTTTCCTTGTCGCCTTCTTCTTCGAAAAAGGTTATTTCATCACTTTCGTCATATTGATTCGACAGATGAAAGAACCGTTCCATGCGGTTTGGATCCGCCCGAAAGAGGATCCCAGAGCGGTAAAAGGCCTTGTGCATGGCTGCTAGTCGGCGTTGCTCCATGGTGGTGCGTTGTGCCGTCTTTTCTCTACGATAGGCCATTCCATTGGCAAGCAGGGTCTTGTCATCGGATTGGCTCTTCTTCAGCACTGGCTTGACAACTCCTCGAGACTCGGTCGTTGTTTCTCCTTCTTGGTCTGAAACCTCACTCTCACTGCCTGCGCCAACACTATCATTTTGGAAACTATTTCCCCAGCTGACAGCCTTTTTGTATGAATCCGAGTCCGACTCACTTGTATAGGTCGATGATTCACCGTCGCTAAATTCGTCAGTTCCTTCATTACGCTGCAACCGTTCCATCTGAATTAGACGCTTCCGCATCCTTCGTTCTTCCTTCTTTTGCTTGCGAAACTTCTTAATATCTTCATTGGTATACCATGACTCGGCAATTTCATCATCGGTCATTTCATCCACATGGATGTATTCATGAGTCTTGGAAACTTCCTTGCGGTTTTGGGGAGATCGTTTCGTTTTGGAACTGCGTCTCTTTTTCTTATTCTTTTTGCTGGTCTCAGGACGTTCATGGCGCTGCGAATGTACAATCGTTTCTTCCTTTCCATCATAGGTCACCTCAAAAGCATCACCAGCATCTCCATCCATCGTCCCACATTCCATCATTCCTTTGAGGTAATCAAACATGGACGAGCTTGCACTCAAAATCTGAAGTGGCGACGATGATGACTCCATGGTGCTTTCACTTTTGCTTTTGCTAACGAAGCCATTATTGTTATTGGCAGCGACCTTGCTGTTCATCGTTTGAAACTTTTTTTGTTTTTTGAAAATTAGAGGTGCGGTTGGTAGGATTGATGCACACACAATGAAAGAACTAAACAGTAGTCTTGTTTGAACAGTATACCGGTAGTAGATTGCACTATACTACTCGACAGGTGAATTTTGGAAGCATGCCAATCGGAAATTGGTGAGGTGAAATCTTGAGCGATCCATCACGACCTGATTCAACGTACGCCAGGCATTGTAGAATTAAGTAACATCGCTATTTGGTGGCGTTTGAGTGGTCGCAGAAACTTTCAATCAAGATTCAACCTAACCGAGTCTGGCGAGTCACATCAAAGGAAGTCTCAACTCAAGAGACACATCCAACCGACGATGAAGAGCACTCCGATGCGGGAGTGGAAGAAGTGAAAGAGGACGACCATGCATGTGGAGCATCCTCTAGATTCTGATCGGCCTCTCTCCGAGCAAACTGTCGAACTACCTAGCTCTTCGGAATGGGAGTGACGACGATAAATTCTTCTTCTACATTTTGAGAAGAACACACCAACGACAACGACGGCACACAATTGATTTGACTCAAGCAGCCACCACCATATCGTTATCGACCCAGCATAAAACATGATAAAAGGGCAACGGGCATCTTTATTGGTCCTCGAGGAGGAGGACAACGACCTTTCGGATCTGGACGAACCAGCACCCTCGTGTGCGGGAACTACAAGGACTCCGAGTCATGACTCTGCGGACATTTACCACAACTTGCATGGGCGCCACCATGGGCATCAACAACACCCACCGGAGCAGTACCCCACTCGTCCATCCCCACCACGCCGCCGTGCCTTGAATTTTCTCGAACGAGCCATTTCGAGTCGATTGGTCACCTTTTTTACGTGTCAAGACAGCACCGCCCAAGCGTATTTTCAAGATGCCATTCAGGAAAAGGCCCCAGTGGCGGTGGTGAGAACCATGCGTCAGTTTCCTCATCAGAGTCGAATGCAACGCATGGGAATTTCGTCGCTGAATGAAATGGCCAAGGACTCGTGGGCCGCCAAGGAAAAGGTAGTTGAGGCGTTGGGAGTCGAAGCCATTTTAAAGGCCATGCGATTGCATCCCAAAGACTGTGGAGTTCACCAAGTGGCCTGTCAATGTTTGTACACACTCACAGCAGGGGACATTCCAAAGACTTTGATGGAAAAGGGAGTCGTGGCGGCCATTTTGCAAACCATGATTCACCACAGTGACGATGAGGATGTCTTGCCACCGGCTTGTGATTGTTTGTTGGCCTTGACGGATATGGAAGACTCGACCGCCTTGGAAATGTTGCGAAGTCGGCTAGGTGGTGTCGAACTGGCCAAGTTGGAACACAAATATCGTGGCAAAAATGGAGAAATTAGCAAAAAGGCGGGTGAAATATTGAAGCGCCTGTATGTATGATACTATCATCATCATATAATGAATGTATTGTGTATATTATTCTCTATCTTGATAGTCCTAGTCCAAGTCCAAGTCCTAGTAGCTATTCCTAGGAGCGACTCCTGGCCCAAACTCGCCTGCCGCTGTTGCTGCTGGAGCTCATTGTAGCAACGACGAGGGCCAAGATGATGGTGGCCGGTAAGCAACGTGCCATCGATGCTAACGGCTTGGACGATGGTACCATATCACCAGTCTCTGCCCCGCTGCTGCTGCTCGAAAAGCTTCTCGAGCAGCTCAAAAGAGCAACCCGTAGTTCCGATTCGCTGTCCTCGTTGGCTGGTAACGTTGCAAACAGCCACTCACACGATCACACTCAATTCAAGCCAAGTCCACAACGTTCGGAATGGACGTGGTGTGAGGGTGTATAATCCTGTTGGTTGGTTCTTCCTTCCCGCTTTGGCTTCTTCCATCCGACCTTGCCCTCGCTTGACAGACTGATTCATTCCAATTGATTTCTGTGAATTGGAACCCAGCCGCGCACCATCACTCTTTGTGGATTTCTTTCATCAATCACATCACATCAGTATAAAATGATAAAATCGCACTTTTAGGTTATATTGATAGTTCTGGCACTACCGTCTCCCACGAATTTATATTCGGGCGCAGCGGAATTCTCTGCTTCTGTCGTCTTTGAAGCTATCATTTGGATGATGTTGCTGGAAGCTCAAAATCAAATAGATCAATCCCCAGGACTTATTCTGTATCGCTATGAAAGCGCCAGCTTTCTCGGTACTTTTGGTACTGGCAGCCGATCTTATTCATAGACTGCCAATATCGTTCAGAATCAATCTCAAATCGCGACCATGACATGACATGACATGGTTCTATCCTGGCCGACATGTGAGACTTTTCTCGGACCACTTCCAATACAGTAGCTCGCTATCGTATATTTCCTGCAGTAGTGTTGATTTCTGTGAACTTGGGATACACACCATGACACGCAGATTGGTTCTTCACGACTGTCGAGTTAGACTTTCTGTCAGGATATTGATATACGGTAGAACTGCTCGGCCGCGCGTGGGAGGCGCTTTTGCTTGTATGGTACACAGTTGACACTTTCAAAGCAACCGGTCAGTGCTCAATGAATGTGGATTCAATAGTTCACAGCGAGACCGCTTCAAATAGCTTAACGCAAGACGTTGCTTTTCTTCGGCGTGTTCATTTTGATTTGCTTGCTGGTTGTTGGGGCATAGCACTTCATAATCAAATAAATCCATTGTCCTTATTCGTCATCGACAGCAGTTTCCGGCATCATCTCTCTTGTCTCATCGCAATCGATCAAGAACTCGAAGTTTTGTGTGTTTGGATGACGTGATGACGGACAGACTGATCCTGATGATTCGTGACTATGGTCAATTCTACGAGGACACGGTAGTTCAAAACTCGTAGAATTTTTTTTTAATGTACCAGGGCTACCGCGTCCGCGTAGAAAGGGCTTTTATTTAACAAATTGATAAAAAATTATGTAAGGGGGACGCACGTATGTAGAAATTTCAAATTTTCTACGCCAAAAGTCTACGCTCGCGTCCTGGTACATGCGGCTGTGTACATTTCCTACTGGGAATAACGGATTCTGATTGGTGCGTCCTCAAAAAGGTTTTAATTTTTGCTGCATCTTGATTGGCCAAATGGGATTAGATCCGATCGAACAAGTCGAAAAGTCTGCACAATAACACACGATACACATACCGGTACACTAAACATTCAGTGATATTGATAAACCGCATACATGTAATAACCCACAACACATCGGGTACAATCATAGCATAATATACCGTACATGACAGCAAACTCTGCTGGCAAATATCGCCATGATGAACCCGACAGAGCCAAGATCTGCAAAATATTACAGATCTACATATTCAAATATACGGTATGATGGTATGGGATGCAGAACTCGGGTAAACATCAGAAGTATTTATTTTATCATCGCCATCATTTCATGACGAGCAGTATATAATCAGTATGCCATTTATTAAAACACTTAAGAAATGAACCAACAAGTTTCGGCACTCGCTGGATGCATTTGGGTGCAATACTGTACAGTACGTGCCAGTGGTTATTTGGCATCATCGAAGGCGACGACGACGACTGACTCCATCGTCAATCGCGCCGACCAATGTGGTAGAAATTACACCACCGCACGGCATTGTATCTGGTATTGGCGACCATAATACCAACACCGTCAGTTAATTAATTAATTTATTTTCGTCTGGGCAATCGTTGGAAAAATGAGAAGCAATGATCTGTTATATTGGTCATGCTATAGCTAGTAGTTTTCGCGACTCTAGATTTTTATCTTAGTTCTGCATGTAAATGCTCCAGTTTAAGGATGCTGCTACCGTCACCCACAGACATGTTGGAACCATAAAAAGTCCTGCCGATGGATTGATCGCGTAAAAGAAATAGGTACTTGCTAGGAGAAGTGTCCAAAACGCCGAAATCACCACGACTCCCACCTTGATTTGTTGGAGGCCAAAGAAAATTTTGTTCCAGGCGTCCCCTAGAGATAAGTGAATGCAGTATACCAAGAGTGCCAAGTCTTCCGAACCCGTCATCGTCATCTTCATTTCCTTCAATTTCCACAATGCCACAAATTGAGTGGGCTTGCTAATAATGAGCCACATGATGGGAAAGACCCACCCTGGTGGATTCCAAGATGGCTTTTGGAGCTTCGAATACCAGTCAGAGTCACCAGGAACTTCGTTCGGTGATAGAAATTGTTGGGTGGCCGCCGATAGTCCATTGTCAATCACAGCACCATAGGTGGAAGAACCAAAGACCACTGAAAAAATCAATAGGAACTGGACCACAGACGCAAAGGTCTTGTCTTTGAACTCGTTGGATAAACCAAAGGCAAAAAGCAGCACTTGGTGCATGAGAACTGATTCAACAGTAGTTCCAATAAAGACTTTTGCAAAGGCTGACTTGAGATTACTGTTTTTTGTTTTACTGGCGGGCGGGGCGGCTGCTTGCTTCTTCTTCTTGAAGATGGCTCCACCTCGGAATCCTACAAAATTGCTGAGATTATCAGAAGATAAGGATGGCTTATTGTTCCTATTGAAGTCGGATCTGACCACTTGATTCGTGGAAGGGTGACAGGGCGCCATTGATGGCTTCGTCGTCATGATCGTCATCTTCTGGTTGGCATGTGCAGGATGATTGTCCAAAACCAAAAGTAGGACAACGCAGCACAATAGACTTCGGATTGAAACAGCATTCATTGTAGTGATGAAGAGAACAGGATATGGGTGACTTTTGCTTGATGGTTTGGTTTTGATTGATCCACGTTGAATGATGGAATTTGTCGCAGATTATATGATCCAAACGCTTCCACGATGATGATCAGAGCCTTCCAGGGGCTATGTCAGTACGTGCACCATCGATGAGAGTCACAGTCTGTATTTCCATCCGTTCTTATTTTCAACCCGCCACCCTATTTTTTAATTTCAAAACCACAACCGCATAACATATAAAAGCAATAAGAGTGCAATATATCAAAGACTATTATAATACATTCTCATCATCACAATGTCCGTTGCTGCTGCTGCCCCTCCTGCCAATGCTGCTGCCCCTCCCCAAATTCAATACCGTGACATCATGGCAGAATGCCAACGCCTCATGCAAAAGATTGCTGAATTGGAAGTCGATCGAAACGAGCATTTGTTGGTCGAAGAAACTTTGAAGCCATTGGATCCCAGCCGAAGAGCCTACCGATTGGTGGGAGAGGTTTTGGTGGAACGAAGCGTTGCGGAAGTTTTGCCCAGCGTGACTGCCAATAAGGACAATGTGAGTATTCGTATATATTTTTTTTATTGAAAGGACGAGTGTTGAATTTAAAAAAGTCATACAGTACCGAGATGATTTTTGTTGTTTGGATCCGTGCTATACCGGTATACACGTCTATACACGTCTATACACGTCTATACACTGGCACATGTTTCATGAATTACTAATCATACCGTTCGTTCATCCCCCTTCTGTTTCTTCACTTCCAGCTCAACACAACCATTGCTGCATTGCGACAACGCCTGACGATAAGACAAAAAGAGGGAGCAGACTTGAAGGCAAAATACAACTTAGGATAGAGTATGCTATGTAGTGACTTGATTTATAGCTAAACAGTGTGGTTCTGTTTTTAGTCCTACTTTTAAACAGTCCTATACAAGTTATGATGATTTATTTACTTTTTTAAAATAAAAAGCTAGCCTTGTTGCATTTCTGATTCCTCATTGTTTCCTTTGAATGTGATTGTGTTATTCTGCAAATGTTGCACTCTACTCCAAACCATGATCACTATTAATATTATGCAAGATGATCGACAACAGCATATATAGCGCAATTTTATTGTTGTCCGAACCTGGCACCGGAGGGATTGTCCCACCAATTGGATTGCTTCCCCCAAAAGTGATTGTCTGTGGCAACCTTCTTTCTTTCTTGTTTCTTAGATTTGGTATCAGCCACTACTGCGCTTCCATTTGGAACTACAGTAGCCTTGGGAGTAGCATTAATAACAGTAGCGGCGGGTGAGTAACCAACGGGTGCATAATTGCTGGCTGGACGTGATGTTGGCACCACAGTGGTCGTGTTGGGACGCACAACGGAGGAATTCTTGTTGATGCGTTCTTGATTTTGCTTTCGAATGGCGGCTGCTCGTCCCCGGCCTACTCCTACGTTCGGATATGCTGGGGTGGAAGAGGACAGCAAGGGTTGAAAAGGCCAACTGGCACGTCGACCGTTTGCTGCTGCTGCTTCTTGTCGGGCAGGTGCTGAAACCTTTGTGCTGGTGGTGGTGGCCTTTGCTGCTGTTACTACTGGCTTTGGGGGACTAGAAACTGCACCATTGGTCTGGGGCACTTCCATCTTTGGTTGCTCTATGGCTTGTTGTTCCTGTTCCGGTTGAAAATTCGCTCCACCATCGAGTCGTTCGGCAAAATCAGATGCACTTCCGCCCCTCATTCCTTCTTTTGCCGGATCAAAGAGGCTGAATTCATGTTTCACTTGTGGCGAGTTTTGGTTTCCATTCTCACTTTCTTTGGCTTTGTGATAGCTAACACCCTTTTTCAATCTCTCTGCCAAATCCAAAGTGCCTCCCTTCATGCCTTGTTCACCCGGATCGAAAAGTCTCAATTCACCACTTGGGGTCTGAGGAACCCCACCACCTGCCTTGAAGATGCGACTATCGTTTTTGTCTGCGTACAGGGCTGAGGAGGAACTAAAAGGGGATCGTGGTCTTAAAGAACTGGAATATCGTGACACTGAGGTTCGTGATGCTGATGGTGTCAAAGATAATAGTCGTGGGAGCGCTGCCATGCCAGCACCACCAGCAGTACTGCTAGCGGACTGAGGATTCTTCAATGACTGCACCCATAAAGCATGGCAGTACGGAATCAGATTCAAGATTTCTAAAGCAACTAGCGAAGTTATTAGATGGAATTTCATCTTGGACTACTGTCTTGATGGAAGCTGTGCTCGTTTTTTCTTCTATGGAAATTGAGATGATGGACAGTGTGATCGATTGATGACGTGTGCGGGGGCGCGAGATGATGGCTTTCTCTTTTTTAACGGCAGGTATGGAACCCGCCAAAAACACGACTATATAAGCCCGCAATTGAACCGCCAACTAAAACTAAAAGGGCTGTCGTACTGTAGGTTATGTCGTTAATACAGGAGTCAAACATATTTACAGCAGTAGCTCAACAATACTCTAGAGTTCTTCTTACTACGAAAGACTAGTCAATCGATCCTTCAATTGTTGAACTTTTCCAGTGGCGCCCCATTCTTCGTAGTATCGGATTGCCTCCTCAAGTCGATATTTAGCTTCATTTACATCTTTTCGTTTGCTCAACAAGAAGTCGGCATATCGCTCGTTGAACAAGCCGGAATGGTGCAGGTAGCCTGTTCGTGCAGTGAAAACAATTGATTTCCGATAATGTTCTTCTGCCTTGTCGAGCTTTGAAGCCAGCGCATAATGCTCGGCCGTCAAGAACTCAACAAAGTAGACAACATTTGGGTTGCCACGCTTCATCCATTTCATCATGGTCTTTCTAATCGCGTCTGCACGAGATCTATACTTCAGCCTCTTTGTTTTTTGGGCCATGGCATACAGTGCCACTGCCCGATGGAATGTCTCAATCATTATCATAAAGAATCCAGGCAGCGCTTTTTCATATTTGCCAGCTTTCTTGATTGCCCGTGTAGCTGCCGATTCATAGTCTCCGCAAAAAATCATCAGTTCCCCTTCGCACAGATGCACAGTTCCACGATGCACCGGACTCTGCTCGTTGTCCTTGGAGCGACTGAATATCTCCCCTTCCAGTTGATTCGTAGAAGGTTGCAGTGTTCTTTGCATGTCCAACATCATCTGCCAGAAAAGCCGTAACACTAGAACATGCCCTGATTGCGCAACGTTCTCCAACTGCGCCAGTATTCTGGGAAACTCCTCCAACATCGGACCCAATGCCTTCCCCATTGTGTAAGGAAGGAAGACAAAATGCTGCATTAGGTTCCAACTTGCAAAAGGGGTGTCGCCTTTTTGCATGCCAAGTGTATATCCTTCCATTGCTGGCATTACGCAGTCACCGAGCATTCGGGTCCAGGACAATCCATATGCATATGCACAGTAAACAGTCTCGGCGATATGGATTCCATGAATGCGACGCTCCAGCGATAGTGCCAATGTTCCCAATTGTTCACAGGTTTCGTAGTCCTGCTGCACCATCAAAATGGCACCACCCAAAGTGGCAATCGCCGATGCAGAGGATTGGTTTACTCCGTGTTTGAGTGTCATCTCGCCAAGCCGAGCATTGCACAAAATACTCAGGAAAACATCTTCTGAGTTATATCCAGCGTAATTGAGTTGACGCATCAGAAGCGCAACCGACTGCTCCTTTGGATCTGTGGTTTTGGAAACATTCTCCCACATTTCCTTCGGTGCCTGCTTTAGTGCCTTTACAGATCGGAGAAGCGATCGGACAGCCTGAATCGGCACTGCTTTGCGACTCCATGTCAGATTGTGTCCAAGATCTCGCAAGATGGGGATACAGTAGTTGATGGCATCGTCGAATTTCAGTTGAACGTAACATAGGTTGCGAGCTTTTGCCAAACGGAACGGCAGAGTCTCCATAAGTGACATGTTATCCTGCCCAAGTACTTCATTTCCATACTTTTCGGATGATTCTACTCTTCCTAGGGCAAGCTCCACCTCAGCTGCCATTGTGTACAGCTTCAGTGCCAGAGGACGATGTGACTCCCAATGGTCACCCGGTAGGAATCCGATTCCGTGGACGGCGTACGCCGATGCACTTTGCAAAGCACTCATGGTTCGTGCCTTCTCAGCAGCACGAAGATTGAGCTCTGCAAACTCGGCCGCTTTGTTCACCTTCCCACTGTTGATTAGATCGACCATATCAAAGAGCTTCTCTTCAACCTCATTCGGTGTCATGCCATGAAGTAGTGTAATCCCGATATCAAACCGAAAGGCGTCATTGACCGTATCTGACAGATGCAATGCTGCTTCTTGTACTTTATCGTGTACCCATCTGTATTCAGATCCACCGTTGCTCTCTATCAGGCTTTCTTGTTTGGTTAGATTCAGAAAATCGGCGACGGTGAGCCGATTGCTGTTTTGCATGTCGCCTTCTTCTTTCCAAATCAGCTGCAAATTTGACATGGTAAAAGATGTACCAAGACAAGCCGCGTATTGGAGTAAGTTTTGCACGTCCAAATTCATCTTTCGCATCCGTGTCTGCAAAAGGTTGACAACGTTCGCAGTAGCCATGGTCTTCTCATCAATTTCAGAAGCCTCCCATTTCCACGCCATTAGACCCAAGTTGAATTCGACGAGTTTCTCTTCGTATAGAAGTAACATGAACTCTGAAAGGAAGAATGGATTTCCCTGCGTTCGTTTGTAGCATATTTCTGCCAGATCCCTTGTCGCGTCTTCATCATCATCTATGGACAGCATAGACATGACCATTTTGTTGACATCGTTCACGTCAAAGCTGGGTACATCGATTTCCCTAATCTTAAAGCAGAACTTGTCACACTTTCCAAGCAGACTTTGGATCCGGTTGTAAAGTATACTGTTCTCGTCCACTTCGTTGGATCGGTAGGAACCGACAATCATGAGCGGGTTTGGATTTTCCACATCGGACACAAGATATTCAATGACGTCTAGGGATGAGACGTCGGCCCATTGTAGATCATCGAGTACCATCACCAATGGATGGAATGTCGAAGTGAGAGCTCTAGCCAGCATCCGAAAGGCATACTTCCACCGTTGCTCTGCACTTGTTGGATCAAACGCCCCTTCATTGGACTCGACACCACTGGTACTGTAGTCTCCAATGAGCTCATCTAGCTGTGGAACCAAGTACATCATCATCTTCACATCTTCCCCCAATCTAGATGTTATTTTTTCTGTAATTGTGGAAAAGTCTCGTCCCTGTGAATCCTTCATGATGAAATCAAATATATTGCCGAAGGCCGCAGCGATTCCGCTATATGGTTCGTCACTATGGTTGTAATCGAATTTGCCTTCAACAAAACACCCTTTGTCTGTGCTTGATACTTTCTGCTCCAAAGTCTTGGCCAGCATGGACTTTCCCACCCCTGCGTAACCTTTGATGAAAACCAGTTGTCTGTTTTTCGCATATATTCCCTCTTCTTTTTTTGAGTCCATAATTGTAGAATAGCAAGAATGTAGAATTTTCACTTGTTTCTCCCTCCCAATTAACCCAATATTCGAAGTATTCAATTTGTTGATGGTCAAGCCCGCTAGTGCTTGACTCGACTTCTTTTGCTTCACTGAATTTCGGTCAATTAGATTCAATTCATCATCACAGATGCTTTTTGACCGCATGGATGTCATCTCTTGAGCATTTGAGGATCCTGTCGATCGGGCGGACATAGATATTGAACCGGAGCTGTTGCTGAATACACTACCAGTAGTATCGATTCTCTTGAAGGATCCTGAGCGGCTTGACATCAAGTCGGATTCGTCCACCAAAAAACTATCATCATCGTCGCCGGGCAAAGTGTATTCATAAGTTGTTATAGTTGCTTCATCTTTCGAAGACATCGGAATAGATACTCTCTTTTTCACTTGGTCGTTGTTAGCTGATGCCATCGTCCCGCCTAATTCAGTTGAGTCTTATTATATCATTGCCGTCGCTATTGAAGATGCGAGGAGAGCGATAAAAAAACTGTACAGCCGTTTGAAATCTGTCACGCGTCGCGTATAGCATACCCGGTACACGTACACGTGTACATATAAAAAAAATACACGAAATAGTTTTATTGAATGCGCACGTTCGGCAAAGCTTCTGCTCCAAATCTGCTATGCAGTCATTTTGGTGGTGTTTTTTTCTTTTCGAACAAAAGAGTATATAGTTTCGAAATGGGTTCTCTTTTTACGGTGCCTACAAAATATAAAATATGCAAGCTGCATCGATCAGAATCCCATCGTACTATACTATACCAGCGTAGAATATAGGCACAGTCGCAATAGGAAGGTAACTTAAGATCCAGTAAAAGATTCACTACAACAGCAGCATAGCTTCATTCAACTCTTGTATTCTCTCTGGTAAGTTTTCAGCCTTTGTTACCGCGCCGATGACTGCAATACAATCCGACCCCGCTTGCCTATTGGATTTGGCAGCGTCAATGGTGTTGATACCACCGATGGTGACAAATGGAATAGACGGTGGGATTAAGTCTCTCCATTTGGATAGGATTCCGAGCCCTTGTGGATCAAATCCAACCTTCTTACTTGATGTTGCAAAAATAGGACCGAGACTGATGTAACTGGGTTTGATTCCAATGGCAGCGGCAAGTTCACCATACGAGTCTGAAGAGAATTGGAGTAAGCATCGGAGTTGCAAACCATACAATCGCCGACTGTCAACAAAGACTATCGCAGAAAGAACTTACGTGTGGAGATACCCAATGCAATGCCCTTTTCTCGAAGCTTCTCCAAACCACCAGCATTCTTACACTTGAGCAAATCCTCCTGCCCAACGTGAACTCCAAAGCATCCAGCTTGAACTGCAGCCTCCCAGTGGTCATTGATCCAAAGTCGTACCCCTTCCTTGGCACAAATGTCTTGGCAGGCTTGCACGCGCTCTGCAATCTTACCAACATCAGTTTCATCTTTGATGCGCAATTGAATGTCTTCGACCCCTGGTGTTTCGGCAAGTTTTCGGATCCATTCAACAGTATCAACAATCGGAAGAATGCGCCCCAACACTGGGATGTCATCATTACTCTTTTCAGTCGAGTAAGCCTTCATGGGAAGAAATGCTGGTAAATCGCTTGTGGGTTCCGCAATGATGGATGGAAAGTGTTCGTAGGAGGAAGGGAATGTAGTCTGTGCCACTGGACCAGGGCCAGCTCCCAATTGTACTCCTTGCTGAATCCCAGCCGAGACATAGGCTTTGGCCAAGCAGCATGCATCAGATAGGTAAATTGAACTCGTGGCTCCTTCTTTGGAGCTTTCATCCAGGCGCTTAGTTTCACCAAGGGCAAGTGCTGTCGCAAAGGCAGAAGATAGTGTACATCCTGTCCCGTGAGTATTTTCAGTATCCCATCTCTTTGATCGAAGCCAAATTCCACTAGCACTATCGCAAAGTCGTCTATCTTCTTCCTTGGGAAGCTCCTCGTTGGTCAACAGGTAGTCTTGTGCGTAGGTAATGGTAGCCTTCAGCTCCGAAGTGGCATCCTTTTCGTCAATTAAAGTGTGCCCGCCCTTGATCAAAACGCCCTTGCATCCCATGGCTAGAATGTCTTGAGCTCCCTTTTGAACATCTTCTGGAGTTTTCAATTTGCGTCCCAAGAGTGCTTCAGCTTCAAACTTGTTGGGCGTCACTACATCGGCATACGGGAAAACATTCTTGACGATGGCATCCACTGCGTCGTCATCAATCAGTTTGGATCCACTGGTCGATATCATGACTGGATCCAAAACCACCCACACGCGACTACCATTGTTCTTTTCCTTTAACTCCTTCAGCACTTCTCCTACCAAATTGGCAACCTCCTTGGTGGCCAGCATTCCAATCTTAATTCCCCGAGGAAACAAATCGCTGACCAAGGCATCTAATTGGGCCCTCAAAAATTCAATGGGTGGTGCGTGTACAGCACTGACTCCAACGGAGTTTTGTGCCGTCAGCGCAGCAATGGCCGAACATCCATGTCCTCCCATGGCTTTGATGGCATGTAGATCGGCTTGGATTCCGGCCTATTATATATGTAGGTAGAATAGGAAAGATTGTCAAAAAATCAAAAAGTGAGAAAGCGAAGTGATTATACCGGTTTATACTAGTCAAGAGAAACCTCAGGCAACATTGATTGAAATAGAAAGTCAGATCAATTCCTACATCGCATCAAACACATAAGACTGAATGCATTGATGCGACAATATGAAACTTACACCGCCTCCTGAATCGGATCCAGCAATGGTATAGACAATGGGTGGTGGTGGAATAACCTTGGTATTGTCGTTAGTATTGCTATTGTGGTTATTGTTGGCAGCCGCCATGTTGGTGTTCGAAGAAATTGAAAGAGAAGAAGAAAAGCAAGAGAGGAATCCTAAGAATAGCAACACGAATGAATACTGTTGCATGTGATAAAGGGAAGAAGGACTATGGTGGAGTTGAGGATAATAAGGAGTGCGTTTGTCTCAATAATAATGAAATCTTTGATGTGTATCTGTCATCATTCATTCGTCGTCATTGATGACGTGATGCAACCCGACGACGAAGGACGGACATGATTTGGACCGACTGACTCAATCGACTGCCGTTCCTTCAGGAAGACTACCAGACGCCAATCCACAACCAACAGAAAAAGGAAAAGCTGTAGTTTTCTTTGATACCCATTCTTGGAACTTGTTGTTTCTGGTTGCAACAAAAGGACAGATTTCAACAACAACGACGACAGCACACCATGGTACGAGCATCATCTGCAGGTGGCGTATCTACAGGCACTGGAACAAAGGTCGACGTGACTTTGAAACTGTCACAGCTTCAGAATCTGTGCAAACGAGATCCCAAAGGATACCGTGAAGATTACGATGCGCAAATTCGACGTTTGGAATCCGAATGTGGTATTTTAAAGCTGTCTCCTCAGACGCCTTCGCCACGATTGATTGAGCTTATTCAGTTTGCTGCAGCTGTATCATCTTCATCCTACAAGGGAGCAGAATCAGATCGGATTGCCAACATGTTGATTGAACTTTTGGTGGGAGGAACTGAAACCAAAAGCGAACAGGACAAGGCAAATTTGTTCATGACAATGCCAGCTTCTGCCCTTCAACTGGCCAGAGATGTTCGGAAATCATGCGTCTCGGCGCTCATCCTCATGCGAAACAAAGGAGTCATTCCTCCACTGAAACTCTTGGAATTGTTCTTTCGACTCATGGCTGTCGTTCCAGACAAAGGGCTGAGAGAACAGCTGTACAAACACTTGGTCAATGATATTCGAAACATTAATAAAAAAGGAAAGAGAGACGAAAAAGTCAATAGAGCCATTCAATCCTTCTTGCATCGTGTTGTCAGCACTCACGTGGGAGAAAAGGGGCAAGGGGACGAGGCTGCAGCTACCGATGTGGCTGCCAAGAAAGCAACAGACATGGTTTGCGAACTATACCGAAAGAATGTTTGGACCGATGATCGTACAGTAGCCATATTAGCATCAGCGGTCGAATCCAAGATTCCAAATGTCATGAGACGTTCCATGATTTTCTTTTTGAATATTGAAGAACGCATGGCAGAAGATCAGAAAGAAAAAGAGGATGATGAGTGGGATGCGTCACAAAAGGTCAATATGCATTTATTCTCTCGGAAAACAAAGACACGTCAACGTCACGTCCAAAGACAGCTAAAGAATCGGACCAAGGAACAAAAGAAGCGAGAAGGAGACACTGACGAATGGCTCGACATTCGTGATGATCCTGGTGTCGAAGCTTGTCGTAAGCTTTATCCAGCGATCGAGTTGTTGAGAGATCCACAAGGATTAGCCGAAAGTGTGTTTAAGCGTCTGAAGAAACCAAGATCTGTGAACTACAGGGACAAATTGTTGATGATGAATTTCTTGACAAGGTTGGTAGGCAACCATGAACTCATTTTGCTGAGTCTTTATCCATTCTTGCAAAAGTACATGAGTGGGACTCAGCGAGATGTCACTGCCATCTTGGCCTACACGGTTCAGGGATGCCACGAAAATGTGCCTCCCGAAGAGATTCATGGAATCCTGAAAACCATTGCCCACAATTTCATTACGGAACGATGCTCGGAAGAGCAAATGGCAGTTGGAATCAACTCGGTTCGTGCCATTTGTGCAAGAGTGCCTTCCGTGCTGTCGTTAGAGGATAATACTGACGGTGGCGAAGTCAGTGCGGAATTTGATGTTGAGGCCTTTGCCAGAGACATTGCCGCTTATTCCAATCACCGCGACCGGTCCGTCGGCATTGCTGGTAAAGGGTTTATGAATTTCATCCGAGAAACACACCCAAGCCTACTCCAAGGCAAGCATCGTGGTCTAAAGGGATCAGCTCTTCACAAGAACAAGGTCAAGCCAATGCGCTATGGTGAACAGAAGGTTTCGGGTGGTGTCGAAGGTGCTGATTTGCTCGCCGAATACGAATCGAAAAAGGCTGCCCACAAGAAGAACGGCGGTGGCGATAGCGATGACGAGAACGACAGCGATGACGAATCGGAAGAAGGAGATTGGAAAGAAGTAACGGGAGACGACGAAGAGGAAGTGGCAATGAAATTTGATGATGACGAGGCGGTGAGCGATGACGAAGAAGCCCCAGAATTGATCGTCCATGAGAAATCTGATGAGACAGCAGATGAATCTGTAATCGATTTGGCCAATATGACTGCAGAAGAGCGAGAAAAGCTGAAGCAAGAAGTATCATCCAACCGTATCTTTTCGACTGCTGACTTTATCAAGATGCGGAAGCTTGTGGAACGTGAGAAGAAACTCAAGTCTGATCCACGGGAGGCTGCACGTCGGAAGAGAGCCGTTGCACGGGGCAAAGACTTTGAAGAACTTAGTGATGACTCTAGTGTGGATAGTGATGACGACCAAGTTCACATCAAGGGTGCTGTGAACCCATACGAGATCATGGCTGAGGCGAAACGAAAGAGACAAAGCAAGGCTGAGAAACTCGAGAAGATCCTTGCTGGGCGCAATACATTCGAGACCACCGAACGTGCTGGAGGCTCCACCAATACGGAAAAGGCACGTAAAAAGAACTTTCTCATGTCCAAGTCGAGCCGAGGAGCTCGGTCCAAGGGACGTGGGAAAGGTGGACTCAACATCAAGAGAGGAAATCCAACAATGAAACAGCAAACGGGACACGAAGCCAAGAAGAGGAGAAGAAAGTTATAGGCACGTCGCTTTGTTCCTTTATCCAATATTTCGGTTCGATTAGTAATGTAATATTTTTAAAAAGATCATTCCAACATTCTCTATTATTTCAGCACCTTTTGATCGGTGTATAATTGGAACATTTTGCCTTCCATATCTTCATTTGTCAAAGCCTCGGATACTGCCCTGGCAGCATCTCTTCTATTTATCCTTTGCCTCTTGATTACACCGTCGAATTCTTTGTTGCCAGTTTCCTCCATGACAATCTCCTTGCCTTCTTCGACAAAGTTGTCATCAAATGTGCTCATTTGCAAAATGATATGTGACAGACTAGGAAATTCGGTGCTGACCATTACCTCTCCTTCTCGCTTTTGTCCATGAAATGTACCGAATGGTGTTTCAAAGTCCGCGAGGGAGTTGGGTGCCGCCGACACATGGACAAAGTTAATTGGAGGTTTTCCTCCTTTCGGCATTGAGGGTCGGTCTGCAGCATCTTGCTTTGCTAGTTTGAGAGCTCCCAGCATGTTGCGTAGACCTTCCACTTCCACCCTACCCTTGGTCGGGGCTGCAACCGCTCGGAACAAGAACGCAAAGTTCAATCCGAGGGCACGTGGTTGGTTTCCATTAAAGTCGGTGGCACACCAAACGACGCTGTCAACTCCTTCGCAAATTGTTTGGCATTGAACTGGGTCCAAAAGTTCACATTCCACAAGTCGTAGGTTCTGCAAGTTGTAATCCTTCATATAGTCGGCATATTCAAAAGTCGCCACACGATCTTCTCCACTCCATGCGGATCCAATGCTTCCAACCCCATCTTCCGCACCAACTTCATAACTGAGTCTTGCATAGCCACGAGACGTAGGACTGTCTTCGCCAACATAGTGAACGCAAGCAACGACTTCTGTTTGTGGATTATTCCGGAGCAAATGACGACACACCATGCTCCCAAGCCGTCCATTGGCTCCCACGACCAACACTCGTCTCTTTTTCAAGGACATGCCTTGCTCTGCCTCTTCCTCTGGCGTTGTTGTTGCGGCCATCATCATTGGATCTCTGTAGTATTCATTACCTGGCTTTCGGTCCAGATTCTCTTCCAAGTTTCGAATCTGATCTCTTAGTTCTTCCGCTTTTTTCTTGAGTCTGGCAGCTTCGTCTTCATCATTGGATTGAGACGACGCTAAAGACGACGACGACGATGATGATGATGATGATGTGATGACGACATTCTTGTGGTGGTTGGAGCCACCACCAATAAGAACTACTGTGGATGAATATCTGCCTCCAATACTCGATGAAAGGAAACCATTTGTTGTATCAAGCGTCAGTAGTAGAGCTAAGAAAGGGATTATATACATGCCTATCGTCGTCATCATCATGTAGAGGAGTCTTGCTATTTTTTGTTGTTGTCAGGATGTTGTGAGAATGTTTAGCTGAGCAGAATTGTAATACATATTATGATGAGGAATGATACATAATCTCTGACGTCAGCATCGCATGGAAATACAACCGTCGAAGTAGTCTAATGAGACTAATATGATTTCAGACTGCGCGCAATGTTTTATTGATCAGGGTGATGGATATATAATATGGTAGCTCTATTCATTTTTTAAAGCATTAACGCTATAGCTCTATTGTTTTTCACAGACTCGTTGCAATGTAAGATGAGATGGGGCGACTCATGACCTTTTCTTCATTCTAAGTATCTTGTGGTGAAACCACCGTCGTCAAAATCCGTGTAATAGGAATAAAGAATCATTGTGGTCGGCCGAGCAAATGGAATTTACAGCGATGGTGCAAGGCTCACAGTTCGCAACACCATATTCATCTGGACATAAAAATGTCATCAGCGGTGTATTGCTGGCAGCAGAAACGAGCTTGTGTGAAAGGTAGCTTGGATAGTCCGATGATCCTTGTTTGCCTTCGATTTCTTCTTCAATCCAATAGACTGAGGATGAAACGATGGAAAGCGGAACTGTAAACTTTCGCGAGTTCGTGCAAGTTCCTTTCAGAAGGACAGTAGCACCGCTTTCGTAGCGATTCTTCATTTTTGCCAAATCCCTTCGATCAAATTGATCATCGTCACGCCCCCAATAGTCACATTGGTACTCACCCTTCACAATTTCTGGCAGAAGATTGTAGCTGTATTTGCGAACATACCACTTTGGAACCAAGAATGTAATCAGAGCCATGCCCACAATAGTGAATAACGCTGCTTTGATCTCTCTACAATTGCACACCATCTGACGATGGCAACTAGAATGTTTCAGCCCACCAGTATCTTTCTTCGTGACGAAGAGGGGTTCCTCTTCATCTGTACTACATACGGATGTATCCGAGCAGACCTCTTCTTCTACGACCCCTTTTGTTGTTTTTCCAAGCATGGTCTTCTTGTTGGGTATCATTGCTAATACTATTGGACAGGTATAATATGAGTTTTGACGGTCCGATTATATGCTGGCATACGCGTTATTGCAGCATAAAATATATTACCGGAAGATACGATTTCTGGGACGGCCGGGAAAATCAATATTTACTCTTAAGAATTGGATGCTAAATTTCTATTTCCCGGCCGTTCCTGATTGATTCAAATTAAAAATGTCAAATGTCATGATTTGAGCACGCACGCCAGGCACCCACGACCACGCATTCAGAAATCTTTTATTGGTGTCACCTGTAGCTAGAGAGAGTATATTTTCTTACCATCTACTACCAGGTACTGTCATGATGGAAAGGCTAAAAAGGCAATGGAACAAACTTCAAACTACAGCAGACATTATGCGAAGAAACATGTTAGATTGAAAAAATGTAATTAGTAGAAAGTGGAGAGTTAACCGAAGAAGAATGTATTGGATCTAGTATCCGCATTGGTTCCGTATCTTGCATTTTCTTGACGACCACACGCATTGCACACACAAACAAGAGAGCCAAACTCGTTTAGAGAGCCGCAGCTTGCTCCTTGGGAGCCTCATAAACGCCAGCGGAAGCGAGAAGCTTTTGCTCCAACTCAGCAGGGAGAGCCCTTTCGGCCATGAAACCACGCATGTACATGATGGCTTCAGTTCCAAGATCAGTGGCATCCACGCCATTGATTTGTTTTCCCTTGAGGCGGCTGGGTGGCAAGAGCTGAGCGAGTCCAAACTCGTCAGTAGCCTTGACCATGTCGATAATGTCAAAGACGGCATCGACGTCGTTCATCTTCATGAATGGGCAAGTTGCGCAACCACCAGCAGTGGAACATCCTTCACCACCACCAGCTCCAGGGACGATGGTAGCTTGTCCAGCTTCATTTTCGGTGCTCATGACAGCTTCGCTGCTGACGGGGAAGATGACCTCGACTTCGACCTTGCTCTGAGTTTGCTGCAAGACTTGTTGGACCCTGTCGACGATGGCAGTGACCATACCGGCTTCGGTACCCAAGACGAACTTGAGACGGCGCTCTTCGTCAACGTTGATGGAGGCGTCTTCGACCTTGCGAATGATAAAGTTCAAGATGTCGGAAGTACTTCCAACGACACCTTCGTCTTTCAGCGACTTTTCCATGGCAATTTCGAACATTTCACCGGGAACTTCCAAGTGAGCAGTGACGTAGCAGTCATCGTAGTAGTTCTCACGGACAGCTTGAACGACTTCGTTTCCAAACATGTGGTGGACGATGCAGTTTCCTTGAGGGAAGATCTCCAAGTTATCGCGAAGTTGCTTAAGGGTAGTGCGGTTGTGTTGTGGGTGCAAATTGGATTGGATCTTTTCATCAGTCCATTCGATAGGATTGGCAATAAGTGTATCCAAAAGGGTGCGTAGATTGTACCCCATGTAAGTGTCAGGTCCGTACAAAATTCTGACATCTGGGATTTGAGCCGAAGCTTGAAGGATGGTGGCCAGAACGTTTGAAGATGTGCAAGTGATGGTGGGGACAATGCTGGAGGAGATTGCCTTGGTCTCCAAGCTTGTGTTAATGTACACGACGTGCAAAGCAGGTTGTTGAGTGTTGGTTGAAAACTTGTGGAGCCATGCCTTGTACGCATCGCCTTCAGCTGACTCAGCAAGAGAGCAGCCAATATGCTTCTCGGTAGCACGATAAACGGGGGTGTTTTCAAATCCATTTTTAGCCAAGATAGCTTGCACAGACTCCGACATGAAGTCAACTCCCAAGCAGATGACTGATTCCACGCCTTCGTTCTTGCACATGCTGACAGCAAAGTCTCCCATGGCGAGGGAATCGGCAATATGAATACGTTCCTTAAGATCGGGGTGGCTATTTTTCAAAGCCTGAAGGATGCCTTGTAGCTCGACATCCATGTAATAATGCGCAACAATGCCCATGTTGGTTTCCAGTAAACCATCTCTGAGGGCTTCGACAGCTTGGGGATCAGGGTCCAAGAACTGTGAAATCCAAAACAAAAGTTAGGCGACACGATTGAATCAAAAACAGTAATGGAATAAGGTATATATGTTGCTGAATATGTATGTGCACGTCTGAATAGTGCTGAATACCGCTGAAGTGGATACCATTATCCACATCATGTGCAACAACATACCTGAGCTTGAGCTTCAGCAAAAGAACCCTGAGCCTCGACAGCGTTGTTGGCGCTGATGATCATGGATGGGAAATCCGACTGAATGCTTTGGTCGAAGGCTGCAGTAGCTGCGCTGCTCATTAATCGCGATCCGGCCATTCCTTTGCCAGTCGATGAACCCTTGGAGGAAGGCATCAGGGACGTGTTGGAGAGGGAAGGAACATAGGGCTTCAGCAAACCACTGGCAGCTGAGAATTCGCGACAAGTGCTCTTCTGATTCAAGCGTCTGCCCAAGGATGATAGTAACAATCGATTCATGGTAATAGGTGATGAAAGTTTGGCAACAAGAGGTGACAAGTTGCAGACGGTTGGTCTTTTCTGTTGCTTCCGGAAGCTTCCAGAGGAAATTAGGTTCAATTGGCTCAGCGATCGGCCGATGATGCACATTGGGAAAAGAACCCTCCACCCTCCACTCCGCACCACTCATTGCACACGAACCGAGCCTTCGCATTTGATTTGTTGATTGCTTCGCCATGTCAGTGTCTGACGAACGTATGAGAAAGAGTAAAAATCCCCTAGTACATAAATGTTATGTTGGCTAATGCACGCTAAAACCAATTTCGGATAGTTAACTTTTGCATTTTTTCATCATCCAAAGTTTCATTCAGGCGTTAATACGAAAACATCAAAAGAGGGCGCTTTGATCCGCTGAGTGTATGTCTCATCAGACTGTTCTTCATGTACTGTATGATTATTTCTCCTTCCTTCGCATCTGTCACTGAACATACGGCCAGACACCGACATCGGATCTTTTTTATTCAGAAGTTTATTTGGCTCGTATCAAACTACTCGTAAAGGTCTAAAGGTATTTCATGTTGAGAAGTCTGAATGAGGGAAGAATCATGAGCAATCGTTCTCGGTCTACCGGTACTGTACTGCAGGAAATTCGATGGAAATCACAATGATGACGTGGAAGATTTCCGAATGAAAGTGCTGGCGGACTTGGACGTAAAAGGCAAACGAGAAGAGAGGAAAGCATATCGCATACACTTCTACCGCGGATTTGTGGCATCACAACTTTCAAGGTTGTTGCTCCTCGCAATTCATGTTGCTCTTTCCTTTGGAGTCCGTTTCCCATTGAGAAATGGATACCTTGGAAAGTCCCATACGTCCCAAATGTGACCACCACGATCACGGCATGAACCGCCAAGGTGGACAACGCAGACGTTTGAAGTCTCGGAATCTTTGGTCAGTCAGTCTATCAAGTGGACTACAGCAAAAGCAGATGATATCGAATGTTTGAGAAACGAATCATCATATAAGTCATTTGATATTCCTTGGGCGATATGCATGACAACCAATGCGGGGTTCTATGACTTCTTCCAAAATCGGTATGCTCATTTTCAACTTCTGGACTTGAGGATGGACACGATGCTGTTTACGGAGGACTCTGTAGCCTACGTTCGCCTTTCCAGTGCTTAGTTTCTGAACAGACACTACACCATGGTACTTGTGAATGCCACCAGCACACCATGTACTTCTCAGCAGGCCTCAGATGTGCAACCAGCCAAAATGTCATCCACTCCACCAACTCGTTCCTCTGCTAAAGATTCAGCTTCTTCAGACGAAATCTTTGACGCCTATTCTCAAAAGTACAAACAGCTGATATCCAATCGCCCGACTAGGCTATTGCAAGTCTTGTGTTCTGGGCGAAATACCTTGAACATTGATTCTGATACCGTTTTGAAATAGTCTGTTGCCTTTCATCACCAAGAGTTACATGGATGGTGTAGATCTCAGTGTTGCCCTTGACCACGGAAAGAAGAAGAAATATGCGCGTGGCTTTGGGGTTTGTACTGGATTTGTCACCATCAAGGCCAATACAAAGACGGTCCACTTTGTGTACGAGTGGGAGAGGCGATGTCACGACGGCGACAGTAGAGGTGCCATCAATGATCAGACGGCGTTCAATCTTGGAGCGACAAGAGCTTGGCACGTCCATCATCGAGCTCCAAGGCCTACTAGCTACCGGTCGAGATATTCCCAAATGGCTAGCAATACTTCAAAAAGTGTAACGAAGATCAACGAGAAGATGTTGTCTTAGCTCATGGGTGGCTGCAAATTGGATTGTTGGCCCATGGGACCCAATGTTGACGGATTGATGAATGAATGAATGAATGGATGTATGGGAACAAATCAAACCATTTTCAATGCCAAACAGAATAGGGATCCACTTGAATTCGTTTTCCAATTGGACGACTGACCCCCATAGGATTTCAGGCTCTTCCTCCAAGATGTACAAGTGAAATGTAAAAATAGCTTTGGACGCAAGCAAGACGAACATCGAAAGAAGGATTTGAAGAATGGCTTCAAGATGCAGGCTATCATATCTCCTTTTCTTCTTGTCTGCTACTATGTATCTGGTCTGCCGCCTGCCAATAGGTATCGCCAAAATCAACGAAAAGCTCCTCCCCCTTTTGAATATCTCGCGAAGAATCGTTGTCTCGTCGTCTTCATCATCATGAGAAAGTACGCTGCTGTACTCATGCTTAAAAGCAAATACCAATGCTGCACAAATCTCTTGCCGCGGATCATCAACCTCCTTTCCAGTTTCATCCAAAACTTTCAGAAGCTTCTTCACGTAAGCAATCGTCTTGCGTTTCAGCAATATCCTCCACCATTCTTTCACTTTCGTGGTTGCCGTAATTGCCGTCAGCTTGTTCCATCATTGTAATATCCTCAGAAGATGGATCAGCAGTGGGAGTAGGTTTGAAACGATTATTGCTGTTATTCATCATGTACAATCAAGTTCAAAGTGATAATACGTCCACTTCTTGTTTGTCATTGGGTATTGGGGATTGCGAAAAGGGGGTATCCATCGATTAGAGACATGTCTACGTCACCGCTTCGGGTCAAATTTCAAAAAAGACGAAAATGCAAAGATGCCGACCCATCGCAATATATATCGGTACATGTGAGGCCGAGCGGGATACGCATACATCGACAACAATTTCTGAAGGAAGAGACGGTAGAGCTGCTTTGTTTTCGTCACAGATGCGATCAGTAGAAAAAAAACTAGAGTGCATGCTTTTTTATAAAAATAGATCGTTGATAGTTTACATGACTAGCTACTCTACCCTCCCCATGTGGTAGATAGCTTGAAAATAGAAAAAAATGAAGTGCAACTCTTTCCAAAGGCAGACACGATTCTGCAATGCTGGGAAGGGTGCGAATGTGAAATTTGCAAAAAACTTCATTCATCCAGTGAAACGAATTCAAAAACCGATCAAAATGGATGAAGAAACCTCAAAAATGGAACGCCAAAATTGCAGCCACGGTTGCTGCAATGGGCGTTGTTGGTGGTTGCAAAGTAGTTTACTCCTCGTCGTCCTCGTCCGGCGAATCAATGGATTGTTTCCGTCTCGGACAGACCGGTGGACTAAAACAATTGGAGCAGCAAGAGGGTGTGCTTCGAGAAGAGGAAGAGAGCGAGGGACCCACAGTCATCCTGGACAAGAATTCCTGTCGCCTATCATTGCTCTCCATTGGATTCTTTGGACTCGAGGAAGATTGTTCGACAAAATCTTTAGAAGGCACAATGGGGAAGAACGCATCAGTATGAAGCATTGCATGGCCCGGTGAATCGCGGCGTTCTGGTTTAAATGGTGCCTTGAAAAAATACTCCTCAATAGGAGGCAGCTTTGGAGTATCATTGGTTGGTACCAATAAGGGGGAAGAAACACATCCATCGTCCGGTGACGATGAAGCTGCCTTGTTTGGAGAGTTGGGACTGTCACTCAAGATTGTGTCAATCCGTTGGCATTCCATGGCTACCCATCGCCGCATGGCTTTTTCAGGTACTCTGTCAGACCTCTTGGCGGGGATCTGCAAAAATGGCGCATTGGTCCTTGGGTTGTCAGCTATCAGTCCAACAACTGATTTCGAAGCTTGAAGCTCCGTCATGAAAACTGTGAGTGCGGACGGTGGGCTATCTGTATGTGTTTTCATCATTGTTCGGTTGCTCTTCTTTGCAATCGAACAGATAGTAGTAGTAGCTGGAAGGTTACAAGCTCAACCCTCAACCCCTGGACCTTTTTATGATTTGTCAGAAAAAGTTGTCACAATTTTTCTGGTTTCATTGGGCCCAAGATCCGGATCTTTCAAGGAACTTGACAAACAGAACGACGCAAATACAACAGAGAGTAGAACGCAAAAATGCTCAACTCCCTGCGACCTTTTGTGATTTATGATAATTAAAGACTGCTCAAAGTTGCCAGACTGTCACACTTGTGAGCACAAAAATCCGGATTTGTCGAGGAAGTTATGGAAGTACGAAGACGCAATTACAACCCACTTAGGACCAAATAGTGATAATTACGCCCCAATCTTTCTTTACTCCTCCAAAAAAGGTCTCACAATTCTTAGAATTCTCTTGCACAAAGATCCGGATCTTTCGAGGAGTTTGACAAAATAAATCGACGCAAATACAAAACATCATTTTTCACTTAAAGGTGGTACAAGCCTTTGTGTTCTATGAAACGAAAAATCCAGAAATGTGCGGGAAGTTGACCAAATGCCACCTCGCAATTACAAAATAGTTAGAATTTGTAAAGCGCGCGATATAGAGATAGGAAAGATACCCAAGGAGGGAGAATCCAAACGCGAGCAAAACTGTCAACGAATAGAGACGAGTTAGGGAAATGTCCCAACCTCAAAAATCATACATAGAGGAAAATGACCGATTATTTGGTTCCTTCAGCATTGGCGCAGAAACGATCATATTACGCCCATATAAAACTCCAAACGACCCGTTATCGTCGTCAGTGCACTGCTTCTCGCCACAACTTCCAACTGCCACAAATTTATCCACATACCAAACAGAAATAACAGTATACAATGATGCCACTACCAGATCCAACGGAACAAGAGATGCTAGAACGTACACAAACAAGAATCAACTCACCACAGCACGATGCCGAGCGTTGCACAATACCATCTTCTTGCATCGTGGATACTTTTTGCGAGACCAAAGTGAGATTGTCTCCAAGAAAGAGTTGCCTCGCATCCAAGAGCTCGAAAAAGAAGAAGAGAATTTCAATGGGAACCATGCAGCAAGAATGTACGACGTCGCATCATGTGTTCTTTCGTCAAACAAGTCGATGGAAAGCTTCGGAAGCAACCACTGATAGTGTGCCTCGAGTACCACGCCGACCAACACCGCAGCAACCATCTTCTGACTCGGATAACATTGATGAAGCAATCGCTAACTTTGTTTCGAACCTCCGAATAGAAGAGGGAATGTCCAGAAACAGCCTGGTCTCCCAAGCCGCCTGAAAGGCATCAAAAACTGCTACATTATTCCAGACCGCATATATACCGGTACTTCATATAATACAACTACATACATATACAATACTAAATATAACCTTACATTGATGCAATGAAAAAGTGAATCACAAAACAATAGTCTTTATGTATTGTAAACTTGGTACTTCAGTTGGGATCAGTTCCTTGCTTGCTGATCATTCGATGATGCTTGCTGCTGCTGCTGTTGAGTTCCTCCACCGGCCCCATCCTTGTCTCCTTGCGCCTCTTGTTGTTCCTTTAGTCGTTTCTCCTTGATGGCATCTTTGAGAAACTTCCGAGGCATGCGAAAGGAATGCGCCACCTTGTCACGGGCCTTGGCATCGGTTGCTACCACCCACAAGTCATCGTCCTTGGATTTCTTGATCAAAAATCGTCCACCTTGTTTCCTAATGGTCTCCAAAATGCTTTGGCTCATGGCAGTCTTTTCGGTTCGGGTCTTGCAGCTGGTATATTCCTCACGGAACTTGTCAATGATGTCGTTCATGGCAATGTTGCCAGGGTGCTCTTGGTACGGCCGACCCTTGCCCAGCAAAATATCGTTTGGAGTGGGCAGGATCAAATTATTGGACAAGGTGTATTCGGGACGAGTGAAAAAAAATCGCTTGGAGCTGGAGTCAATCGGATTGTGCATAATCAAAGTTCCATCACTATTCAGTGGGATATTGGGAATCCCAAACTGAATGAGCCGTTTGCGAAGAACGCCAAATGGGTCCTTCTCATCGTTCTCGTCGTCGACTTCACTCGCTTCATTGCTATTGCGCAGCTCTTCCAGCTGAAGCTCAAACAAGTTGTGAAATCGCAATCGGAGTCGAACATTTCGTCCCACTCGATCTTCCAAGTGTTCCAAACTAGCCTTGCTCTTGTCGAGTAGGCGTAGCTGTTGTTGTTCGTCTTGGTTTCCTTCATGATGCAGCGGTACATTCTCTTGTGGCAATTGATGATCTGGCACTTGAACCGCACCACCCCATTCAGCGACTTGTTCTAGTCCACCAAACCCATGCATATCCTCTTGATTATCAGGCTGTTGGCGCCACAAAAAGTTTTCATGGTTGTGATGGTGGCTGACATTTTGTCCGTTTGTACTGGATTCGTCCTCGTCCAGTGTACTCATGCCGGGACCATCCAAATAATGCAATGCCACCACGTTAAATGGAAGAGCTTCTCGTAGCATCGAAGTGCAATGCAAGATAGTCTTGGAAAAGAGATCAGCCTTGTCTTGTCCCAAGACCAAAATGACCATGTTGGTCTCACCCTTGTCTTGAAGAGCCCGAAAGATCAGATACCATAGCGCACGGACCTGACCATGAAAAAAAAGGGAAGACGAAGCGTGGGTCAGATAAGGTTGCAAGGGGAAGACACGAAAACAGCATTTCAGATATATGTCAACTTACCAAATGGGGACACACCAACTTGTTGGCCTCGTCCGATTCTTCCGCATCCTTATCACCAGTATCCATTGGTTTGGGTCCATTGGCTTGTTCTACAGTCAACAAGCTTGGCAATAGAGACAAAACTGTTCGTCCGTGATCGTCTCGACTCAATTGCATACATCCATTGTGCAAGCAAGCCTTGTCCTGCGAACTGAGGGCTTTCAATGTCAAAGGCTTGCAGAGTTGTTCCAATCCAAAATACTGCAACTTGAGATCCCAGTAGCGACAAAATTGCTGGGCGGCAAGTTTGGGATTGCCCGCATGGCGCTTGTGGAAGAGTTTTAGCAAATCCAAATTGGCCGAATAGGTGGGATTCAAGAACTGCACCTTGTAATAGGCGGGACGAAATCGATGTTTCTTAATGTTGTGCTCCATGATTTCCCGAATGTCATGATCTGTATTTTCATTCGTAGCATCGTTGCCAGTACCATTCAAGAATTCCATGAGGTTGACATTGGCGGGAAGCATGCGATCATTGTTGTCGTTGTCGTTGTTGTTGGCGGCAGCATTAGCATTAGCATTGCCGCCTCCTCCTTCTTGTCCATTCTCTTCATCCAACTCTTCTTGAGTGGGCGCTTCAGCCACTTGCTTGGTCCAGACATCTTTCAAAGCAATTAGACGATCCCATTCGTTGATACGGAGCAGCTCTCTCCGAACACGAGTGGAACATCCCAAGTACAAGTCGGATGGGCGCACAAACTGAGGCTTAGCTTGCTGGTTTGCTGCTGCTGCTGCTTCTGCCGCTTGGTCATTCTGACCTGCGGCTATTGTTGGGTTAGATTGTGGAGCACATCGATAGAGGGATAAATAATGGTTAGCACAAGATAGATCATTGTGGTTCAAGAGAGCACCACAATAGCAAGCAACACTGCAAGACAAGTCAAGTCACGATGGCATTTGAAAAGTTCCGTTCATCCATGTTTGGTCTTTGCGTTGCCAGTCGCCTCCGCAAGACTCACCAGCATTATTGCGATTGTTGTTGTTGTTGTTGTTGTCAGCACCAAAGTTCATTTGATCAAAAGGGTTTCCTCCGCCTTGTCGGACTTCATTGGCAATGCGTTCCCGAATTCGAGGCAACATGTTCTTGTATTTATACTGTATAATATGTATTGTTGAGAATCAGAAAGAAGAACTATGATGTTTTCCTAATGAGCATTCATTTCCGCAGTCCTATCAGCAACCAGTGAACTACAGCCAGGTGTAGGGCAGCTGTACGTACGAGTCCGGACCGTACAAAGGGTGGTGGCACGGAGTTGCCTTTGTGGTAGGAATGTTACAACGTTTGTAGTCGTGGACGGAGGTGTCAAAGTCTTTGATTTTACCGCGTTTTTTGCACAGATCACATGAATGACTCTCTCTGCGCATGCCAGCAATAAGTTATTGTGGGTATAATACGTGTACTACTATTCGCGATCGGTAAAGACTGCGAGCATACAGTATCCCACTTTTTTAATGGTACGATACCATTAGCAATAAGCAAACAACTCTAATAGTATCGGTCATTCGATGTCCTCCAGCCACTTCTACTCGATTGGTGGATACGTGACGCTCGCTCGTCAGAGGACTGTGTGATAATGAAGGAGACCATTCGATGGCCAACGTCACATTGCTCCTGCCAGGGATATCGGACTGTCGTGGCTGGACACAACTACGGTGGATCCCATTCATTCATGTGCTTTTCGCCCAATCATTGGATAAAGCCAAAAGCCTCGACTTCCGCAAAGTTCAAAATAATTTGAGTAGGTGCTGTATTCTCCAAGGCAACTCGAATTGCAGTAACACCTTCCACAGGAGGAAAAGCAAAAAGATTCTTCTCGCGAGCACTGGTAACTGTTTCGGTATGAAGAATATTGCCGGAACCGTCTTTCAGATAAATTTTGGCACCATTCAACCGTGAGCCGCAGCAATCCGTTCGGTTCCAAATGACGATACTGCTCACAGTAGCAGTTAACATGAGATCAACCTGCCACCATGGATCAACTTGAGGCATGGTATGAATCACACTTTGGTCATCCATAGTTCCATTTGTGTTCCCGTCAATTGCCAGGCTTGCCAAAGGACCAAGACTATCAGGTGCGTATCTCCTACATGCCAGACAGAAAAGATCCGATGATTGCGAGGCGACCGAGGATGCAGTGAGTAACGATTGGCCAGTACTTCCAAGGACTTCGACTTCTGGGAGAACGATGTTCGCTTTGGCAGTTTTTGAGACTCGGACCGTTGCTACTCCGCTGACGCTGCCAAACTCCAACTCGTAAAAGTCCGCAACGCCTTGAATGTCGCGAGTGGCTAGCACCACACCACTGCTGTCCAAGAGATCCACATTCGCACCAATCAAATTATCAAAACAGCAGCTGGTGTTTCGGTTCCAAACGCGCACTTTGCTGACTGGACCCGCAATCCCTTGTACTTGCCAGTATGGATTCCATTGTGTCCAGGTGTGCGAGCTTGTTGCCCCTGTGACGTAGGATCCATCGGTAGTACCATCAATGGCACTCGAAGCTTTACCAGCCGGCATGTTAGCGAGCAACTCCCCTAGAGGAGTGATGGCACAAAAGACAGATTGGCATCTGTATTGGGATGACTGTTGGGCTACAGCCGACGGCGTGATGACTGACGATTCAATCGTAATGGTGGGAGTCTGGCTATCTTGCACTGTTGGAGACGTTGAGGGAGCAACCGATGCTTGAATAGTTGGAACCAGCGACGGATTTGAAGAAGGAAACAGAGTGGGAGCTGGTGTTGACACAGTAGGTTCGAGACTGGGCTGTTCGGTCGGACTCGTTGAAGGTGATTGTGTTGGTTCCTTGGTTGGAAAATCTGTCGGTTCAAGGGAAGTTGGACTAACAACTGGAGCAGAGGACGGTATTGCTGATTGTGCAACCGTTGGCTTCGCGGTCGTCGGATCAGAACTCGGACTGAAGCTTGGTCCGTCAGTTGGTTGGGCAGAAGCAGCTGTTGGCGCAGAGCTGGGACTGAAGCTTGGTGCATCTGTTGGCACGACAGGGGCAGCTCGAATGATCACAATATTTGACAAGAGAGAATCCATTCCCAAAACGTTTATCGGCGAAGCACCAACAGTGGTAGCATTAAAGAATGCTTCAACAATGGAAAGCGTCGCATTATCATTGCGAAGGGAAAGGTCCATGAAGACGATCACGTTGATACAGAGCTCAGACGCCGTGTCCTCACAATCGTCTTCCGTTACAATGGCATCTCCAATCTTTCCATTTGCAATTGAAAAGTCTGGCAGCAATTGCAATTGACCAGGCGAACAACCAGCCACCGCGGGAAGGAAAATCGATTGAAGTTGTTCCTTGAGAGAGACCAGCCAACTTTCCTCGCCCATTCGAAAGGTCAAGGTCACGTCAAGCTCAATGACAAAGGCAATCGAGGCCAAGATGTCTTGGTCTGAAAGTGCCGAACCAGATGCAATGGCATCGCAATCTTCTTTACTCGGCGGCGTGTAAATAGGAAGGTCCGTGGGACTGATGGAAGGCGATATACTTTCGAATTCTGTACCTGTCGGCTCTGAGCTAGATTGAGACATTTCTGCGGGAGACTTGGCAGTACCAACGACATATCCAGCAACTCCACCAGCAATGACAAGCAGGAGGACGAGGACACAAGCAATGCTTTTCCAACGGTTCTTGGTGGGCTCTTCAGTGGCTACATTGACATCATTGGTATCATTGGTAGCATTGATATCATTGGCATCATTGACATCATTGACATCGTTCTGATCATCGTGGATAGATTCCGGAGTACGATTTGGTTGCATCATGTTTTGCATTTGTCGCTTGAGTGCTACGATTTGAGCCTGTTGTTCCTTGATCTGTTGATTCTCTGCATCTTCCACAGCAACGGCTTGAAGCTGAATCTCGTCATCGCCGATTTCTTCTTTTATAGCGCTTGTAAAGTTCGGTGGTTCTTCATCTTCCATCAACTTTTCTCGCAATCTCCGTATACTTTCCGTGGATCTGGAGGCGCCTGGAGATCTTCCACCAGTTCCTGCCTTGGCTCTTCGTTTGCTGTCACTGTCAGCGTCTTTGCTGGCAGGTGATATATGACCCCGTGAGCTTCCTCCTGCTCTTCCTCCTGCTCTTCCTTTTGGAGAACTATGCCGCGCCATTTTCCTTGATTCCCGAGATTCCGAATCGATGGATGAACTACCGGTAGTACTGACCGCCCCAGGCTTTTTTTCTTGATCGCTTCGTTGTCCCCGGCTTCGTACTCTTTGCTTGGCGTCGTCATCGGAACGCTTGTGACGATCTTCCCTGATAGACTTTTGCGCCACGGCTCCAGGAACGCTTCTTGCCCCACCTTCACCGCCTCGAGCTCTTGCCTTGGATTGAGAATCATGATGTCTCGTCGTCTCTCGGCGATCACTACCAGCAATCTTAGTGCTTCTTCTCGGGCTTCTTGAACTCGGGTTTCTTGAATCGTCATTGCTGCTCCGCTTGGCTCGTCGCTTGGCAAGTCTATCTTCTTCCTCGCGTGTCATGATGAACTGTTATAGGTATTATAATACTTTGACGGCTAACACTATACTGTGCGTATTATCACAATGCCACACACATAAAATATATTCAATATGAAGGGTCCCGCACAGCTGATGATGATGATGATCACTTTCGAAAAATAAATAAAAACAATAAATAAATAAGATTTTTTGCAAGATTGGATTTTGTGTTTTTATATTGCTCCCCCCCGAATGAGAGCTCCCCTATCTGTCCCACTTTGTCTTCATTCCATCGTATTCGCATATTGAATACAGGTATCTTATTACACTACCGGTATCGCACATATCGCACAATGTTTGATCCAAGAAAATGTAGTGGCCAAGCTACAGTACTTTTTCGTGCATTACGTGTATAGCGCCGTCATGGAAGGGAAGAAGCAAATGGGAATAGAAACAAGAGGCGAAAACTAATGAAATTTTTCATGAAATAATTACTATACTTTCCAAACTCACTTCTTTGCAATCCAATAAGGTTTGGCTATACATCTATTCCAGAGAAACAATAAGGGACGAAAACTAGTGAAGAATGCCAAGTGTATCATGATCAAGCTGGCTACTTTCGGCAGTCGGGGACTGACTATCTGTCACAGTAGGAGAGTGGCTATCTCGTACTGTAGGAGAAATTGATACCTGTATAGTTGGAACGGATGAAGACCCTAGAGAAGGAGACGGCGTGGGAGCTGAGGTTGTAGGTTCCAGAGTAGGTGGAAGAGTCGGAGAAGGAGTGGGCACTTGGGCAGGACTCTTTGTTGGTGCTTGCGTGGGCTGTGGCGTCGGGCCGACCACAGGAGCCAATGTAGGAGCAACGACAGGAGCCTTGGATGGGCTTGAGATTGGGATCGCTGTTGCCTATATTGGAGCTGCGCTTGGTGCCTTGGATGGTGCCTTGGATGGGGCTTGTGTCGGCGCCAATGTAGTGGGACTAGCAACTGGCGCAAATGATGGATTGTCTGTTGGCTTCACTGTGGTAGGAACAGAGCTCGGGCCCAAGCTTGGTTCATGGGCCCGTGGGGTATGGGCAGCTCGGGTGATCACAACATTGGATAAGAGTTGTTCCAATCCCAAAAAGATGACAGGCGAGGCACCAAGAGAAGCTACCAAGAATGCTTCTAGAAATGAGAGCTGCAAGTTTTGATTGCAAATGGAAAGATCCACATCAACTATTGCAGTAGGGTCAGACTTGTCAGCACATTTGTCTTATGCGTCACAACGACATCTAAAACCTTGCCGTTAGCTATGACAATGAAGTTGGGCAACAAGAACTGCAGTTGCCGATCTTGCTCAGTACCCGCCATCTCGGGAAGAGAAATCGACTGAAGCTTTTCCGCAAGTGGTCCAAGCCATTGCAGCCTTCCTCTTCCATTTGGAATTTCAAGGCTGCATCAAACTCGATGCAAACTCTTTGGAGGTCGCACTATTGGAGGGCGAATTATACTTGGCAATGCGGAACCTCTGACAGCTGGAGGGCGCGTCGGCTCTACAGCAAGAGTTTCCTCGGGAAGTCCCAAAGATGTAAGCAACTCCACCCCCGATTGCAAGTAGAAGGATGAGGAAACAACAGATACATTTCCATCGCTTCTTCTTGGCAGACCGCTTATTATCGCCATCATTATCGTCCTCATCCGGATCGATAGGTTCTGGGACAGCAGTTGGTTGCGTGATGTTTTGCATTTGTCGCGTGAGCGCTTCAATCCGACCCTGTTGTTTCTCGGCATCTTCTACAGCAGCAGCGTTCAACTGAATCTTGCCTTCATTCGACTCTTCAAGAATGTCAGCCTTTGAAGCTTTCCGTTCGCCGCCCATCTTGTCTCGAAATCTTCTCTCTGTCCTGGAGGACGATGAGGCTCTTGGAGTCGACCTTCCACTAATTCCCGCTCTGGCTTTTCGCTTGGCTTCGCGATCAGCGGCGTCTCTGCCACCAGATCGATGACTGTGGGAGAAGTTTTCTCCTGATCTTCCACTTCGAGAACCCTGTCCTCTCATCTTCCTTGTTTCTCGATATTCCGAATCGTTGGACGCACTGACACTGCTCCTGGTTACAGATTTCGCTCACTTCGCCCACTTCGCCCACGACGAGTTCTTTCCTTGGCATCGCGATCGCGACCAGATCCCCATTTATGATCGGAGGAGCATTCACTTCTATATTTGCGGTTAGACGTATCCATCACAGCACCGCTTGCAGCATCCTCTTCAGCGCATGGAACCTTTGCTTTGGTTTTATCATCGGAACGTCCACTTCCATCTTTGCAACAATCGGAACGTTTAGGATCATCTTTGTGGCTGGACTTACTAGGATCGCATACAACATCTTCGGTAGGGCCTTGACTTCTTGGCTTGGATTGAGAATGGCGTCTCTTTCGGCTACCACCAGTTTTGCTTCTTGTGCTTCTGCTGCTTTTGGAAGCACTGCTTGTACGCTTGACATGTCACGTCTGTCTTCTCCTTTTTCTTTGCTTGGCATGATTCTTACACTCACATTACTGCTGTGACGAATGGATAACAATATTATGATGCTGAAAAAGTGAATTTTCTAAGAACGATCCTATCCTTACGTGTACCGCCGCATGTTCAAAACAATTATCGTACTACTACCGGTACACACTTTTCTACGATTGTACCGCTAATCCGCCAATTGCAAGGAACCAATCGCCTTCCCCTGAGATATTCCAGACTGCCTTCCAATAAATGCCAAAATTGTGGAAAAGGAGAAGCCGGTGGAAACAACGGCTTGCTTCACAAGAATCCTGTGGAGTAGACTTCGGTACTCTAAAGGCAGCAATTTGTTTTAGACGCTTTTTCTGACGAATTTTGTGCACGCGATATAGGCGTCATCACCACCATTTATGCGGCAATACATTTTATGAAAATATCATCAAACTCAAGTCAAGTTAATCATCTAACGTAGACGAAAGCTCGAGAACGAATCATTGGATTCCTTTCATCATACTGACGACGGTCGAACGACCGTCACAACAGCATTGCTCAGCAACACCAAGTCCGATCAGTTTATCGAACTTGTGTGCGAGTATACGTCAAGAAATAAGGTTTATTTCTTTCTTTCAATACTCTTTCATCAAGTTCTTCGGCGTCCTCGGCGAAGAGTAGTAGATCCCAGTTGCGATCTACGAAAACTGCCTGTGTCTGTTGTCGTCCCACGCACTTTCACACTTGACCTTCAGTGCTCCTCCGTCTTCTCCTTTCCGTCGTGCCACCCCTGATCGCAGCCTAATCATGAAGTTCCTGCGGTTGCCCCAAGATCAGTCTCTCAGCGAGCGTCAGAAGTTTTCTTGCACCACTTCGTACATTTTGTACCACAATCGCCAAAACTTTTTTGACGCAAAATACAAAATTCACGGAGACTGATCTCGGGACTACCGCCTGACTGATGCTTTCGCGTCGGATCACCGAACCCGCGGACAAAGCTTCTGGGATCAACTCACTGGTCTGCCCCATCAAGATTCCCTCATCCATGATCACATCATCAAATCTCGGCGAGGAATGCGTTTGGATAAAACCATTCATCAGTCATTCGGCCACCCTGTCACGGATACCACCAAACCTGGATATCAACCGCACGCTTCGCGCGCAATCCAAAAGACCAGCTTCACACCACAACCCACCAGAGTCACACCAAGAAAGAATCCCTCACGGAAGAAACCAGGCTGCCGGCGCCAGTTGGCTATCGATAGGGTGCCGAATGCTCCAATGCAAAACGAATTTCAGCAACATCCTTCAGAGGGGAAAATCCAATCTACTGCCCGACTCAGAAATTGTGACACTCGGGGTGAAAAATGTTTCCAGAGATCTGAAGATATCTTTCAGATAAATGATGGCGCCAATCTCAAACCAACCTCTACGCGCCGGAATCGGTGCAGTTTCAGATGATGGCTGACTGTGCCCACACCGCAGCAGTCAACTAGAGATCAATCTCCTCAAGTCACTAAAGATGACATTTGGGCAAAGGCTCCAGCACAAAGGGGTACATGGCCAACAAGTTATATCTGAAGATTGCGAGGAGGCGACCGCCGACGATCCAGTCAGCTTTGAGATGGAAGAAAAACTCCAAGGAGTTCGCCTTCGACAAGAACCAGGCTTGAATAGGTAGACTTGGAGACTCTGCAGTTGCGGCCCCACTGACACTGCCAAAGTCCAATTTCCAAGAGATTCTAGAGCCTTTAGTTGGGCGCGTTGCTTGAGCTACTACGCTTCTTTTGTCCAGTAGGTCAACATTCGCTACATCAAAATCACCAGTACAGCAGCCACCGTCTCTGTTCGAAACTTGCACTCTACTAACACTGCCGGAGGCGATCCCATGTAGTACCCATGTGTGCGAACTGGTTTCAGTTTGGTAGTAGTACTACCGGGCCGGCCGGTAGCCATCAGGAGTATTCCATCAATTCCATTGGAAGCTCCGCCCGCTGGCATTCCAGGAAGGAAATCCCCACTTCCATCGGAAACGCAAATAGTTGTGAGACATGTGTATTTCGATGACTCCACGGCTGTCACCAAGGCTGTACTGCTGTCAGATACAGTATAGCCGACGAGGTGGTTTGTGACACCAAAATAACAATAAAAGTTGCCATTTCCTGTCGTAGGACTAGATGATGATTTTACAAAACAATAGTATTTCTCTTTTTCAAAGTACATTGCCCAGCGGCTGTAGTGGTACTGATTGATTCATTCTATTAAAACATTACTATTTCCTATTATAGCGATTTACATAGTTAGTATTTGAAAAAATAATTAATCGGAAGTCACTTCCTCATCTTGCGCCCGTTGCGAAGCGACATAGTTTACCATTTCTTCCTTGTACCGCACCATGTCGGTTTCGGCCTTTTCTTTGTAGTAGATCATTTCGTTGGCTGGCAATTCTTGCCATCGCTTTCCAATCAACTTGGCCAAATTCTGAAATCCAATCTTGCCTTGTGGATCTTCCCCCTTGGATGCCGCCACTTCTTTTAGAATGCGGGCTCGTTCCTCCTTGAAGAAAATATTGTAAGCACTGAGTGGTCGTTTGGGACGATCCTTTGGCTTTTTGCGATTCTTCTTTTGTTTTTCTTCATTGGTCAGGGCCAAGTCTCCCAAGAGTGCGGCCGAAGCAGCACTCCATGGACCCAGCATACCGTTTTCCGCAAAGGTGTCAGCTTTGGGTTGTGGTTGTGGCTTCTTTAGTAGTTGTTGTTGTAGTTGCCTTTGCTGCTGCTGCTGGTGTATCTGATTTTGCTGTTGTATCTGTTGTTGTTGTTGTTGTTGCTGTTGTTGTCCCGTAATGGTCCAAGAGGCATTCTTGAGACCAGTGTTGGTATGCTTGGTCAGTCGTGGAGACGGCACCTGAAAGGTATTTCGAAAGGCTCTCGAGCCACGTCGGGCCATGCTTCCAATACTTCCTGAAATAGTTCCCATGGAAAAGAGTCTAGACAAGGATCCGATGCTACCAACCGAGTTATTGACACTGATGGTGCCGAGACTGCTTTGGGAGGCTCGCGAAGCGGAATGTTTGATGGAATGCTCGTTGCTGCTGTTGACGGTTTGTGGTTGCAGCGAGAACAGATTGGGAAAGAGACTGCCAAGTGCTGACTGACGTGTTTGTTGAAACTGCTGATGTTGCTGAATCTTTTGTTGTAGGTGTCGATTCGATGCCATGGTAGCAGCGGCCAGTCGCAAGTCTTCCGGTATGGTAGCCGGCGTAGGTGCTACTGGATTCTGAGGAAGGTGGTGATTAAGGTTATTGGAAAAGAGGGGATCAGAAAAGATGGCATTTTGCATCTCTTGATTGCGTTGCCGATGCATTTGTTGTAGCAGCATTGAATTTGTCGTTATGGATTCCATAGATTGCAGTGGTGAGATTTGCATGTCGGAGCTCTCATCGTTTCGTGGAATCTCACCAAAGGCAGACTGCGGTTGCTGTTGCTGTGGTTGCTGAAATAGAGATTGGTGTTGATGCTGCTGTTGTTGCTGCTGTTGATTTTGTTGCTGTTGTTGCTGTTGTTGCTGCTGCTGCTGCAGCTGAAGCTGAAGTTGATGCTGCCGATTCATGTGTTGCTGTGTCATCAGATGTTGTTGCTCCTGCTGTTGCTTCTGAAGCATTAGCAAGTTCTGCATACCCTCTATCATGGCTGTGTTGTCAATCATCATTGCTAAAGGTTTTCTTATGGCTTTTAGATTGAAGATGCTGATGTTCTTTACGCTGTTAGCTAATGAGATAGAGGATGCGTCTTATGAAATGGTTTTTTCTGAAGTATATGGCGTAGAGCAAGCGGGAAGCGAACAAGCCGCCAGTACCAGTACCGCCTGGAGAAACTATCCGGCGGTCGGAAATAGTCAATTGTACATGGATATGTGCTACACAACGCTATTTCACCGAGATAATTTGACTCCGCTGGACCAATTTATGTATACGTAGCGACCAACTCCAATAAACATGTGCAAGCAAAGTTAGTCCTCCGGAAAAAGAAAGCTGTTTCGAACTCGATGTCAGTCGCAGAAACAAGAAGCACAGCGAATGAACGATTCTCCGAAAAAAAGTTTGGGAGAAGGCAAAGCAAGACACAATCATCAATCGTGAGTCAGTGAGTCTGATGCCAATAATCGACCCGGCGCCGCCTCCACTCCTGGGCTTGAATCGCATGATGTAGTCTTTGTCTGGAGAAATCGCGAACGTATGCTACCTGGTACCATGGAAACTGTGGTGCTACATACGGGAAGCGAGTAGGTTTGGCACAGTAGCGAGGTACTAAGTTAGTGACTGGTTTGCACCGAGGTCGAATCGAATCATAGGATTCGAAAAGGACAAACCCGGACCAAATGGGGTACCGAGCTATGGTGCAAATGAAAGAGAGGGTGGTGAGGGAGGGAAAAAGCAAAAAACGCTGGCGGTCTTGACCGAGCAGCTAAGCTCCTTCTATCGTCTCCATCATCCCACAAGCTCCCATTGCGAACAATGTCTTCTCCAAATCTTCCGCCCTCTTCTTCGTCGACACTCTTCGCTCCGTCCGCCAACCGTGTACTTCACTGAAGTGACGCGCAGCAATCGACACGACGGAAATTGAGACTAAGGAAGAGCTAGAAACGCCCATACGTGCCGATCAATCCCCGCTCGCGACGAATGAATAATGTCAGATCGAAGCTAACACAGTACCTCCAATTTGCTCGCACCACTTTTTGTGAAAGAACAATTTGTGTCATCATCCACCTTCCAAAGTCTCGTGAACATCCACAATACTTCCCCGAGCTCCAGATTACGAGCAGTATCTATCTTGTTTCAAAAATCTAAGTGATATGGTCTCGTTGATTTTGTTGACCGCCACAATGACCGCTGGATAAGCAACAAATAATCAAAGCGGCAGGTATGCACCCATCCTGTCTGAAAGGACCACCAGCACGATGTTTCCTATCAGGATTTCTACATGGCAACTTTCTTCGACCATATCCGTCAAGAAGCAGTGGTAAAATTCATGAACACGGCCATAAGAACTATATGGCATCGGCTCCACGCGAAATATAGAACATGGAATAAATGCTACTGCAAGTTTCGTTGAACTAAAGAATACATTTGGACCTCCGATTCTCAAGTTCAATTCTGGCTCCAGTAAGTCATGTCGGTTCATCAAGTGGCAAATTCGATGGTCCTTTGGGATCCACAGATATTTGGCCCGAAAACGATCGAAGTCCAAGATGCGGTAAACAATTCTTTGGTACTATGAACACACTCTCGGATCATTGTTGAATCGTTTGATCTGCCTTATTTCAAAGTGCATAGACCTCTAATCTACATACATTGATCAAATAGTACAAGTACAAAAAACAATAAGATTTCTAATCAGAACTAGTTTATTGTACGGTTTGGGCCTTTTATTTTAATTTGTTAGTTTTCTGCAAAGTGCGTGGCCCGTCTTTTAAAATATATTTGACGGACGAAAGCAGTACAAGGCCACATTTATCGCGTTTTATAGTTTCAAATATTTGTTTGTTGGAGAATATTGTTTCACGCTGTATTTACCGTAAAGTCGAAAATATTGTACTGCAACATTTAATATTATAAAATAATAAATGGTACACTACAAAAACAAATAGATAAAAAGCTGAAGAATCCACTGGTTCATTCTAAAGTACTAGTAGCTCTGTAAAAGATAATCAAAAGACCACAATTTGAATATATATCATGACAATAAGACATGCCAATCTGGTACTGTACTACAATTATAGTAGTAAATGGTGTAAGACGCCGCTATGCCCCTTTGTTGCGATGTTCAGTCCAGTGCCATCGCGATACTGCATGCACCACCGAGGATTTCAATAAAAATTATTATTATTGGCAACAACGGCTGTTCACATGTCTGACGGATATCGCTTGCTCCCCATATTTGAGCAGGGTGATGGATCACATGACACTGACATTCCAAGCGAGGCTTCCGCTTTGCCTTTCAATCCTTTGGAAATAGTAATCTTGAATCGATGATCTTGTTCTTGAAGTAGGTACGCCAATCCCAAATCCTAAAGGGACCACTTATCTGGGATCTTGCTGATCAGGACGCGCTTACGAGCCTCGACCTGCCCATCCCACCCCCGTCGTCCCACCCAAACGATTGATTCGGTTTAGGTGGCCAAACAAGACTGGAGGGAAGCACCCAGTCGCAGCAAGCCATGAAATCATCTGGTTTCGCGTCGCCGATGCGACCTAGTGAGTGACCAATCCACTAGAAACCACAAAGGCAAACACTAGCCTTCCGAAGGATCCCTTGGAAATGTGACAATAAAATAAATGCGAAAATGAATTCTCGCCAAAATGTCCTAAAAGAGAAAAGAAAAAAAAAGTGAGATCATGGTTAAAAAAGTAAATGCAATTGATGGGGTGAATTTCCAGGTAAAACTCTTTGATGGGTTGTTCGTGTGTTGTCGCACACTATTATCATACTTCATCTCTTTCAAAGTCGTAGCAAGAATGTGCTTTATTTGGCACCTTTTCCTCGATTTACCACTCGGCGACTGTATCGTCGTCCTTTTCCCGTCATGCCAGATCCCAAAGCTTCAGTAGAAGGATCCTTCTTATCTGGCGAAAGCTTGAGCTGTAGCCGTCGGCTGTAGCGCTTTCCAGATTCGGTCCATCCAGATCCCATTCCATCAGAAGGAATATCATTCGTAGCTGCGTTGTCAGATTGCTCACTTGGTGATGCAAAAATCTCGCCGTCGCTACCATCCTGCTCCAAAGAATCGAAGTCATCATTAATCAATCCAGCATCAAAAGGCGACTCGTCCATGGTACTCAAGTCTTCTCCCTCTGTATCTTCGATAATGACAAGAAGGGAAGGTTTGAATTCCTTCTTCTCGTTCATGTCGTCGACTTCTTCTTCTTCCTCCTCCTTCTTTGGATCTTCGATAATGACAAGAAGGGTTGGTTCAAAATCGATCTTCTTTTCATAAATTTTCTCCTTCTGGCCCTTGCTTCTTCTGGCTCTTGCCTTGTTTGCCCACTTGACTCTCTCGGCCTTGGTCTTCTTTTTCAGATTCGCCTTCTCGGCCAAGATTTCCTCGGCCTTCTTGACCCAAATAGCGTCAGCTCTGGCAAGATGAGTCGATCGTTCATTGGCGACGTCATCGTTGAATCCAGCATCCAATGACGAGTCAATGTGGCTCTCGTCGTCGTCTTCTTCTGGATCTTCGATTAGGACAGGTAGCAAAGGAGTGAAGAGTTCGTTGGTTCGTTTGGCCCATGTTGCAGCGCAAGTTGGAACCGTAGATGGATTCATTTTGCGACGCTTGGTGGGTCTGGATGAAATAAGGCAGGAAGTGGCGGTTCGCTTGAGTGACAATGGTGCTTGTTCTTCCATGTAGGGCTCGTTGTTGTCGTCATCCAAATCCATTGGTACGGGAATATTGGAGAGCATGTCATGAAGGACCGTTGGAAGCATTTGTCTGTGGTTCTCAAGTGCAATTGCAATGATTTCAGAGTCGACTTTGCCATCAATAAATCCAGTATCCAAAGACGAGTCAATGTCACTCAAATCTTCTCCTACTGGATCTTCGATAATGGTGGCAAGCACTGTAGGTTTGAAATCGATCTTCCAGCGTCGGGCATTCCGTCTCTTGATCTTGCGGTCAATTTGACGAATTAGCTGCCTTCGGGACTGAAGATCTTGCTCGTCGGGAATGAAGTTTTTCCTTCGAGTCTTAGGGGCGAATCGGACTTGGTTTGAAGAGGTTGGTTTGGGTGATCCCCAATCTTGTCTTGAAGGACGAAGAATGGACACAGGAGTGTGTGGAACGAATCTCACTGTGTTCTCTATCTCTGGAATTACTTCGTCGTGAAGTTGGATGCGCCATTGAATCAGACCCCAGCATTCCCTGCGAGATTGTAGCTCTTGCTTGTTTGGGACAAAGGTTCGACGAAAGATTTTGGCGAAACGGACACGATTTGGTTTTCTGATGAACACACCAAACCAACTTCGGTTTTTCTTGCGAGACCCGCCTTCTGGACGACGAAGGATGGAAACAGGAGGCTGTCGTCTGTTCCATTGCTTGCAAAGTCTCTGATAGGTTCGGTAAGTGTCGAGTACCATGTACCGAAGTAACACGATTGCGACTGCACAAACCAAACCGGTAATGATGGTTTCTTGAACTGGTTGTTGTTGTTGTTGTTGAGTGATGGCACTCATTCGAGGTAACTTGGGAAAGCTGATGCTTTTCAAGCTTTCTTGATTGACAAAGGTAGTGATGTAGTTGGTCATGATTGTTGTTGTTGTTGTACTAGTTGATTCAAAGAGGTTCATAATGGAAATTGTGAGGTGTTGCGCTGGGGTGTGGAGTGAAAACCGCTACGGGTGGGAGATCGCCAATTTGCCGTGTTTTTAACACGATTGACTCCTTCGAATCCTCGTTTGCGGTGCGAAGGATGGAAATAAAGATGATGATGAATGATGATTAAATACTGACAGACTTGCCTCTCCAACAGCGGACGGACAGAACCAAATCATTTTGCGTGGCTGTGATTTGGTTTCAGTTTCGACTTTTTTCATCGTGTAATTTTCCACAACTTGTTTTCATCGCGGTATTTAAAAAAATGTTTCATTTTTCCACAAGGAAATTCGGAATAGATTGTTTTTCTGTTGAATATAATCTATTTGGAGTCCATCTTGTTTGTCTGTACCCGCCCGCGGTACGGCACGTTATGCCTGCAAATTGTTTCCCCCACTTTGCATCAGCCCCTCTACCCCGTACACTTGTAGTCGCATTAGTCCAATTCACAGTTTTTCCACTCAAAATCATATCATCGCATCGCTCGCATTAACATTTTATTTTGTGTCAACATACCGAACGATGAACAAGAAAGGATTGTTCAGAAAGTTGCCTTTTCGAAATGAATGTGAGCTACCAAAGATTTCAGCAGCATCGGTCAGGAAATGGAGTGCTTCAACGTCTAACAACACTGCTTCATCAACATCAGTCGTCTCCAATCAGAATCTACAAATACCACTACGACTGAATTCCATCAGATCCACAGTATCTCCCTTGAGGATACTGCCTGGAATAAGGTTGTACTCCAATCAACAGCAAATTGAACAAGTGATACATTGGAAACTGAATCGTTTTTCCTGGAAATCGAGTTCGAGTCGACCATCGATGTCAACCCTCTCCTCTTTAGGCATATCATCATCATCATCATCATCATCATCATCATTATTGCCATCGCCATCGTCATCATCAGGACCACAACACAAAAAATCACATTTCCCATCATCACCGCATCCTTATCATTGTTGGACACAGAAGCATTCCTTTCACTCGACACTACCAAGTGCATCTACCAACGACAAGGAACAAAAACTAGAGAAAAATGATACAATAAGATCAACAGCAACAACCTCGGATCCTCCCATTTTGACCTGGTACGATCCATATGTGGCGGAATGGATGGGCCCATATCTACGATTGGCAAGAGTCGACAAACCCATTGGCACCTGGTTGCTCTTGTGGCCCTGTCTATGGTCTACCGCCATGGCAGCGTCCGCACCAGCAACTACTACTATCACTGCCAGCAGTAGTACATCCTTACTATTGCCAGATCCTTATCTCATGGGTCTCTTCACGGTTGGTTCCTTTGTCATGCGGGGCTCGGGCTGTACCATTAACGATATGTGGGATCAAGACTTTGATAAGCGAGTCGCCCGGACCAAATCAAGACCATTGGCCAGCGGCGAATTGAATTCCACCCAAGCCATTGGATTCTTGGGGTTGCAACTAGCCACTGGTCTTGGGGTTCTATTGAGTTTACCCAATATGGAATACTGCTTCATGTGGGGTGTCTCGTCTTTACCATTGGTGGTGATGTATCCATTAATGAAGCGATTCACCAACTTTCCACAAGTATTCTTGGGATTGACCTTCAACTGGGGTGCTTGGATGGGTTGGGCGGCGACCTATGGGTCCATGAACTATGCAGTTATTGCACCACTCTATCTATCAGGAGTATGTTGGACTGTCGTGTATGATACCATCTATGCCAATCAAGATAAGCACGACGACAAAGCGATTGGATTGAAATCGACAGCCTTGACCTTTGGAGAAGACGAAACCAAGCACAAACAGATCTTGCATGGTTTTGCCGCCTTGACCTTTGTCCAATGGCTAGCAGCTGGCTATATGATGGAGGATATTTCCATGGTGCCTTATAGTGCGGGAATGAGTCTAGCTTATTCGCACTTGTTGTGGCAAATTCAAACAGCCGAATTGGACAATCCACAAAATCTTGCCGACCGTTTCCGATCCAACACAGGCCTGGGTGGTATTGTATTTGCAGCTATTGTAGCTGGAAAGGTATTATAGAATTTTGAAATGAAGAGTGGCCTAGGTACACTTACAACTATTACTATTGACATTAATACTATACCCTCCTAATATAGCTTCCAATACTGTCATTGTCATCGAGTACCGGTTCAAGTAATACATACTGTATATGGTCCCCATCTCAAGTCGAAACCTGGTGGCTTTCGTCCGTCCTCGTACGGGATTGTGTGGTCCTCACTCACAGAAGTGCCGGAACGAGCCAATCAAAATGAGCTTCGCTTCTCCAACGTCTCCCAGAAAAATAAAATAAGTATCGGAAGAGAAGCCACCGACCAAAGTTACATTGGAGGATAAACATCAACACGCACAACAAACCAAAACAAACCAAACCAAACCAATACCCCACATATACAAAATGAAGTTCTCACTTTCCGCTGTTGTTTCGGTCATGGCTGTCTCGTCATGTGCTGCCTTTACTCCCATTCAGAAGACCCACACTACCACTCTTCGACCAACAACAACTCGTGGTTCTAGTAGTAGTACGACCAGCCTCAATTACAGCGTGGGCATTGTTGGTGCCACTGGTGCTGTCGGGAAGGAAATTCGTCAATGTTTGGAGACTCGTGGAGTGTTGGATGTCGATACTTTGAGAATCTTTGGTTCCGAACGAAGTGCTGGCTCTACCGTCGAAACCAAATACGGCGACATCTCAGTGGAACTCTTTTCCGAAGAGGCTTGCCGAGAATGTGACGTTGTCTTTCTGGCTGTCGATGGAGACTTTGCTTTGAAGCATGCCAGGAATATCTGTGAGGGAGATGACGGTGCTGTTGTCATTGATAACTCGGTAAGAAGACAAAAACCAGATGCATATTTGTGAAATGGTGGATGGTCATTGAAACCAAGTAGCGACAAGAGAGTCACGACAAGGTTGAACATGTTCCTTCAACGATGATGTCCGCCCTATCATTGGAACTGCTTGTTGTTCTTGTTCTCATACTGTATTGTTTCTCGTTTCCTTCCTTCTTGTTTCTGAAATGCTATCCATTTCGTCGATTCGGCCATTTGAAAACTTTGACATACATCACCATTCATGATTCTCCAATTACGATACTACACGCCCATACACAAACCTTACTAGTCCGCCTTCCGCTACGAAGATGACGTTCCATTGGTCGTTCCCGAAATCAATGGCAAAGAAACTAAAAAGTCCAAGTTGATTGCCAATCCCAATTGTACCACAGCCATCGGACTCATGGCACTGTGGCCACTCATTCAAAAGTTTGGTGTCGTCAAGGTCTTGATGAGCACCTACCAAGCTTCTTCTGGAGCTGGACAACCTGGTATGGACGAATTGACCAGTGGTACCAAGGCTTACTTGGAAGGAAAAGAGGTCGTCAACAAGATCTTTGCCCATCCATTGCCCTTCAATGTCATTCCACAAATTGACAAATTCCAAGAGAATGGTTACACCAAGGAAGAAATGAAGGTCACTTGGGAATGCCGCAAGATTTGCAATCTTCCCGAAGATACTCCCATCAGTTGTACGGCCGTCCGCATTCCTACCATTCGTGCTCACTCCGAGACGATTGTGTTGGAAACCGAAAAGGATGTCGATGTCGCCGTTGCCCGCCAAGTCTTGGAAGAAGCCAAGGGTGTCAAGGTTGTGGATGATCCCGAGTCATTGAGTTATCCCATGCCCTTGACGGCTACTGGTCAATACGATGTCGAGGTAGGACGCATCCGCAAGTCGATCGCCTTTGGTGACAAGGGATTGGAATTCTTTGTCTGCGGCGACCAATTGCTCAGAGGAGCTGCCTTGAATGCGGTTTTGGTGGCTGAAGAAATGCAAGAGAATGGTGCTCTGAATTAAAATTAAAAGCTTTGGGGCTGATTGATCGATCGAACGATATGAATTGATGATTGGTTTCGATGAATGATAATAGCAAAATAGTAAAATAGCAAAGTAGCAAACTAGATTGAAGTATACATTATAGATGCACGGTTGGTGGATTAGACTTTGCGAATTGCAAAACCACTACATGCAATTATTATGAATGTACTAGAGTAAAAGCAAAGCGGAAGGATCCTATACGGCACATTTGAACACGAACAGTACAGGTTTGTGTAGAAAAGTACAAGTGCTTTTGGATGCTGTGATAATAATTTATCATTATGATTTAGCAATTCAGCTTCTCCTAATAAAATGAAATGTTATTCATTAGGACAAAGAACGACGCAGCAAATAGCCAATGTGATAACACCAACTCAAATCAATGGTTGACAGGAGCAACAACTCCTTCGTACTCGACACCCTTCTTCTTGGCCACTCGATCCATCCAAGCGTAGTATTCACACTCTTCGTAGGTGTGACGTTCATGTCCGCACTTGGACATTTGGTAATAGTTCTCACGACGGCATTTGTTCAAACCCGTCAACAAATGTCCGCACTTGTCTCGAAACGCAAGGGGAATCTTGGCGGCCTTGAGAGCTTCCAAATCTTGGTCTGCCTTTGGTTCGGCTGCGGCATTGTGACGTCCTCCCATTGTGTTGTGTTACGGAAAGAAGGGAAAGTAAATGGAAGTGAAAATGAAGACAGAGCAAGGCCAAACAACAACCAAACACTGATGCTACAGTATCGTTTTGAGTTGCCGGTTGTCTTGCTGCGTTCGTTTGTTCCTATCTTCGTCTACGTCTGTACGTCATGTTCCCATACTCACTTGAACTCATGACAGACGTTTTGGTTTGAATACCTCGACCAGCGACAAACTGAAACAGGAGAGGAACGCAATCAATCAATCCGTTCCGCCAAATAAATTCCGTTCCGCCATCATTTTTGAACGAATGAGATGATATGGAACGCTATGCGCTATGTGCACTATCAAAATAAGCTGCTTTTGAGGATCTCTCGAATTTCACTGCACTGCACCGGTAGACTGTGCCCACTGTAGTACGTGTGTAGTATGATGCAACTCCGATCCAGCCATGATACAATAGCACGCCACCACTACACAGCATTATGAACCAACTAGAAGGTAATGTATGAAGATTGTTTTTTAAAGTTATTCTACAGATCCTAGCTGAACGGGGTCGTTTAGGCAGCTGGTGACGCAATCACGCCTTCTGCCGATAGAGTGTTCGATATCATGCTTTGGAGTTCATCCACTGTGAACATTCGAGTGGCAGTGTGTTGCAGAGACTGAATAAGAGCCTTTAGAAACTGTAGCCTTCTGCATGCTTGGCCCAAAAGCCCCTTTTCCAACTCGATTTGAGCCAAGTTGTTGGTGGCGGCCATGGTAATAAGTGAGACTGTGTTGTTGGAACCTGCGTGAATAAACTGCCCAACGAGCTGAAGACAACATTCGTATAGCTTAGCTGCTCGATGTAGGGATGCTGACCTTCCAGTCTTGAAAGCTTGTTGATGATGCAGAATGGCGGTGTTGAAGGCAACTCCCGCGCAGTAGATAGTCATCTTTGCTTGCGTCATATCTTGCGTCGATGATGCTGGTGATTCTTGCAATATCAATGCACTTTGATATACAAATGGCTCGTTTTGTGTGGATGCATCACAACGAGCCTTCGGTGCCGTGGTATGCAAACATTCATGTTGGGGCGCAGTGTTCATGGCGGCCGCAATCACGTCATCATCTAGATAATAGCCCTTCATGAGTTGCTTCAACACACGGAGCGACTCGTATAAGGCCTTGGCAGCTAGAGGGAGATCATCCAACTGGTAAAGTGCCACAGCTTGATTGTTCAGCTGCAAAGTGTCTTGCAGAGAGATCATCATGATTTGGCTATTATGATGCCTGTGCGTTTTTTTTGCAGAGTTGTGGGAATTATTGCTTTCCACAGAATTAATTGTTCGTGAAAATCATTTTTACTGTACTTATATATGACACAAGGGTTGTCAATAATTGTCAACTCTAGGAACGGCCGGGAAATAGAAATTTAGCATACAATTCTTGAGAGTAAATATTGATTTTCCCGGCCGTCCTAGTAAAAGCGCTAGGGAACTCCAATCCGTCAGTGTTAATGAAAAAGTCTATTGGATTTGGAAGGGTGCGAAGCCGAATGCGAACCGAAAGACTGCACGTCTATTCTGATCGAACTTTCGGGAATCCAGCGCGGTATTGAAATTACATAGAGGCTACATGAAGTGGAGAACTTTCATCTTGTTGCCAAGAGGTAAGGGCCCATTGGAGGGCGGTAGGCGCAGCGAATTTGTCCATTTTTCGCAATCACTCTACTTTACCGAAAAATTGTGCACAAAAGGTGGGTATAACCGTTACCATAGTATCAGTAGGTAGTGACACAATTGCATCTTCACGACGGCTTGGGACGAGTACGCTACAAGGAAAAAGCCTCGTTGTTTCATGGTTGTGCAATGCTGCGTTGACGTCTTCAGACGAGCCCTCCTCATGTACCGGTATGTACTATCCTTCTCATTTATTTGATCCACGTCCCGTGATATCGAACACCAGCACCACCTACACCACATAGTCTATGTTATCTATCAGTGACTTATGCAAATAGTATGAAAGGAGAAGAATTGTCTTTTCGCCAAGGTCTACTATCATTGATTGTAGTTAAAGTCGAGAAAAGCAAATTGCTCTATAAATACCAATCGAGCAAAATGTATGTGCTTTCGGGAACCATACTGCTGTCAATTCGTCCACTCATTTGTTGTTTTCTTTCATCCAACAAAGCTCGGTCGGGGGCATGGAAGATCAACCGGAGCCGTAGCGCTCTCATCCCAAAGGAAACCAATCACGTTCGGTATCACAATGGAAGCTTCATTTGTCACTCGACAGGCTTGTCGATCCACCTTTCTTCGCTTGGTACTTCTTGGAACAAAGGGTGACTCATCTATCGCTGGAGCTTTGACATTTTGCTTCCATAGCGCGAGCTCTAAAAGAGGTATCCCTTCGTCCTTGACGTGGAGCGATAATACTGCCAAAACCCTGTCCACACACTGGCATCGGGGCTCCGAGCTTCCATTCCAATCCTTTGACTCGATTAGTGACGACAGTCCATCGGCCATCTATCGTCCCGTGCCAAATCGAGGTATCTGTTCAATAATTACCTTTTGGACCAGTAGCATGATTGGTAGAATGGCTCTTGGAGTTGAGTTCATCAAAACGTAGTCTAACGTAGTCTAGCCCTGCTTGCCTCTGTGGGAAAGAGCATTCATAAGATATTTGTCCAGAAGTACTTGTACTAAATCGAGGCAAAGCTTTGCAGAAGTCGCAAGAATGCGAAATGGAGTCATTCAAAGGTCGAGAATGCCCTTTTCCTATAGCCGCCGCTTGTTGGGGGGCATCTTGAAAGTGATTGCTAATGACCCCTTCGTTCAACAGCAGTGATGTAATGTGGGGTGGAACGAAATCGAAAGGAGACAATATGATATCACTCTGCAATGATCCTCACAAAAGGCTTCCAACAGCCTTGATTTCTTCATCATCTTCACTGAATGAACAGAAATCCAAGCAGAGCAGTTCAAGTCCATTGGTTGTCCTGATACCATAGCGACCTTGAAGATCAAAATCGCCAGAATCAAATCAAGGGGCTCGACCATCTCGGGAAAGCTTCACAGTTGCGTTTTGCAGCTTTCTTGCGTCAAGCGCACAAAGCCGCAATTGAGTTTCTTCATTTCCTGGTTCTCCATGTTGTTCTTCCACCGAAATCACATTATTGCATTTTCCACCACGATAGGTGCTACAGCTTGATTGTTTAGCTTCAATGCATCTTGTAGTGAGATCATGATTTTGACGATCGAAAAGCTGCAGAAGAGTTTTATGTCGCGGAAGAGTTTCATGTCGCGGAAACGTCTTTACATAACGAACACGTCAAATGACAACGTTCATCATGGTTCCAAGAGGCCGGTACACTACCGGTAGGTTGGTTTTATTCTCCGTTTTCGCCGCTTTGTGATGTTACAAAATGTCCGCATACTCAAAGTGGGTACCGGGTATACTGTCCGCTCGCATACATTCAATTAACTCTCTACTCCCAGGCAGTCAGTCTAGCTAGTTGTCTTCCTACTGATGACATCTGATTTTTTCTGATGAGATTGTCGGCGAGAGACGAAGCGTGATATGGTCTTGCTGTCATGCGAAATCAACCAAAATACCCCATCGCATCAAACGAACTTGGCAACAGCGTTGGTATAAAAGTGTAGAGCCGATTTTCATAAAAATAGATTTAGGCAGCTGGTGACGTAGTCACACCTTCTGCAAGTAAAATATTTGATAGCATGCCTTGAAATTCACTCATGGTTAAGATCTGAATAATGACGGGTCGCAAAGACTGAATAACAGTCTGAAGAACTTGTAGCCTACTGCATGCTTGTTCCACGAGCCCTTTCTCCAACTCAATTTGAGCCAAGTTATTGCTGGCGGCCATGGCAATAAGTGAGACGGTGTTGTTGCAATCTGCATGAACGTGCTGCCCAACGAGATGAAGACTTGCTTCATATAGCTTGGCTGCTCGATCTAGGGATGCCGAGTTTCCAGTCTTGATGGCTTGTTGGTGATGCAGAACAGCGGTGTTGAAGACAACTCCCGCACAGTAGATCGCTATCTTTCCGGGCATCTTGCCTTGGAACGATAATCGCGATTCTTGCAATATCAATGCGCTTTTATATACAAATGGCTCGTTTTGCGTGGATGCATCACAATGTGCCAACGTGTGCAAACATTCATGCAGGAGCGGCCTGAAATGGCAGGCTTGCTGGGAATGTCCTCAGCGATGTCGTATAGATTGCCTATCAAGGATGACGGAAGCTGACTTGCCGGTGACAGACTCTGCGCAATGCAGAGCTTGGGCTTCGCTGAAAACGAGCCTGCCTAAAGATTCATTTCATTCGTGGACGTTCCGTTGAAATGGGTGAACTTCGTCGGACACTTCGTCGGACCGACGAAACTTCGTCGGATCCGACGAAACTTCGTCGGACCCGACGAAACTTCGTCGGACCCGACGAAACTTGGTCGCATTAGAAACAGGGTAGATTATTTTTAAACCTCTTGATCGGATTAATCCTAAATCTATTACTCAACTGAGTACAATTCGTGGTTGACGTTTGAATTTCTGAAAGCATGCAACATGTCTGTAGCAGGTGGTATTAAAATACCGTTTTTTGCCGTTGTTGCTTGTCATTCTTCTTGGACCAGCTTGCGTGCAACGGTATGCCAACCATAGAATTCATTTAGAATTTTACACGAGCTCCGAAACCAGTTTCGTCCATTTTGTCCATTTCGACGAAGAATAGTCGGACTCCGACGAGAATAGTCGGACTCCGACGAGAATAGTCGGACTCCGACGAGAATAGTCGGACTCGACGAAGGGTCGACTATTTTCGTCCATTTGGACGAAGGTTCAACGGTTCGGAAGCATTTAAAAAAGGCACGCACGCCGAGTAGTTTTGAAAAGAAAGACGCGCCAGTCAACCAAACTTGTGTAAAAAATTGAAGACTATGCTATTCCCATCATTTTGTCCGAACGACACCCCCGAAAAGCTGACTCGGCGCGTGTAGGTCCAGTTACAGGCCGCTCCAGAGGAACAGTGTTTACGGCGGGAATCGCGTCATCCTGACAAAACTCCTTAAAAATTCTTTTGAAAGAACAGAGCGATTGATAGTAGGCCTTGGCAGCCTGAGGGAGATCACCAGAGTGGTAAAGTGTCACAGCTTGATTGTTCAGGTTAATGGTGTTGTGTAAAGAGATCATGTTGATAAGATTCTGCGAATTTTGTGGATTTGGCAGAGTTGAGGAAGTTGTGAGTCAAAAAATTATGGAATGAACGCCAGAGAAAATTAAAATGCTGCATTTTCTTTTCTAAAATACCGTGTGGAATAAACCCGAAGATGGGCTTATTCTGGCTTGTGAGTGACTGCATATTGCTTCTGCTCAAAACCTACCGCGGGGAGCAGAAAATCAAGGTTACGTAGATATTTCATGATACAGTACACGTGTACAGTGTATGTGCACATTGTACTTAGGGCGGAACATTCATTTTGTTTTTACCAACATTCTGGAAGGGCTGTTTTACCGCGAAACTTCGTCAGTTTTTTCGCGATCGATTGCGGTCACTCACACAATTTTTAAAAAAGTAGCGCGTGAAAACAAAAGTGTGCTTTCATCGTCGTCTGATCGCGCCCGTCCTATTACCCCTCGATTTCGGACTTGCAAGTTGAAAGTTGCCTCGCCTACGATCGTTTCTTTTTTCTTTACTTCAGTGTGATGACACAAGTTGTACAGAATGATCATAAGCTGGTGATAAGATGATAACCGAGTTTTCCATACGCTGCTTCCTGAACTTGAGTTCCAGTCTATGACAAAACAAAACATGATTGGAGTACTAGGTTGCTCTTTTTGTGTATGAAAGTCTGCTAATCTTCATGGTGTACCTGATGACTCGCTCCTCCGGTCTCCGGATCTCCGTGCTCCTGGTGGTGATTCATTCCTTGTTGGGGCGCGTTTGAATGCGGTCAGTTAACAGTCATACCGGTATAAAAGTCTGTCCATAACTTGCACCCGCAAGCAACAAAAACATAGGTACGCATCAGCAGGGCTAAACAATCACACAAGCATACATGCGAAGAGGCATTCTTTATTTATATTATACAGATTTTAGCTAAAGGGTATCGTTTAGGCAGCTGGTGACACAGTCACGCCTTCTGTTGAGAGAGTATTTGATAGCATGCATTGGAATTCATGCACTGTGAAAATGTGAGGGACGACGGATCGCAGAGATTGCATAGGAAATTTTAGAGCTTGTAGCCTTTTGCATGCTTGTTCCACCAGCCCTTTCTCCAACTCGATTTGAGCCAAGTTATTGCTAGCAGCCATTGCAATAAGCGATGCGGTGTTGTTGGAATATGCATCAACATGCTGCCCAATGAGCTGAAGACTTGTTTCGTATAGCATAGCTGCTCGACGATCTAGGTTTGCTGAGGTTCCGGTCTTGATAGCAGTGTTGAAGACAACTCCGGCACAATAGATCGCCATCTTTTCGGGTATCACATCCTGAAACGATGATGGTGTTTCTTGAAACATCAGTGCGCTTTGATAAATAAAAGACTCGTTTTGTGTGGATGCATCACAATGAGCAGCTTTCGGTACAGTGACGTGCAGGCATTCGTGTTGCGGCACAATTTTAGCGGTTGCAATCACGTCATTTTGATAACACTCCTTCAAAAGTCGGTTGAAAACACGAAGCGACTGACTCATCGTAGGCTTTGGCAGCTTGAGGAAGCTCATCCAATTGGTAAATAAGTGCCACGGCTCGATTGTTCAGCTGCAAGATATCTTGGAGAGAGATCATGATTGGAAATTTTGCGAATATTTTGAACTCGGTGGATCTATCCGAATATCTCGACTTTTGTAATGTTGCGGGTTGAATGTTTCTTGATCAATCATCATTGCATATAGTTGGTTGACTTTGGTGGTACAAAGGATGTGTTTCTTCTGCTCAAATCCGCCTCCGTGAACGAGATAGAAATATGTAGCAGTGCTATTTCTCCCGTGTGTATAAAATAGGATCATTCATATACAATTAAAAAATAATAGTATATAATATATATATAAAATAACAACATTGTGAAAATTTTGAAACCATCGTTCCATTTCTGATGCATTTTCGTGACAAGGAATAGTTTGTTTGTTCTGCTCAAGCAAGGTAGAAAAGGGGTGTTTAACAAACAAATTCAAAATGGAGAGATGTTGATCCAATTAGCTCCGATGTGTTGGAGCCGAGCGTTTGTGCACCGGTTTTCTACAACCACAATCTTCACTGGGGTCAAGGGTAGTGTACGTGTAACAGGTGTACGTGTGCTCTGCATGGTTTTCCAAAATATGTAAATATCATATCAATCACGGCTATCATATAATATCAGTTCACGTACTGTACGTGTACCACCACAACAGTTCCGAAAAAATCGTCAAAGCGAGATATTTTGTTTTGATTTTATTTTATGATATATAAAATAAAAATAAAATTGCTGGCGTACGGTACCGGTACACGTGTACCGCTGGTACCTACTATTACGCTCAAGTGTTGTTGTGCCGAGCCAATATTCTACAAGAGCTAGATTGAATATTTAGGCTGCTGGTGACGCAGTCACGCTTTCTGCCGATAGAGTATTTGATAGCATGCCTTGAAATTCGTCCATTGTGAAAATGCGAGTGACTATGTGTTGCAGAGACTGAATAAGGATCTTTAGAAATTGCAGCCTTCTGCATGCTTGGCACACCAGCCCTTTCTCCAACTCAATTTGAGCCAAGTTGTTGCTGGCGGCCATTGCAATAAGTGAGACGGTGCTGTTGGAACCTGCAGGAATATGCTGCCCAAGAACGAGCTGAAGACTTGCTTCGTATAGCTTCGCTGCTCGATCTAGGGATGCTGAGCTCCCGGTCTTGATTGCTTGTCGATGATGCAGAATAGCGGTGTTGAATACAACTCCTGCACAGTAGATCGTCATAGCTTGGGTGTTGTGCAAATATGATTGCGTCTCTTGCAATATCAATGCGCTTTGGTACACAAATGGCTCGTCATCGCTTTGTGTCGAGACGTCACGCTGGGCATTTGTTGGAGCAGCGGTATGGAAGCATTCGTATTGCGTCACCGTGCTGAGGGCAATGCCTTGATTATGGTGGTAGCACTCCTTCAATAGTCGCTTGAAAAAAGAGAGCGACTCATGGTAGGCCTTGGCAGCCTGAGCGAGATTGTCGGAATGGTGAAGTACCACTGCTTGATTGTTCAGCTGCAACGTGTCTTGTAGAGAAGCCATGATATTGAAATTATATGAAATTTGTGAAGCTTTGGGTTTAACAGTTTTGTTGCAAATTAAAAATGCGCCAGTGATCGGTGTGCAGTATTGCGTACCAGGTACTTCAAACCCAATGTCACCATTTTGAATTTCTCTTCTCGCTTGTCAACGGAACTAATGGAAAATATGGTGACGATCTTGTGCAACGCTATTTAAAAAAATAAAAAATATACACGTAGTGTCGATTGCGGGGCAATTTGGTTCCCAATATCATCTGGAAGGGCGCTTCTATCTACCTAAAGGCCCATAAACAGTCGCGCCAAGGTCTCGTAATTGTTTCGCAAAAAAGATACGAAGCAAGCCACCATCAGATCAAAATCTCGCTCAAGCTCAGAGGCAGCCAAGACGCTTGTGGATTCGGAGAACCCTTGTGCCCTTCGCCATCCAATGTATGACCAACATTCGCCAGAAAAAGAAACCACATCAGAACTTGCGTACGTCATCGCGATACACCCCATAAGCCAAGAGTGATTCTGAAATGCTTTCGATAAAAGAGCAATTAGCTTCCGATTGTAAATAGCAAGGAAACCTATCATTCAAGTTATTTTTCGATTTTAACTATTCTTGGTGTCTAGTTCGGTGCTGAAGATGCTGCGGATTATACATACCGCAGCATTGAACACTAATAATGTACTCACCAAAACAGCATGGATTCAGGCTTACTTTCTATATACTATCTACTCGTAGACCTGAATAGTCAGGCGCGGTATTTGATAAAGTTCCATTTGATTGTGATTGTTCCCGTCATTTGTTGTTGTAATTCTTCATTGTTTTTCCGATCTGGCAATGAGTGTCATTATGGCACGATGTACACTATTAGAATGAATAGATGATTCGTTGTTCTAATTCCGATGGACGATGTAGTGGTGGTGATGATCTAGGAGTCGCTTGAGACTGCAATTCGCCAGACCACTGGAAAATTCCATGGATGATGTCTCTTCCGTGGGAACTTTCTTAGTGTTCAATGCTGCGGCATGTATTTTATCGCTTCTTGTGGCGTAGTATCAGTGGCAAAAGCATAGTGAGGAGGGGTGCGTGTTCCTTGTTGACTTTGTTGCTCCCAGCACATCGTCTCAACTACTTTGGGTGTTTGGATCATTCCACGACGCCATCAGGATGGATATAGTTGAGTAGATGATTATGAATATCTGGTCATTCTAATGGTTGTCGATTCAATAGCCTCGTAATTGCGGCTTTGTCAGTACGATACAGTAAGTGCTACTGTAGCTCTTGCGCCTCCCTTCACATGGGACCTTCATCATTCGTGCGAAAAAGAACGTTTCTGATGACTGTCAGAACAAGCCTGTCATGATAAAAAATGTCTGATTCTACGAAAAGTCAGGTATTAATAGAACATTTCCGTCTTTCTTCATCCCACTTGAATACCGCGCCAACCGTCATCCCTTAGAACAAAACCACTATAGAACTTTCCCTTGTCATCTTTTACATGATTCGCAAACGGTGGAGTCATCGTTCCCGTTCATATGGGGTACGCATTTGTTGGAAATGCAAAGGTTTTGCACAAGGAAGAGTTTCACAAAATCGCAAGAGCAAGCACAATAATTCAGAAACGAAAAGATGCCACCGAATAGCAACCTTTTAGAAGAATCCTCCTTTGTGAATAGTAGCAGCGAATCCGTTGTCACACCAACCAAGACAGTTGCTTCTACTTCGAATACAGTTGCTTCTAGTGGCGGCGGCAGCTATTCGGTTTCCAGCTCGAACATTAAAACTTCGGAATTACGAAAACCAAAAGTCACTGAAAGAAGAACCTTCTCGTATCGCATCCAATCGAGAGAGTCCAGCAAACCATCACTGGATTGTGAGTCTATCCCATTGGTAGGAAGAGAGAATGAAGTATCCATGCTCAAGGCCTGCTTCACACGCATTACGGTGGAAGCACCTGAGAAAAAACAAAAGGAGCTTGTGCTCATCGAAGGGCAAAGTGGAACTGGCAAATCCAGCGTAGCAGTGACCCTCGAAGACGAGGTATCGAAACTTGCCAACGGAGCCTTTGTAAAAGGCAAATTTGACATGAATGCAAGCGGTGAGCCTTACTCTGGTATATCCAAGGCTTTTGGTAGTCTCTGTCAGAAGATGAAAGGAGTTCCGCCACAAGTACTTAGCGCTGTCCAAGCAGTCATCAGCGAGCAGCTTGGCAGTGAGGTCGACCTACTGGTACATCTCATTCCTGAGATGAAAGATCTTATTCCTGATAGTTCCAATGAGCCCACAGTCGTGGACATCGGCGAAGATGAAGTTGAAAGCAAACTCGAGCGCTTGCGATTTGCTTTCCGTGTTCTTACAAGAGCCTTCAGTTCTGCTTTCTCGCCGCTGATAATCTTTCTTGATGATCTCCAGTGGGCGGATGTTTCTTCGCTTCAAGTCCTGGATTTCTTGATATCTGACACTCAAAACGAACATGCTATAATGTTCATTGGCTGCTATAGATCCGAAGAAGTTGATGAAAATAGTTTGCTCCATAACAAGATGGTGGGACTTCGAGAGATGTCTTCCAGATACAAGTTCCACCTAACGGAGATTGCAGTTGGTAACTTTGGTATCGACGGAATTGAACAGGTCATTGAAGCCCTGTTGCCAACTTCCAACAGAGATGCAGCGAATGGGCTCGCTGCGATCTGCCTGAAGCGGACACTCGGAAATCCTTTTTTTGTTTTAGAATTTCTAAAGATGCTCCATCAAGAAGGTCTCCTAGAATACGATGCAGCTTCCAACACGTGGGATTGGAATCTGGGCAAGATTGATGAAGCGACCATGTCCACTGCAAATGTGGTCGACATGCTTCAAAATCGTATTGCAAATCTTCCCCATCAAGTGCAGGCACTCCTTCAGTGTGCTGCATACCTTGGATCTTCCTTCTCCGAGTCAACAATCGATCTCGTCTGGTCAGCATTTGGAAGGAGGCTGGTGGAAAGCAGAATCGAGCGCACGTCAGCTCTACTCAATGTGATCGTCGTGGAAGAGATCATGGAGATATGTGGAGATAATCAGTTCAAATGGGTTCATGACAAATTGCAAGAAGCCGCTCTTTCCCTAACCGGGAAACGTCGGGAGTCATTTCAGTTGGATATTGGAAGGACATTGTACTATGGCTTGGATAAGCAACGAGTGGAAGATGAGCTGTTCACAATCGTGGACCTGATCAACAATGGCAATATATTGAAGCTGCCCGAGTTTGCAGTTGCCAACTTGAGAGCCGCGGAGAAGGCTCGGGACTTGGCGTCCTTTCAATCTGCATCTAGCTACATTGCTCACGGTATCAGCCTGCTAGGCGACGACAAATGGTCCGCCACTCGCTCTGTAACTTTGAAACTCTATACCATGGGAGCCGAAATGGAGGTAATGTTGGGCAACGTTGACGCATCTAACCGTTACAGTAACGAGGTCTTGCAGCAAAAAGATCTTACGATTATGGAAAAGCTACCATTGAAAATGGCGAAGGCTATGACTATTGGCTCTACTGATTTAAAATTTGACCAATCTGTGAAATACTACATGCGACTACTAGATAAGCTTGGTTGCAGAGTTGCATGGACGCGAAAACTTGTACCGGTGCAAGCAATCATGAAGCTCATGCGGGTTATCAAGAGAGTAAAAGCTACTCCTCAAAGCTTCTACGACAAGATGGTTCCCATTGAGGACCCACGACAAAAAGCGATTGCATCTGTCTTCTCCAAACTTGTGTACTATGCCTACATGGCAGGGGACATGTTGCTGCTCGTTTTGGGCACATCTACACTTGTAGAAATGACACTCGACCATGGATTGAATGAATACTCCGCCAAGAGCTTCAGCTCATTGGGAAGTGCAATCATCATCTCATCCGAAGATTACGAGACAGCGGCTAAATTCAATGTGATTGCCCTCAACATGTTGAAGAAGTTCCGAGGCATGCACAAGAGTGAGACGGTGAGTCAAGTCAATTCTTTGGATGTGGCTGGTATAAATGTCTTCCTTCTCTAACTTATTTGTCGTAGACATTTCTCATCTATGGTCCTGTGCTCTCATGGGTGAAACCTTACCATGAGCTAATTCCACCAATGCGAGAAGCCATCACTGAGGGTCTCAGATCTGGTGACACCGAATATGCTATCTGGAATTTGATTTCGAGCAAAGTTTTGATCAAATTCGTAATGGGGAAACCTATCGGCCCCATTCTGAACGAGTGCAGTGATACCCTACTGCAATGTGAAGATGCTGCTCAAACACTCACGTAAGCAGCCCAAGGAATTCTTTCTCCCTGCATCCTCCAAGGATCCTGCTTTCTCACACTTGACTGCTTGGTTTATTTAGTGCAAATATAGTACAGATGTTTTGGCAAATGATGAAAAATCTTCACGATCCCTCATCATCTAACCCCGCCGAGCTTGAAGGAGACATTTTCAGCGCTTCCAAGGACGAGGGAACCAACAACGTCCATCTTGCCAATATCAGCTTTGCACAAGGTGAATTGGCCTTGTTCAACGGCGACTATGAGACTGCAGCACGGAGAGCACTAAAAATTGGCGATGAGTTCGGCAAGCTCATGCCAGCCTTCCTGCTAAACATGGTCGAAGTCTTTCATCGAGCCGTGGTGAGTATCTCTTTCCGCATCAACTCCGTTGTGGATACGTTTCCTTGAATCACTCTCACATGTCATTCGTTTACCAGCCACTCTACGCAGCCGCTCGCATGACCAGAAAGAGAAAGTACAGAGTGGAAGCCAAGCGCCTCTTGAAGAAAATTGGAAAATGGGCCAAAGGCGGAAACGCCAATGTCCAATACTACTTCTTGTTCCTGACAGCCGAGCAATTGGCTTTGGACAAGAAGTATGATCTGGCACAACAGAAGTACGAGCAAGCTGTCGAAGCGGCAACGGCCGCACGCCACTTGCATCATATGGGACTGATTAATGAGAGGTATGCGGACTTCCTCCTGGAGATTCGTTCCGCAAGTGAAGATTCGAAAGAACGGCTAATGCGAGCAATTCAATGCTACAAGAGATGGGGATCTGCAAGGAAAGTAACAGAGTTAGAATCCAGGCTGTAGATGCATACATTTTACATGAAGTTTTGAGATTGATATTTCGATTACCTACTCTGAGGCCTCATGGGATGCCGGCTATCGTATCGTATCTGTTGTAGTTCCATCATCACACAGGAGAGGTTCGGGTGGGTTGATCACACAACCCCCAAAATCTACAGTAATAAGGACCAGAGAAGTTCTGCAATCGGGATGATATTTCAAATGATGACTCTCCACATGAGCGAATCCTCGAGGATATGTCCCAGAGCGGTAATGGAATTCATAAAGAAATCGGGAAGAGCCACTTCCGCCGTTGTTCGTTCGCTCCAAATTCTTGCCTCAAATGTCTGAACGTAAATGTTCAAATCCGGCCCAAGCTTTTGTTTCCACAGGGATAGACACCTTTTGGCCCATTCACTAGCGGAGAACACGGAAGCGAAGTTGTTGAAATCGATCTTCCGAAAAACAATTAGAATTTGCTATGTGAATCTTACGTGGTCAGTACCACGAACAACTTGGGAAGATAAAATAGATATCCTTGCCTTCTTTCCACGAACATTCGAGCTCAGCGAAGATTAATACTTCTTTGTCATATTATTTTCTTGACCATTTTTTTCTTCACACCGAAATGTGTCGATTAGATGCTGACGGTTCTGCTACCTTCTCCGTTCAAGGAAGTGGGTCTCGCAGTACAACTGCATTCGACAAAGCTGCCGATAGTAGACCAAGCTTCCTTTCTGGTGGCAACAACGACACTACTTCCATTTCGACGTCGAATCGAAATGATGATACAAGCTCAAACACCACCGATTCTTCTCAAGGACGTAAACACAGCGAGCTCGATACCAAAATGTCTCAGCTCGGATTATACGGACGCCAGAAGGAAACAGGGACGATTCGAAAATGCCTTGAAGACCTGATGACCACCGGGGAAAACAAGCTCGTTTACATTTCAGGACTCTCAGGAACTGGTAAGACAGCCCTTGCTGCCACTGTTGCTGATTCCGTGGTCATGAAGAATGGAATCTTCGCCATGGGCAAATTCGATCAGAAGCTGCGTGATGAGCCGTATGCTGGTATTGCAGCAGCTGGACGTCACATCTGCGGCGAAATACTGCATCGTAAGAACTCATCCGAGCACATGGATTTTGAAGACGTTCGCAAGATGATCATCAAGAATGTGGGATCAGAGTTGTCCACACTCGCCATGATCCTTCCCGAGATCGAAGACATTGTTGGTTCGTCTGATCTCTTGGCGCAAGACAATATCGCCGGTGGCGACTATGGATCCAACAAGGAACGTCTCAACAATGCCATCCGTACCTTCTTTCGAACTGTTGCAACCTTCTTCAAGCCTCTTGTGATGGTGTTGGATGACATCCAGTGGGCCGATCTACCGTCCATCAACCTGATGCAGGTATTGATGACGGACGAATCCAGCTCCAACTTTATGCTCATTGCCCTGTATCGATCGAACGAAGTCGACGAGACACACGTCGTGACCAAGATGATGAAGACTCTTGACGAGAAGGAGAAGGAGTTTGACTTTGACACCACGAAAATCGAAGTTGGTGATCTCAAAATGGAACAAGTCGATGAGATCTTGGTCGAGCTTTTGCAGCTGCCAAGCTATCGAACTGCCGACTTGTCAGAGATCATCCACCGCAGGACAGGAGGCAACGCTTTCTTTGTGCTGAATTTCATCGACATGCTCAAGAATCAGCGCCTTGTGGTATACTCGACGGTGGAAAAGTGTTGGGTATGGGACGAAACCGAGATTGAGCTGGAAACCATCGCCACTGACAACGTTGTGGACATTTTGAAACATCGGATGAAGAATCTACCGAAGCAAATGCAAGAAGTACTTCAACTCGCAGCATGTCTTGGTGCTAGCTTTCAAGAAAGTGTCCTATCCAAGGTTGCCAATGACTACTTTTCACGCCAGCCTAATGCTCCCAATGCAGACCGACTGTCAAAATGGTTGACGAAAGCCATTGAGGAAGGTTTCGTCAAGATGGATAATGTTGGATATCGCTGGATTCACGACAAGGTCCAAGAAGCAGCTCTTTCCATCGCAAGTGGTACTGATCTCACCAAGATGCGCTTCCAAGTTGGTACTATCTTGCTCCGTCGGCTTTCAAGACAAGAAATGGACCAGGCTTTGTTCGTTGTGGTCAATCTACTGAATGTTGGCATCGGAACGGAAGTGTCGCTTGAGTCAGCTGTCTCTTTTGCCGAGCTCAATCTGCGGGCAGCTCAGCGAGCCATGAGGTTATCGGGGTTCGAGATTGCCGCTAGCTATGGAGATGTCGCTATTGGACTTCTTCCCGAAGGTCACTGGCAGTCACAATACAAGTTGTCCTTGAAGCTCCATACTTTAGCAATTCAAGCACATGGAGTCCTCGGCAATGTTGAAACGATGCAGACTTTGTACGAGGAAGTACTGGGACAGCCTGACGTTCTGCTGAACGATCGGCTCCCGCTGCACCATGCGATGCTCGAGTCTCTGTCCGGCCGGGATCCACAAGCCGCAAAAGAGCTTGCCAACGAAGTGTTGGAGCAATTGAATCACCCTCTGATGAAAAGTGGGAGAAAGCTGTCCATCTTCAAGCGCTTCAACGTTATCAAAGCGTACGACAGGAACTTGAATCCAGACATGGCGTCCACGCTTCCAGTCATGACTGACAAAAATGCACTATCAGCAATGAAAATTCTGTCATCCGTGCTGGTTTTGACCTACGTGACGAACAAGGCCGAGCTTCCAGTTGTAACTTCAAAGATGGCGTCACTTGTGAATACCTTTGGAGTATGCGACGAGGCTGCCAACGCCTATTGTTATCGAGGATCTTTCGCCAGCAACCTCAGGGTAGTCGATGCGCACGCTAAGTTTGCTAAAGTAATCATGGATCGCTCGAAGGATCGCTACTCCAAGGCAGCATCCAAGATGTACATATTTTGTCTGATGAGTCATACTCGTGATATTCGTTGGGTCCAGAAGGGATACGAGGAGAACTATCACTACAGTCTGCAGGTTGGTGATATTCAAATGGCGTTGTACTCTTTCATGCACGTGCTATATTATGCTCTTGTCAGCGGGCATTCTCTCGAGTCTACGTCAGCTGAGGCGCGACACACCATTCGAAGTCTTCAGCGAATGAATCGCGGATGGCAGGTTGGTCTGATGACGATTTTGTGGCAAGGAGTATTGAACATGCGGGGTCAATCTGAAGACCCATTTGTGCTAAAGGGTGAAGCCATGGATGAGACAGCAATGGCTCCAGCGTCACCCGGTACTGTGGATGGCGCCTTGCGAATTGGATTCAAAGCCATTATCTTTGCATTTTGTGGCAATCACCAAGCAAATGCGGATGAACACATCGACCATATTCAAGCTGCCGCAAGTCAAGTTGCAGGGAACGGAATTTGCTTTTGGTTCGAGGTCTATACTGCCATCTCTTGTTTGCATTGCGCCCGATCTGCTCCTGGGCGGCATTTTCAAAAGTACAAACGATTTGGACAGCAAACGAGCAAAAGGGTGAAGAAGTGGATTGCCCAAGGTTGTGCGAACCTGAAGCAGCTGGACCTCCTTTTGGACGCAGAGCTAGCTGTGTTGGCTGGCAACGACAAGAAAGCCCGTCAATCCTACAAGAAATCCATTCGGACCGCAGAGAAGATGCTCCGAGTGAACGATGCTGGACTGGCATCTGAACGATATGGAGAGTATCTCCTGGAACGCGGCAACAAGGAGGGCGCCCGAGGCGCCTTGACCCACGCCGTCGAGTTCTATTCGCTGTGGGGATCCGATTTGAAGGTCGAGTCCATCCGATCCAAGCACGAAGGACTGCTGCTACCTTTGAATGTCGAAGGCGGGGAGGTGCTTCGGGTGTAGTTGGAATACATGCATATATTTGAAAATAGTGTACATAGAAATGTATGAGGTTAGGATAGCTTACATATATTTAATTTAATTTTTTGCTGAGATGTTGGTTCCATGTGGGTTCCAACCATCCAGCTTTCTACATTGAGGTCCAATACCCGTGGAACCATAAATATTGGCCCACCTTGCAGCATACCCTATCACCGCATCATTCGTTGCGTTAAGCAGGATATCTCGATCTTTTATCTCTCATGTCGATCTGCCATTTTACATGGATCATTCCGTCAAGTAGGACACCATGGTACTCACTACAGGCCTATGTAGGATATTGTAAGCCCACGATTGCATTCGGCTGAAGCCCCCATTGACAATTCCACATTTTTTCCACTGTTTCTACCAATAATTGAACACAGCCCCACATAATTGATTGGGCACGACCTGCTCTAACTGATCCACAGGCCACCCCTTTCGTCCTTAGTATCGCGCTTCTGATTTCCATAGATCCATCATGGCACCTATTGCCCTGATACTTTATTATTCTTCGACTCGACGATTGTGCCTGCAGGATTGCACGAGAGTTGTTGGACCCGCCTAGCTAGAATAGGTTTGTGGGCTGAATTTTGCTTACCGACAGTGTAATTTCATAATATATTTTGATATTTTCTGAAGAGTTTGTGTGTTCGTACCGGTACCATAGTTTCCTTCCCCGCTTATTCTACAATGAAATTGGAAAAAGGAGGGGTTCATTGTGCTCTTCCGCACAGAAGTCGTAAAAAACCTGGTACCGTACAAATATTTGAACTTATCGGAGAAACCACTTCGCCAAGAACGATGTAGAGCCCTTATTTAGGAAACCGCGAGATAGACGCCGTGGCGCCTCTCCAAAAAGAACAAAAAGTCAATCAACGTCATTTTGGTTGCGATATGAACTTCATCACACAAAATTACAAAATTGGAAAATCACGGTTTTGATCCAGCAAAATGTGTGGAGTGGATAGTAACAATTCTGCTTCCTTTTCAGGTCAAGGAAGTGGGTCTCGCAGTACAACTACATTCAACAAAGCTGCCGATAGTAGACCAGGTAGCTTCCATTCAGGTGGAAACGACAACACTTCAATTCCCACTTCGTCGAAGACGAAAAATCGCCATCATGATACAAGCTCAAACACCACCGATTCTTCTCAAGGAAGTCAAGAAAAGAAGCTCGATACCAAAATTTCTCAGCTCGGGTTGTACGGACGCCAGAAGGAAACAGGGACGATTCGAAAATGCCTCGAAGACCTGGTAATCACCGGGAAAAACAAGCTCGTTTACATTTCAGGACTCTCAGGAACTGGTAAGACAGCCCTTGCTGCCACTGTTGCTGATTCCGTAATCAAGAAGAATGGAATCTTCGCCATGGGCAAATTCGATCAGAAGCTGCGTGATGAGCCGTATGCTGGTATTGCAGCAGCTGGACGCCACATCTGCGGCGAAATACTGCATCGTAAGAACTCATCCGAGCACATGGATTTTGAAGATGTTCGCAAGATGATCATCAAGAATGTGGGATCAGAGCTGTCCACACTCGCCATGATCCTTCCCGAGATCGAAGACATTGTTGGTTCGTCTGATCTCTTGGCGCAAGACAATATCGCCGGTGGCGACTATGGATCCAACAAGGAACGTCTCAACAATGCCATCCGTACCTTCTTTCGAACTGTTGCAACCTTCTTCAAGCCTCTTGTGATGGTGTTGGATGACATCCAGTGGGCCGATCTACCGTCCATCAACCTGATGCAGGTATTGATGACGGACGAATCCAGCTCCAACTTTATGCTCATTGCCCTGTATCGATCGAACGAAGTCGACGAGACACACGTCGTGACCAAGATGATGAAGACTCTTGACGAGAAGGAGAAGGAGTTTGACTTTGACACCACGAAAATCGAAGTTGGTGATCTCAAAATGGAACAAGTCGATGAGATCTTGGTCGAGCTTTTGCAGCTGCCAAGCTATCGAACTGCCGACTTGTCAGAGATCATCCACCGCAGGACAGGAGGCAACGCTTTCTTTGTGCTGAATTTCATCGACATGCTCAAGAATCAGCATCTTTTGGTATACTCGAAGGTGGAAAAGTGTTGGGTATGGGACGAAACCGAGATTGAGCTGGAAACCATCGCAACTGACAACGTTGTGGACATTTTGAAACAACGGATGAAGAATCTACCGAAGCAAATGCGAGAAGTACTTCAACTCGCAGCATGTCTTGGTGCCAACGAAGTGTTGGAGCAATTGAATCACCCTCTGATGAAAAGTGGGAGAAAGCTGTCCATCTTCAAGCGCTTCAACGTTATCAAAGCGTACGACAGGAACTTGAATCCAGACATGGCGTCCACACTTCCAGTCATGACTGACAAAAATGCACTATCAGCAATGAAAATTCTGTCATCCTTGTTGATTTTGACCTACGTGACGAACAAGGCCGAGCTTCCAGTTGTAACTTCAAAGATGGCGTCACTTGTGAATACCTTTGGAGTATGCGACGAGGCTGCCAACGCCTATTGTTTTCGAGGGACCTTCGCTACCGATCTTAGGGTAATCGACGCACATGCAAAGTTTGCGAAAGGAATCATGGATCGCTCGAAGGATCGTTACTCCAAGGCAGCATCCAAGATGTACATATTTTGTCTGATGAGTTACACCCGTGATATTCGTTGGGTCCAGAAGGGATACGAGGAGAACTATCACTACAGTCTACAGGTTGGGGATATCCAAATGGCGTTGTATTCCTTCATGATCGATCTGTACTATGCTCTTGTCAGTGGACATTCCCTCGAGGCTATTGCAACCGAAGCACGACACAAACTGAAAAGTCTCGCAAGAATGAATCGCGGATGGCAGATTGGCCTCATGACGATTCTATTGCAAGGAGTATTGAATATGCAGGGACAATCGGAAGACCCCTTTGTGCTCAAGGGCGAAGCCATGGATGAGACCGCAATGGCTCCTGCGTCGCCTTTTTCCTTGGACGGTGCCATAAGAATTGGATCCAAAGCCATTATCTATGCCTTTTGTGGCAATCATCAAGCAAATGCAGACCAGCATATGGAACACGTCCAAAATGCCGCAATTCAACTTGCAGGGAACGGAATTGGCTTTTGGTTCGAGGTCTATACTGCCATCTCTTCTTTGCATTGCGCCCGATCTGCCTCGGGCCGTCAATTCAAAAAGTACCAACGATTTGGACAGCAAACCAGCAAAAGGGTGAAGAAATGGATTGCCCAAGGTTGTGCCAACCTGAAACAGCTGGACTTCCTTTTGGACGCAGAGCTGGCCGTGTTGGCTGGCAACGACAAGAAAGCCCGTCAGTGTTACAAGAAATCCATTCGGACCGCAGAGAAGATGCTCCGAGTGAACGATGCTGGACTGGCATCTGAACGATATGGAGAGTATTTATTGCTGGAACATCATCATGGCAACAAGGAGGGCGCCCGAGGCGCCTTGACCCACGCCGTCGAGTTCTATTCGCTGTGGGGATCCGATTTGAAGGTCGAGTCTATTCGCTCCAAGCACGAAGAGTTGCTCCGGCCGTCGATTGTATAGGATTTGCGGTCTATGCTATTACTATAGTACTCGTGGGAAAAAATGGGATTACATCAATATAGATTGTATAATATCTAAAAAGAAAGTAGAAGATGCCTTGCCTCGATTCTCGCATGATGCTGCATGACATACCATATGTTCATCAATCTGAGTTAGTAGCATTGTCAATGTGTCAAGTGGTATAGTGGTGGTATGATGATGCATGAAAAAGAAGAAGTCCAGGCAGCATAATAAGCAACACCATGGCCGAATCCTACAACGCACCCAATCGCTCATCTTCAGTATTACATATAATTGTAGGCAGGACCTATTCTAATATAAAAGTATATTTTAAAATACATACTATTATAAAACCACTATAGTATAATAATCCCCCTCACGATTGGGGAACAGCAGCAATGATTCCTTTCCACAATGAATGAAAGAATGAAAGTATGTATGTATGTATGCATGAATGAATGGACTGTTGCTGTAACGAGACACCAACATGATCATACAAGTCTCGTACCGGTATGGTACCAATTGATGTCACTCGTTATCATTCATCCACAGCCACAACTTGGTTGAAGAGTTCTTGATTTGGTTGGTCACTTGCAAAAAGAAGTTTTTGTTCGTTCGATCGATCGATCGATGAAGTACTGATTGAATCAATCAATGTTGCAATCCATCGGAAATGATAGGATGCATCGGCAGTACAAGCAACAACCGAAGTTATTGTGTGTTTGGGCCTTGTTAGTGTGTAGTTTATATGTGAAAGAAAGGAGCAAATGGACAACATTTGCTCCTCCTCCACCACTTTGATTCGCATGATGATCCTTATCTTATCATCATTCGATTCACACTCAACGAGGAACAACACCACAAAAACGTATTGTACCATGACACGAAACCGATTTGTTTCGTGTTGTTTTGTTGCTTCCTTTATTCCTTCGTTGTGTGAACGGTCCGAGTGTAGTGTCACGGAAGGATCTGTATTATTGTAGGAGTGGGCCGTTGTTGTTGTTTTTCCATTTTTGGCTCATCCCCATACATAGGATATACACGCAATAAAGTTGCGCACAAGCCTCAAGCCTTGTGTGCGTGCGTATGTCACTGATCAATCACTGATCATAATACATATAATAGTAAAGACAACTGACATTCAAAAGGAATAGGTGGTACGAATGTTACCTTGATGAGCAGCAGCAGAAGTAGCAGCAGCAGCACTCTTGTGGTATCGTTGACTACGTTCGTATTGCTTGAACTTGCGGACTGCCACTTCCATGCCGGACATTTTGCCTTCCATTAAGGATTCGTCCATGGTGAGAAGAGTGGATACATCGCTTTGGGAGGCATCATCGTCGTCATCATCAAAGTCGAATTCCAATGGATCTCGCGACATGTGATGAATCTTCTTTTCCAAATACGATCGCTTTTGAGGAGAAAGATTGGAATTCTCCACTTGAAGTTGCAAGGAATACAATTCCCGTTTGGGATTGTAATCTCTCCAAAACAGAGCATTCTCCTCCACGTCCACATCTTCAAAATCCCCATCGTAATCATCCCCGGCACCGACATGATCGTAAATCCAATCGCTGGTGCCACAACAAGGATCTGTGAGATTGTAAGCAATGTACGAAAAGAATCCCATGGTCACGTAAGGATTGTTGGTGTGAAAGGGGACGCGATTGGTGTTGGAAGCTTCTTGTTGCCTCGCCGCCTTTCTGCTTCTTCTACCGGTAGTACCGGTAGCACCGACAGTACCGGTAGGTGATCTTCGTAGTTGCGTGGTTTGAATCTTGTGACGATGCGCACGTTGCATCGTTTTCAAACGTTGCGAACCGGAAGGATGATCCATGGGTTCATAATCTTGATAGAAGCACGACTCATCTTCTTCATCCTCGTATTCGCCATCCTTCTCTTCTCCTCCTCCTGCTCGATGCAGCAATGGAGTCAATTCCAATCTTGGAGGAAGCTTGCTTGGTCCAATGGTGTTCAACACCATTGTAGTTTGAATCAAATTCTGTTCGTGTGTGAGAAACATGATGATAAGAGTCACGCTATCCTAGCCTAGCGAGGACAATGAATAAATGAATGAATGACTGAGAGATAATAGAAAAGGACAACTTCCTTTCAGTACAGTATACCGATATTCGATATACAGTAGGTACTTGGTTGCACTGAGAAGACAAGAAGCAAAGAAGATGAGGAACACACGATCGATCCTTTTTCTTTTTTTGGAGGCAAAAGAAAGAGGTGCGTGTGAGATTTTCAAATTTACCAACTACCAGATTCTACGAACGTTGGAGTGGGAAAACGAGCCGTCCACTCGTAGAATGCCGTATGATTTTGCACTCACATTTCCGTTCGGTATAGTCGTTGGAGCTCGAACGGATACTTTCAAGTTTTGTGTGGGTTGTGTGTGACTTCTTACTCTTGAACTTGCTTGAATCAAAATTCAAAAACAGGGGCAATATTCGAAGGGTGGATTATGGGGAAGAAAGTATTTGAAAAGTAAATGGTGACTGCGACTGACTCTGACTGCGATTCAATCTTAATCGTATTTTAATAGTATCGTTGGTGCATTCTATAGTAGTATGGTACTAGATGATGCCTTGTCGTATATACGTAATGTGTTATTCATTTTATAAAAGTACAGATATACAGATAGAACGTGAGTATGAAACAGTCGAGTTGGCAATGATGCCCAGGCGGGGGGTGATGTGTGAAATTTTAAAATGATGAATGCATGCCAGTTCACTCCACTTCTTTGCATGTCTGCAAACAATCAAACAAACATACAAACATACACCAGAAATTGTACTTTAAAACTCAGCCATGGTCTTCATGAAAGGACGGTTTTCTTCGGTAAACGATTGATCGTGGTCTCCCTCTAGTGTAGACTCATCATCGTCATCATCGTCGCAGCTCTCATCATCATGTTCTGTTGCTGTTCCATCCTTGAAAAATACCATGTCTTCTTCAAACAGTAATCCTGTCGTCGAAGAATCTAGATGATTCTTCTTGGCGGAGCTACTATAAAAGACACGTTCCAAATCACCACAGCAGGGATCAACCACCGAATGGTACACATAACTCCAAAAGGAATCCAAATCCGGACGATCCGCATCTTGTCCCGGATAATGTTGAGCTCGATTGAAACTTGGTTGAATGTTGTTGGTGGTGCTTCTTGTGTGATCCGGTGCTTGCTCTCGATGTTTCATTTCATACACAAATTGTGCTTGTTTCTGATCGCCGCCGCCGCCGCCGTCGTGGTCATCGTCGTCAAAGGGATCGAAAATCTTTCTGCGAATCGTCGTTCGTGGCTGAAGCACATTGGCACTTTTCGGTGACAGGTTGACAGATTTCGGACTGGGTGGGGAATGGATTCGGTCCCGGTTGCATCTTCGAAAGCCCATTCTTGTTCTTCTTCTTATGATTCTTATGATTATTATTTGTTGTTGTTGTTGTTGATGTGATTGGTATTTTGTGATTGATGATATTCCAGAGAATAATGTTTGACTATGGTATTCAATATCAATACATCAACATTAATGCTTCAGATAGAATGTAGTGGTGGTGTTTCAGTTTGTGGTTTTTAATATATGAATGTGACTTCACTTGGCTTGTTGGGGTATTTGACAAGCTGCTTCTCTTTTATAAAATGATACGGTATATAGAATATAGTCCTAGTACAGTATAGTATGGTGTCTGTTATTTTATATTTTGAACACTGCACAACCAAGCTGAAAAATGTAACGATTTTTCAGCTGTTTTGTTCCTTTTTCGAGCCGGCCTAAATTGTGTGACAGAACCGTTTGCAACGGTGTCCGATTCATGTCTCCAACACTGAATTGTTGGCCGTAAGAACATTCCATCCGTCATTTTCGGTACAAACCTATTCCAGATTTTTTTGGCTCCGATATCTTGCCGGTGCCCTAATAATGTCCCTAATTGTCGATGCAATGCGACCAAGTTTTGCAAGCCGGCGGCCTCAGCATTGGACATTCCAAACTTTCGCAGATGCCGATGATTCAATTGGAACGGGGGGACAGACTGACTCACTTGCAGCATGGCATGAAAGATACCATTTTTTAAAAATCAATCAATCGCACCATGATGACATGAAAACGATGGAATGAATGAATAAATCATTTTTGTTTATTCATGTTACATGTACAATTTATCAAACTATTCATGGTAGTGGGCAGTGGAAGAATTGTGCAGAAGTCCACATTTTCTTGAGATTCATTCATTTCTTTTTTTACAATTAGTTTTGCACGGCAGTACATTGCGTTCCAACAGCATCGCAACAATAGTTGCAACACGAACAGGAAATTTCACCCATTCCTTCCAAACAATCGGCAAAATACAAACTCAGTCGTCGATCGCAAAACAAACTGTCCAATCCATTAGTCAAACTTGTCCCATGGAGAAAGATATTGTCCATTCGAATCAAATTGGAAAAACTGGAGGGAATCGCACCCATCAAGGGATTGAATGCTAGGCTCAAATAAGTGAGCGAGGTCAAACCGCCCATTTGAAATGGAATGGTCCCGGAAAAGGCATTCTTTTCCACATTCAAATAGGATAAATTCCGCAGGTTCCCAATGTACGTGTGGAGAGTCCCACGGAGCTGATTGGAGGAAAGTCGGAAGTATTGCAGGACGGGCAAATCCATGAGTTGGGTGGGCACGACACCGGTAAAGGCATTGTCTTGCAAATGTAATTCTCGCAACGCTTTCAATTCGCCCAATTGAATGGGCAAAGTATTCGACAAGTTGTTTTCCTCCAACCGCAAGATTTGCAAGAATTCAAACGAGGGAATGACACCCACAGTGGAAGTGGCGGACAATATCTGAGCACCCCATTCAATGGGAATGGAACCACTCAACGAATTCTCTTGCAACTGGATGGATTGCAACAGGCGCAAAGTCGCCAATTCGGTCGGAAGTCCACCATCCAAAGCATTGGTGGCCAGATTTAGAAATCTCAAATTGAACAATTGTTGAATGCGAGTTGGAATGTTTCCAATCAAATCATTGTTGGCCAGTCTCAAGGACGTCAAGAACTGAAGTCGCATCAATTGGGTAGGAATAGTACCAGTTAACGAAATGCCTTCCAAGGACAAATTGGAAAGGAATCGAAGGTTTCCAATCTCCGAGGGAATCGTCGAAGGAATCATGGGATTGTTTCGAATTTCGAGCGATCGTAGTTGGGAAAGTTTGGAGATTTCTTCCGGAATGGTACCAATCATATTGTTGTTATTCAAGGTCAAAAAGCGAACTTGATTGGCAAGGCACTGGACAAACTCCCATTGGCATTGTGGGAATCCAGGAGACAACCACGAACCTCCTCCGGACCAATTCACATCTCCACCAGTAGCATAGTAGAGCACTGCCAAACCATATCGCTCTTGCAAGCTAGAAGAATCTTCAACATCTTCATCCACTGGATAGTCTTCCTCATTGATCCACATGAGGGCCTTGTATTGGGGACTGTTGGGATCGGACAAGACGGCAGTCTGCTTGTCTTGATCCGGACCAATCAAAATGTCTACCAAGGTACCCAGTCGACTGGTGGGTGCCATGGTAGGAGCCAATGTCGTAGTTTGTTCATTGCAGCCACCATTCCCACAGCAATGGGTACAGCAGGGGCAATTCAAGACACCATTCGAACAATCAGAATAGAACAAACTCATTTGGCGGCTACAAAACAAAGTTTCCAAGCCTCCCGTAAAGGCGTTGGCAGAGAATTTGACATCAATTAGATTTTGCGCATTCTCCAATTGGCTTGGTACAATGCCCGTAAGTTCGTTGTTGGGAACGTGCAGCAACTCGAGTCGTTCCAAATTTCCCAACTCGGTGGGAAGTGGTCCCGAAAATGAGTTTCCATCCAAAAATAGCCTGCGGACGGCTTGCAAGTTGCCAAACTGGGTTGGAATTTGCCACGTAAACTCATTTTGGGCAATGTCCAACTTTTCTAGCCTTGTCAATCGTCCCAGTTCCGTTGGTACCCGACCATCCAACGTATTGAACCACAATGTCAGCTCGACCATATTACTTAGGAATCCCATTTCGGTGGGAACAGTACCACTCATTCGATTGCTGTAGACATTAAAAATCTCCAAATTGGTCAAAAGGCCTAGTTCGGTATTCAAGGTACCCTTGATAGCATTTTGCGGCACATTTAAAACTTCGAGCCAGGACAGTTGACTCAATGTGCTGGGCAATTCCCCATCCAATCGATTGGCATTAAAGACAAGAGATGTGACATTATTCTCGCGACACGAGACACCTTCCCAATCGCACACGGTGACGGGTGTCAACCATTGATCGCTGCTCACCCATCCCTTGCCATTGGTCGCAAAATACAAGCTTGCCACGGCAAATCGTTCGCGCAAGGCTTGCGATTCTTCTTGCAGTGAAATCCCAAGGTTGGCTTCGGTATCGTCGTCCACGAGCAACCATTCCAAGGAACGATAGGCCGGATCAAAAATGCTCAAATTGTCCACTTCTTCTGGCGGCAAAAGGATATTGGCCAAGTTGGCAACCTCAGCATCCAATGCGACAGCAACAGTCGGCACTGGCGTAGGAATGATGATTTCAGTAGGAGCATTGGTGGGTACTGTTGCTGCTGCTGGAGGAATGGTAGGTACTCCACCATTGCTATTATCGGATGGAGCATCAACCGCTGCCGATGTAGAGGGAGATGATTCGTCCGAAGACGATGCCATGACACCTCCCACAATCGCACCAATCAAAATCAGCAACAAGAGTACGATGGCCATGATGATGAAGGTTCGTCTCGGAAAACCACATATTTCATCATCTTTGTCATCGTCGTCAAAGTCGTTTTCATCGTCACTCTTGATTTCATCCTTGCCAAGTGCTGCAGCACTATTTTTATTATTTTCTTCATCATTGTCTTGATTATCATTCTTGTAAGCGTTTGCACCACCATCTGCTTCCTCTTCATCGGACGGTGTAAATACCAAATGGATGGTATCATCCTTCTTTTCTTCCGATGATTGAGTAGGAAGTGGTGGTGGTGGAACGGGACTGCGGGACCTCGATTTTGAAACGGCAGGAGGTGCTTTTGCCGTTGCTGCTGCCATGGCGGCCGCCGCCGCTGCCGCTCCAGTGGAATGACCTCGTTTGTGGTTGCTGGTTTTGTTAATGAGAGTAGTATTGTCATCATTGCCATGATGATCATTACCATTATTGTTCGCAGCCGCAGCCATGGCCGCTGCAGCTCCCGTGGATTGAGTCCTTCGATGATGATTGCCTCCCAACTTTTTCTTTTGAAACATTCCACCAACACCTTGTGGTTTCTTGTGAGTCGTATTGACATCTACTACAAAACCAGCCTTGGTGTCGACAGTCTCTGTGCGTACGACGCGAGTTCCGTCTTCCAATATGTGTTCGGTTTCGTGCAAGGAAATACCGCCCGTTTCCACAGTGGAAATGGAAGCACTTCGATCCAATGCGTGAGGTGGCAATATTGTCGCACCTCCATAGGGAGATCGATTGTTTGCATTGCCACGATTCTTATTACTGTTATAGGCCGCATACCCATCGTCGTCCATGTCAAATTCGTACGGCGAGGTATTAACGTCTCTGGTAAAGGGATCATCGTCATTGGAGGCGCAGTTGAACATGGGAGGAAATTGAATCATTCCCGGGTCGTCCTCATCTCGTTTCTTGTGATTGTGATTGTGATTGTTATTTTGCGGTCGTCGGGACATGATGACTGTGGATAATATGTGTGTGTGAGAGAGAGAGTGTGTGTGGGTTACGTTTTGTACCCGCGTCTGCTTTCCAATTTGGTGGGATTGATGATTATAGGCTGCTGAATATCAGAAGCAGTATGCGACCTGCGACGCGATCGGATCGAATGGTTCTCTCTCTCATCCTCTCTCAAATCGAAAACCATCATTTATTTCCACCAATGATGCACATGAAGACGATCTTGGCATGGCCGGCGACATCATGTGACTCGGCGGACCCAACGGTCATTATCATTTTCGTCAGTCACGCCGGGAACGGAAATTATCGAGAAAATTCTCTGGCGACTATCCAAGAACCTTTTTGTCCAAATCTTGCATAGACAATGATACAGGTTTCTGTCACAGCGACAATTCTCAAGGTAACGAATTGTCCGTGTGGAGTGGTAGGCTCTTGTATCAATAAACAAGGATTGGGTCATGGATTGGTAAAGACTTCGTAGCTCGGCTAATTTTGTCGATATGCAGTTTTGGTAATTATATGCCCACTTTTGGCCACACGCCATCGAGCGCCGGTTGGGTGATGTTGGAAACTCCTTCGTGCGATATTGGATAGGAAAAAGGACCATCACAAAAAAATAGGAAAGCGTGTCTCTCATCAGGGGGGCTCAGAGCATCTACACTACGAGGAGGCCTGCTTATCATCCTTTGTTCCAATCATAATACCGGTATCTCACAGAAACAGGTTGCTCCTTTAGCTAAGAAGCATAAGAACAATGGACACATCATTGATTTACGACGAGGAAGTCATCTATGAAGACGACGACTTTTATGACTACGAAGATGAGATTCTCGAAGTCGAAGAGGGCGTATCCGTCAAGGATTGTAGCATTGATGCGGCCAAGAACTTTTTGCTAGGATTGTATGGTGGCGATCCGTCTTTGTTACGAAAGTCACAGTTTATGGGCCTCGGTGGTGGTGGTTTTGGCGATATGGATATTCCAGCCTTTTCGCCTGAATTGCCTGAAATGGAACCTGAACCTTTCGAAATGGAGTCTGAAATTGAGACTGAAACGTTAGACATTCCCATGGAACATGAACCTACTGCTATTATGACAGAGGACGAAAAGCCAACAGAACATGAAAAGCCAACAGAATCGGAAGAGGCTGTCACCACGGCACCTGAAGATCTCAAGACAGAAAAGGAGAGATCGTCATCCAAGAATAAAGAAGAAAAAGATACCGATGCCAAACAAGTGAAACCGAAAAAGGTCAAGTCGAAAGCGGCCAAGGAAGAGGATGGTGATGATGATACCAACTCGAAACGAAAGAGTCGTTCCTCCAGATCCTCCTCTAAGAAAGAAAAGAGATCTGGATCTGTGGGTGCGTTGAGTCGAAGGAAAATGAACAAGAGAAGCTCATCGGTTCGAAGTCTGGGTGCCATTGAAAAGACCATTGCCAAAATGCACGAACCAGACCCATCGCCAGCCTCTACAAAAAAGAAAGTCAAGAAAGGTAAACGAAAGGGTGGATCTTCAAGTCGTTCGCGATCGCCTTCTACCATTCAGGTCGAAGTTATTGATACGAAAAAGCCATCCTCGCAATCCTCAAACATTACGTCGGATGACCTTGACCTGGACACCCTGAGTCTTGCTGGAAGCAATGACGACACCAATTCGAACCGATCCAATCGTCTTCTTGCAAATGACGACAATAACTCGAACCGGTCCAATCGATCTTCCAAATCCAAGAGCACTTCCAAACGAGGTCGTCGAACCAAAAGTGGTAGTATGGCTACTGACACTAAGAAGGATGACAAAAAGGAGGAGGAGGAGGAGGTGGAAGATGAACCAGTCAAGGAAGAAGAAGTCAAGGAAGAAGAAGTCAAACCTCCCGAGCCAACTCTAGAAGTTTCCACACCGAAAAAGTCCAAAAAGACCAAGCGCAAAGATTCAAGATCCAAGTCACCCATGAAGAATAGGGACTCGGGTCCAAAGTCACCAACGAAGAACAGGGACTCGGGCCTAAAGTCACCAACGAAGAGCAGGGACTCGGGTCCAAAGTCGCCAATGAAGAAAAAGGGAAAGACCGCCAACAAGGAAGAAGAAGAAGAGGAAACTCCTGTAAAACCATCGTCCCAGTCGTCACTCGTGAGCAACGACTCGATTTCCTTGGATGGCACCACAAAATCCAAAAAGCGCGGTTCCAAAAAGTCCAAGGGAGGAAAGAAATCCAAATCTTCCTCGAATGCTAGTAGCAAAGCAGCGAAGGGAATGTTACAGGAAGAACCACCAAAGGAAGAAGATTCATCCCCAATGGAAGAAGTGTCCAAGGCGGTGGAAAAGAAGGTCAAGAAGAAAAAGAAAAAGAGTGGCTGCAGCAAATCACAAGATGCACCAACCGATGGATCCATGACCAGTGGGGACTTTTCAATAGATGAATCATCGGGAGCAGAGGTTGTCGATCAAATTGACAAACAGGAGGTCATTGAAGAGAAAGAATCGCCAGCACCCCTTGCCGAATCCAGAGACGAACCAGAACCTCTCAAGAAGACCAAGAAGGAGAAACTAAAGAATTCTGCGGCTACTTCCAGACAATCTCCGGGCACCACCGAAAAGGAAGCACTATCCACAAAAACATCCAGTCAGCCTTCGATTCAATCCGAGACGGGATCTGTATCTTTGGCATCCTCCTTGCAAGATTCCAAGCCAGCACAGCAGCAGGTTCTTCCACCGCCACCACCCACGCCCTCGATTATTGAAGATTCGGAATCGGTGGTTTCTGAATTGGAGTCACCCTATCTATCATTGCCATCCAAAAAGGTCGTTACCAACAAGGAACTTCCACGTCCTAACTGGTGCCCTTCTCCTCTTCCCACAAACAAGCTCATGTCGGAAACCAACTCTTTGTCCAGCAAGGATCGACGAAAGTTAATTCGTCAGTCTATGATGATGTCCACAAGGACTGGCATCAAGCAGATTCCGGAAATTGGCGACCTGCCTACTGACGTGTGATAATCATGATAATCATGATCAAATAATCGTCATTTGTATGTGCACTGGATGACTAGGATGAGGATGGCAATGACGAGGGCGATTCTATTTCTCCTAATGAGACGCCTGGAATGGAGGAGGCATTGCGTGGACCGCCATCATTACCGAACGAGAAAAAGGAATGGGACTTTCGAAGCATTCCATCTTGTCCACACTTTGGAAACCGCTTGTACTGTACTTGCCCACATCTTGATGCGAAAATCTTCTTTGGATTCGCAACAAAATAAGCCAACTACTAGAGTCAGTAATGACTGCTGACTGACACCCCTATGAAATGACCTCGTACTTTTACTTTATACAATATATAACTATTATGCTATGTGTCGTTGATGGTTCTTTTTTAAAACAAACTAGAGGCGTACCGCTATGCTGTTCATCATGCTAGGTTTGTACCCTGTATTGACTCATTACAGTACTGTATGATTTGGTTTTGGGGGGTCACAAAATTACAGGAAAGCGATTGGGGCCAAATAATTCGACCTTAGAAATTCAGGATTAACTAAAACCGTACAGAAAGTGTTCTTCATCGTTTCTACATAGTGATCAAAGCCGATTTTTCGCCATAGACTAACAGTCTGTCATTTTCCTTTATATGTAATCTGGTCATAATTCAATTCTTCAAGCAAATGCAAAACCGAATAGCTCATAAAAAGAGCTTTTCAACAACAAATACTTGTACCTACTGCAAAACGCACTCATCTCATAGTTTCCCAAATCACCCACAAAACATGAATGCAATATCTCAAACAACTTTCGAACCAAGTGCCACAGTCGAAAAATTGGCACTTCACCGCAGTACATCTACTGTTGATACCGAATTCAGTTTGTTCGATGATTCCTCAGTCGATGAAGAAGGACACCAGCTTAACAACGTGAGCCCGGTCGATGATCATCATGAAACAAGCGATGAACTCGACCTCCGTTGCAGACTAGCGGAAATCAGGAAGCACACAACCGAAAATTGTGATGAAGTCAAGACTCGTATTTCTTCAAACCGAAGCAAGACCAGGTCATCTAGACGCAAACCAAAGGGCCGCAGAGGTGCTTGCAACAGTACTTTATGAGAAGCAACAAGCCAGGCCACAATGGCCAGTGCATCGTCCAAACTGGATTTGGCGTTCACGCATGTGCTTTCATAATGGGACAGCAAACTCTGCGAACGGACGTCACGAGATCTTCAAATTGAAGCAAAACCTGCGGCCTAGCTTTCAAACCTCT